TATATTTTTGCTTTCAAATAAACTTGAACTGTCAGTTTTATTTTTTTAATGACTCAAAAGAGATAAATTTATTGTGTCCAGCAGTGTGAGGACCTCCCACAAGGATACCATGAAAGCATGTGATTCCTAGGTTCACCTAAATCCCATGTATCGGTACAATGTTGCAAGTTTCCTTATTTCTTGCTAAGGTTTGAATATATCATCAGGAGTTCCTTGCTAGAAACTAAATTTCCAAATTCATTTGTTACTATTTGGACATGAGGACAATTGTCCTCAGGAACTGATCCGTTCATAGATTAATGGATTGTCAAGAGTGGTTTTGTTATGCAGTTGGGGTCTGGCATGCATGTTCTGTCTTATGATGAAGGTATCCTTTGCCATTTCAAAATCACTCAGTACAGCCTTCAGCAGATGCTGGTAATTACTGCTCCATGCTCTTGGATTCACAGCCTCCATAACTGTAGGTTAAATAAATCCCTCTTTGTAAATCCTCCAATTGTGGTATTCAGTTGCCACAAAGAACACAGATTAAGACATTTTCTTAAAGAAATGCCTGTATACAGTCACTACATAAGCATAATACAAGCAGTATTATAGTTCCGCTTATATTATGGTTTTGCAGATGTAAGATTCACCAAACAATTTAGAAGGCAATGCTACCCTCCTACTAAACATTTAGCACAGCAATCAAAGATCACACAAATGCTTGTTGAATGGTAGGAGAAGTCAACATGGAAATTGGATTATGCACAGATGTTCTGACATACATGCAATCTTCATATCATTTTAGGAGACAAAATTAGAAGCTGTGTTATGACAAAGACTGGGACAAACTGTATTAAAGATGTTTTGATGGGAAATGGTAGAAACTCACTCAAGAGTTGGAGGCAAAATCAGACTTGACTGGAAGTTTATTGAGTGTTTTTTTTTTTTTTTTTTTAAGAAACACAGGACAGAAAATTAGATCCAAATCTCAGGAAGTTCTGTTACCTGGAATGCTTTTAAACATAAGCATTTTTCTCTTTCGTTGGTGTTTTAGTGCTACTTTTTATCCTTTCTCTATGGCTCTTTTGGTGTCATAACAAGTATGTAGCACCATGTGATCGTATCATAATGGCAAGCCTCAACTCTCAATTTTGCATTACTCCAATCAAGCAAAGACCCCAGTCTCAGAGTGACATCTAAGTCTTAAGGCTATATTCCAGAAAATATTCTGTTTGTTGCAGTTTGGCTCAGGTATTAAAGCCCGATCTACTCCACTGAGCCAAAACATCATGTCACATTACAGACATGGTTACTTACGGCTCACACTTGTGGTTTAGCCAGGCATTTTTCAGAGAAAAGTGTAGGCACAGCAGGTTATCTAAACTATGCCCACTAAAAGTATATAAGAATTATAGAAACAATAGAACTTAATGATTAATTGAATGTAGCCCTAAGACACAAGGTAAAATTAGAGGTTGGAGTTATGGCTCAATTGGTAGAGCACTACCAATAAGTGAAAATGTCAGCTATCAATTTCAAGTACCAGTCTTGGACATAAAAATAAAAAAGAAAAGGTAGAATCAGGGATGACTCCCAATGTTTTATGTAGGAAGGTCAAGGAGAAGACATTTTTATTGGCATACCAGGCCATGATAAAAGAGAGGAGTCTGTGAAAGAAAACTATGAGCAAAAGACCCTTCTGTTGACAAAAATATAACCTTACCTGAAGTTTCTGTTCCAAACAGCATGTTAGGAGTTGTGGCCAAACAGACTTTGTCTCTTTTCTTCACTTTACAGTCCCCATCTGGGCTTCTTCATTCTGACCTATGTTACTAGCCCCAGCCTTTCCCAGGGAGTGGTTTATTGCTTCAAATTGTCCAACACTACAACTATAATTTAAGACAAAGGAATTCTTACCCTCACCAAATCCATTATGCTAAAGGACAAAAGAATATTCAATCTATTATTCTACACCCTGGGCCTACTGAATAATAAAGAGCATTTTTAAAGGTGTTTACAGAGTAATTGAGGCAGATGAGTTAACACAAAAATATAACTAGCATAAAAATAATTACTGGGGCTGGGAAGTTGGCTCAGTGGTAGAGCGCTTGCCTTGCATGCCTGAGGCCCTGGGTTCAATTCCTCAGCACCACATAAGCAAAAAGAAAAAAGCCGGAAGTGGTGCTGTGGCTCAAGTGGTGGAGCGCTAGCCTTGAGCTGAAGAGCTGAAGGACAGCGCCCAGGCCCAGAGTTCAGGCCCCACGACCGGACCCAAAAAAAAAAAATAATAATTACTGTACAAAAATAGATTGTATTCTTAAAATAACTACAGAAGCTATACTGAATGTAAAGGAAGCAACTTGTTATTGGTTTCCATAACTGTCCCTTTTTTGGTCATTAAACCTTCCAAGTTTTGGGATATGCCTCTGTTTCCAGTTTCTTCAGTTCATCCAGGCTGATAACATGATGCAACTGAGAGGTACTAACTTATTTCCTAACAAGGCTAGCTAGATTTTGACTAACTCTAGGCCAAGCTGAGAATCTCATACACAATTACCCATTCCATGTAAGAACTTTCCACTATATGCCTTTTCTTTGTTAACTGGGCTACTAAGTGCACCTGGAAATTGAATGATGTCAGTGCACACAAAAGACTGGTGGTTTATAATTCCCTGAAATGATGAACTGTAGAGGAGTACAAAATGAGCTGCAGATAGAACCACAAACAGAATGATGCAATGCAATGATTCTATTATACCTTTTTCTGAGACAGAAGTTTTGATAGTCTTGATGCTGACTAAATGCTCTGTGAATCATGGGCACAAGGAATCTGAGTTTTGTGGTTATGGAAAAGAGTAGCCTCGCTGTCAGTGTATAAATAGTGGTTACCAGTCACCAGTTCGCTTACAAGTGGAATATCAATGTGTGTCTATAAGAAAGTGTCACATTATGTCTGATGTCCTGGTTTAATTATTATTAGCAGTTCCTTTCACTCTCAGTATGAAAAAAATTCCAATTAGATGGTAGTTCTAAATGCTGCCATGAACCTGATGATTATAGAATACATTAGTAAACCAAACTCCTCAATGTCCATTTTAGAAATGAGGAATTCTGGGAGTATCCAGACAGCTGCTTCTGCTTCTTAAATACATAATACACATAGAAATTCATGTTGATCTAATACATCAAAATATAATTACCTCTCAAAATTTAGATCATTTTTTTTCCTCAAATAACTACTACAGATTGATGTTCATCTATATTTTAATCTATCCTGCATGTATATACCTTCCTGCTGTATACTTTGCCTGCAAGGTGAATTTTTAAAATTCTTTTGAATATTTTCTCTTTAAATAAATCAACTATATTAGACTGTGAAATGTGTTATTCAATCAAGTTATAATATGACTTGAAATGGAAGAGATTTAGATGTCAGTAGGATTTGGGGTACTAATGAATGTAAGGGGAAGGTAAAGGAGGAGGAACAGATCCTCATCTTCAGTCAGGTGTCATTCAGCCATCTTTGTTTGTGTTGCTTCTATCGAAGATCTTTTCTCTTTTCCACTTTAGGATTGTATTCTGTATATACCCCTTTAAACTCAGTGGTATACATCATATCACTGAGTCCCCATACCAAGATACCATGATGAAAACATTAGATTAAGTACAATCAATACATTAGCTAATTGGCTACTTCATTGTTAATCATATACAAGGAAGAAAGTGATCACAGTTGACTCTGGAGTAGACACAGTATAGTACTTTTAGTTCAAGTGTAGGAAGGAGCTGAGCTAAACAAATTTGATTTGCTCTCTCCCTTCTCATCTATAAATGGGGCTGCAAATATTTGTCTTGCCTATTTGAGTGTACAGAAAGCCCTTTTTTAAAAAAAAGTAGAATGATCTTTCAATTGTGATCATGATGGTCCACTTGTCCATTTCTCCTCCTCCATGTTAGCAAATGTAAAGTACGAAAGTTAAAGACAATTCTATAAAGTATTTGGTGTAGAGTATGTGTTCATACAATTTAGCCTTACTTATATGCCTGGAAACACAGTCTTTCCACTACTTGCGTGAGCAAATGAAATCTTTTTTTATTTTTTTTATTGTGAAAATACTGTACAGAGGGGTTACAATTGCATGAGCAAGGTAATGAGCAAAGGAAATCCTTTACTCACACTTGCTCCACTCCCTTCACCTCACAACTAGCTTCTCACTTTCAGCCTCAAGTTCCTTACTCATGCCTTTGACACCTGCCTACATGCCTATTTGTGCAGTTTTGTAAACTATATTCTCCATTCACTCACAACTCTACAAGAATTCTTAAGTTTTTACTACTTTATACTCCAGTGTTGAACATCGATCTGAACAAGTTCTCTTGATGTCCTCTTCTTCTGACGATGATGATCAATCTGTATGCTGGGAGCATCAAAATACCTCTAAGTCACTCTTCCAGTTCTATCAAGGGACTTCGTGTCTACAACTTGACATTTCTGTCTAGTTCCTTAGGCCACCTGCCCAGCTCGGAACTCTGTGACTCATGGTCATGTTTTGACTTTTACCAGCCCTAAGCATTTTGGGGTTCCTCCACAAAACATTAGTAAAAATTTTATTTTAGAATCATATTGGTTTCAAGATAAATACAATTTTAGGCTACCACTTTTATATATCATTAATAGTTTATTTTTTCTCCTGATTTTGAAGAGCTTGTTACATCTTCATAGGTCCCTGAAAGCACTGCTGGCCCTAAGCACTCTGCCTTCCAGTGCTAGTGGTAACTTGGATTTGTCAGAGCCAGATGATCTTAACTCCAGTTTTCGCATAAACATGGCACATGACAAGAAGAAAGAGCACAGACAGATTAAAATGACCCATTATTGGTCTATTGTGATTGGTTTCTCTCTTTAAGGACTCATACCTCAATTCATTCCACCTGTGCCTTTGTTTTTCAGAGTGAACTACCCTGTCAAACATATCCTTTTACGTTGGGTCTTTCTTTTTCTTTCTTTTTTTTTTTAAGAATGGATCTACCAGAGTTTGGAGAAGCTGCAACTTTCCTCAGAAGAAGTGAGGCTGACTTGCTTCTGCTATCAGCCACGGACTTTGATGGTAAGACACATAAAGTAGTTGCTGGCCACAATATATTGCTTTAAGGTGGCAACTAACTTGGAGCCTAACTTATTGGTTTGAGGTACAATTGGTCTCTATAAAGTTCTGACTTAATTGTTAAGGAGCTCAGAGTGTCCAGGCTAGAAATGAAGTTTTCAAGAAAGAAGAAGATGGCTGGGAGGCAGTCCAGGCTTGGACCTTGCTTACATGGCCTTCAGACAAGGATTCTCCTCCAAGAATCACTATTATGAAATATTCATAGTCCCCTCTATCTCCTGGACTAGACATGAGGTTGAACAATGTGAGAATAAAGAAAGAAGAAGAACTGAGAAGTCTAGAGAAAGAGAATTTGTTTCTGGCTCAGTTCAGATGTTTTAAAAATTGGAATTTGGCACTCTGGCGGTCTCTGGGTCAGTGGGGTCACTCAGCTCACAGGAAAGGACAGATAATTAATTGGGAGACTTGCTCACTGTGATCCAAAATTTCTTGGTAATTACAGGCAAGGGCAAAGGTTAACAAAGACTTAGCCTCAAGCAAATGGTCAAACTCTACATTAAACTATTAAGTAAATGATACTCCCCTCTCACCCCGCCCCAAACTTAATTGCATGCTTGTGCTGCATCGCCAGTCTCTGTGAGCTTAACAGAGATTTAGAAGTCATATCACAGTGTGATCTTATACCAGGTGACCTATGTTCCTTAATTCCAAATTATTTAATAAGTCCCATAAAAACTAGCTGTTGTCCTAGTACACAGAATTTTTAGTCAACCCTAGACTTTAATAGGACCAACTAGAATTTAAACCAGTCATGGAAGTCCTTCACAGACTAACTCAGTCCTGGTTCTATTCCCAGTTTCAGTCATTGGATTCCATTAATGTGATTGGATTTTAGAATTACTACTTATAATCTATCAAATCAAATACAATAGCAGAGCAATCCCTGAGGGCAGAGCTGGTCCTGCAGAGGCTTAGCCCAGGTAGTTAGATAACAAAAGACAAGATTATAATTGTGGTGCTGGGGAGGGAGGGAAATCAAAATGGGTCAAAGCATTAAAGATAGTTGGATGATTCATTCAGTAGATTCAAAACTATAAATAGTTACTTAAAATATAGAAATTTAAATTACTATTTTTAAAACAATATTTCTTATAAAAATGTTCCTGTAGCCAGGTGCCAGTGGTGCATGCCTGTAATCCTAGCTACACAGGAGGCTAAGACTTGAGGATAGCCATTTCAAGCCAGTCAGGGCAGAAAAGTCAGTGAGGCTCTTATCTCCAATCAACCACTCAGAAAAAGCTAGAAGTGATTCTGTGACTCAAGTGGTAGAGCACTAGCCTTGAGTGCAAAGAAGCTTAGGGACAGTGCCCAGACTCTGAGTTTTAAAAAAACAAAAACAAAAAACATGTTCCTATAGCCAAAAGATGAATCTCATCAAACGTTGTTCATCTCTCTGGGCAATGGAGGTTGAAGTATTGTAACTTCCTGTGATGGTGACTCCAAGTTGACAAGCAGACTTTTCAGATATGAGATTATATCCATCATATGAAAGCACCCAATGGATATTTCTATATTATAATCCATATTTTCTCTTTAGAGGAGAAGAAATGCTGGATTCCTGATGAGAAATATGCTTATATTGAGGTTGAGGTTAAAGGGAGTGAAGCTGATGGAAAAATAATTGTAGAGACTAAAGATGGAAAGGTAATGGAATCCTTATTTCACTTGAGAATGTTTATGTTACCTGTTTAATTAAACCATTAAACATGTTTTTTCTAATATTTTCATTAAACACACTAGGAGATATGACTGACACTTATCTTTAAATTTTTTTAAAATTATCTTTAGTTGTGGAAAGAAGTTTCCATTTAACAAAGCAGCTTTAGAATACAATATATCTTGGCCTTCTTAACATTCTCATCCATTCCCTACATACCACTTCTCTCACCATTTTTTTTTTTTTTTTTTTTGTTAGTCATGGGGCTTGAACTCAGGGAATGTGCTCTGTGAGTGAACTTTTTTTGGCTCATGGCTAGTGATCTACCACTTTGAAACACAGCTCCACTTCCAGTTTTCAGTGGTTAATTGGAGATAAGAGTCTCAGACTTTCCTGCCTGCGCTGGATTGGAACTACAGTCCTTAAATCTCAGCCTCTTATGTAGCTAGGAATATAGGCATGAGTCACCTTAAGGATGTTCCTCCACTTACCCTCCAAGATTTAATGAATAATACTCAATAACCAAAGCCAAATAATTGCAGTAGCAAATATCATTGGCTCTAGAACTCAGTCATTTCCACTTTCATAAGTTTTGAGTTCTTTATTTTAAAGGTGCTGTTTTGAGTGACTATGACTTATAAACATGTCTATCAAGCTGTGTTTGTAAGATCAAGACAGAGATATGATTTGAATAAAATAGCATTTTCTCTAGATGCAAGAAATGGGAGCAATGTCTGGTTATATGAAATCCTAGAGGAAGTGATTACAGATTTGGAAAAGGCCTTGAATTTCAGTATTAGAAGGAGGTTATCTATGATCACGGAAAGAGAAGATTAATTAGGCCAAGTGCTGGACCATAAAATGGTAGAGTAGTCTTGTGCTGGTAACTCTCACAGTAATCCTAGATACTCAGGAGGCTGAGATCTTTCCTTTTATCTTGTAGCACCAGAAATTGAACCAAGCATGTTACATGTGCTAGGCAAATACTGCACTACTAAACTACATTCTAAATCCTTCCCAACTTAAAAAAAACTATTGAGAGGACATTTATATAACATTTACTTTGACTCTTTAAAGTGTCTGTTTTAATAGGTTCCAAAAACAATCAGCAAACTCCACCTGAATGCATACCCACAATGACCTAAACACTATCTCAATAATAGGCTACACCTGTGTATTATTCCATACTTCACATTTCCATACTGGAGGGAAGCAGTCAACATTTCAACAAATAAACCATTAGAGGACATAAGTCATATTCCAAGCCATAACATTTTTGTCCATGGTTCACAAAACCCATGTCTGCATTATGATACATTTTCACTAATTTAATATAATAGCTTCAAATAGCTTCCAATATTATTCAAATATCCAAGTCCAAAGTCTCATATGAGACTCCAAATGAACCCTTTCCAGCTGTGAATCCTTGTTAAACCAAACCCAAAACAAAACAAAAAAAGTTACATACTTCCAAGATAGAATGAACATTCCTATTCCAAAGGAAATATAAGCAAGTAATTATGGATAAATATTAGCTTACAGCAGACTAACAATCCAAGTCTGGCATCATGCGCTTATTGTAGTGGAAGATTGGCACTGTGTTAGTCAACTTATGTCACCACAAGTATCTGACATAATCAACCTAATGAAAAGATTTATTTTGGTTCACATTTAGAGGTTCCAGTTCAGTATTTGTTGGATCTATTGTTATGGGTCTTGTGGAAAGCAACTCAGTTATAATTGTAGTATCACATAACAGAGAAAAACCCACATTTCTCATAGCCAGAAGACAAAAGAGAATCTGGAAGCTGCTGAGCCCTACAGTCCCCTTCATCCGTATTTCACTAAGCACTTAAAGACTTTGCAAAGTTTTTTAATAGGCTTTATCTGTTAGAGATCAGGTTCTATGTGTCTTAATAGCACCATTCTGGAATCCAGTCCTCTAACTCATGGGCCTTTGAAAGACACCCAAGATCCAAAACTTGGGGCCACAAGGCCTCTGGCAGTCCCACCTCTTTGGCTTTGATGTAGCAAAAAATATTAAGTTTTCTTAAGCTCCTGGCCAAAAGAGGGCTTTGGTAGGAGGAACATCTGTTTCTTCCAGGAAAAGTGGCTTATTCTGGCCCTATTCCCTAAGAAAGCATCCCTTTCTGACTTTGAATATTATTTCCAGTGCATGGATAAAAAAAATAAGCATACGGAGAGAATTGATTAATTTTCTTCCTTTCTGCAGTGTCTGAGTGTCAAAGAGGACAAAATTCAGAAGACAAATCCTGCAAAGTTTGATGTGATTGAGGACTTGGCAATGCTGGCTCCCCTCAATGAAGCATCTATGCTGCACACCCTGAAGAGACGCTATGAACACTGGATGATCTATGTGTGTATAGCTGGTTTACTGGAAAAGCACCATGCTAGCACTCATATTTTGTAATGTTCCAACCTCTCTTGGGTGAAATATTACATTCAATGGCGGCATACTCACATAGAAACAGTCTTTGAGGAACATTTATAAGGGAGACTTACCTTGAATTTCCCTAATCTCATTTGTCAGTATTCATATCCCTTCACACAAGTTGCTATGCTAAATAAAAAACAGGAAACTTGGAACTTGATAGACCAGTGTTCAAATGCTCGCTCTGTTACTTGTTAGTTAAGGTTCTTGATTCCTTAAAGTTATTGTTTCCTAGTGGAAAATATATTTCAGATGTTTCTTTTTTTCTTTCTTTTGTTTCAGTTTTGTGAAAAGGTAGGAGAAACAGGTCAAGTTTGTATTTGCACATAAGTACACAACATTTATGTGCTCATATACACAGACCTGAAGAGAGATAGATATGCAATTCTTAAGCACCTTGCAAGGCAGAGATTACAGTATTAAAAAACAGAGATTACAGTATTACAAAAGAAAATAAGCAGAGGCCCCAAAGTATTGCTGTGTTTATGATAGCCATTGAATCTTGATTATTAGAGAGTTTCTGCATCATCTTCACCATTAAATAATGAGCTCCTTCAAGGCATAATAGGTTTCTGTCATGCTTTTCCTTCTTAGAACTGGAGTTTGAAACCAGGGCTTCTTACTTGTTATACAGGTACTCTTTCACTTAATCCAAACCCCTAGCCATATTTGGTTTTGTTGCTTTTAAGATAGTGTCTCATTTTCTTCCTGGTCAAGTATACTACTTCATCTTCCTAGCTATGCTTCCCATTATATCTGGGATGGCAAGCACATACATCTGTGCCAAGCTTTTCCTGTTGAGGAAAGTTAAGGGGTCATCTTCAGACCTTTCATTTTATTACATCTGAAGAGACTTTAGTTCCCCAAATAATAAAACATTCACTATCTCTGAGCATTAGGATCTAAACATGTCACTTATGGAGACAGAAGGATCATTACTAGAGGCTAGGTTTGACAAGAGTTATCAAGACTCTCCTCTTAAAAACAAGCCAGGCATGGTAGTAACATTCTTTATTCCCAAGTACTCTGAAGGCATTATGGATTGAGGCCAGCCCAGAAAAAGATAACTCAAGACCCCACCTGAAAAACCAACTAAAAGCAAAGGTTTTGGTGGCATAGCTCAAGTAGTTAGCACTTGGGTCCTCAGTACTACAAACAAACAAATAAAAAAGGGAGAAAGAAACATCAGTTGGAGAGCCACAACTCAACCACTTCAATAATGGAGAGGCATGCACTGAACTATTTATTCTCTTTAATGTTCTAAATGACACTTTTCTAATCTTAGGTAAAAATTCCCTTTTGACCTCAAATTACTGATGACTAGCTACCAAAAATTCCTTGAGACCTGCTCTTCTGTGTCATTTTCTTCTAAAGTTATGTAAACTAGGACTATTGGTAGACAGCAGATCTCTCAGGAAAGGGGGGGTAATCCCCAGTCTCGAGGTGGTGAGACCTGGTTTTCTCTCCTAGTTAAAGGTCTCTTCTTTAAAGAGTTGAAAAGCTCTCCTCTTTTGTGTTCTGTTGTAAATATTCACTAGAATGTTACTTGATCAGCTCCAGCTGACAACTAGAATATTTTCTTATATTTCTTTAGACGTATTCAGGTATCTTCTGTGTGACCATAAACCCTTACAAGTGGCTTCCTGTGTATCAAAAAGACGTTGTGGCTGCCTATAAAGGGAAGAGGCCATCCGAGGTTCCGCCCCACATCTTTGCTGTTGCTGAAAATGCCTTTCAGGAGATGCTTCTCAGTAAGGAACTGCCCTAGAGAATGAAGAGTAAAAAAGATATGATCTACATTTTCTCAATGTCAGTGAGATACACTTAAATACTATGAGCTGAGCATGGCCTTCACAATCAGCTAATCTCAAACCTTCCATTTCCTTTTGCATAAAATGTGAGCCAAATTGTGCAGGGTTGTTGAGACAATTAACACATACTTCTGAGAAAAATAATGTATTTACAGTGCTGGGCTGGTGGCTGGTCCAGAGTAAGCCTTCTGTAACTACTGGCTTTTGCTTTCACAAAATATCTGCTATATTGTTTGACCCAAAGAAGTTATTTTATAGCTATTATTGTATAATAATTATTTAAAAGGCTTAAAAAGGTAAAAGTCACAACGTTTAGTTACCATTTATATAGAGATTTATATGTTTTAATGACAGATAAATATATATGTTCTCATGATGCACATAGAGAAATCTATTTTATCCTGTGCTATCTAAAGGGAATATTTTAGTAACTGTAAATAAAACAATTCCTTTCCCTTGTATCTAAAGCCAAGCTATAGGTAAGGAAATTTTGAATACTCATACTAATACATAAATATCTAACATTCTAGCTATTTTTTTCCTTTGTAGACCGAGAGAATCAGTCCTTACTTTTCACGTAAGTGTTTGCCTTAAATTTTCTTTTTGGCCTGCAGGAAGTTTCAATGGAAACAGACATCTACATCCCTTTGAAAAAATTTAACTGTGACATTTTTGAGCTGTTTGCTCTCTAAATGCCAAATACATTTTAGACAAGAATAAGATAATCAGCAACTTTTCATAATGCTTTAGTCAGTGATTGCTCCAAACCATGTTGGCAGGTAGTTTGCCCCCCATGATTTTAGGGCAGCTTTAGAAACCACAGTGCATGAGCTCAAGCAAGAACTTTTTGGTAAAGGAAATTTCACTCTCCCACGTGAATACTTCAAAGGCATTTGGGATTGCTGATTAAACATAGAACCTAAAAGCCAAATGAAAAAGACCAAGGATTTATTTCTGGCAAAAGAAATGTAGAGGCCATTCTGTTTCAGATTTGGGAAGATTGTGTTGTAGTAATATTAATTACTTTCATTAGAGATTAAGTAAGCTTTGAGGAGAAAAAAAAGATGGTGAAAAGCAAAGAAGAAAAGAGATTCAATGGTACCTCTATTGGAAATTAATGTTGATGGAAAGAACATTGGTAGAGCAGGTGACTTTCAACAGATGGCTGATACTCAATAGTCAAGTATGTACATCCTTGGCCTTCATTTGCAAGGTTGATTCTATCTTACTGATTGGTTCTCCATTGGCTTGTGTTCTCGCTGAGTGATCAAAGGCCTTAGAATCATAGAACTGGATGGTAGAGTTCAGCCTTTGGTAGCAGGTCAAGACTAATTTGTAAAGATTTTTTTTTCAATTTGTAAAGTTTTATACAGATAAAAGCAGGTCTTATCTGATGATGTTTTAGGAGATGAGTCTAAGAATTCACCACTGGGTATGCCTATGTTAAAAATTTCCTGGTTAACAAAGGCAAAGAGGAAGCTTATAGCACAACTGTCTTTTGCAATGATTGCTATGTCTTTTTCCAAGAAAAGAATAGGGTTTGGTGTACTTACTTAACTTTCATTAAATTGATCATGAGAATCAGTTAACTGTATCATTGAAATTCAAACCACAGGGGAGAATCTGGTGCTGGGAAGACTGTGAATTCCAAATTTGTTCTCCAGTATTTCACTACCACTATAGCCATGAGTGAATCCAGGAAAAAGCCAGTAAGTATTATATTCCATTCTGGGGGAAAATGAGGTAGACCAGTCTTAAGAGGAATAAGGATGTAGAAACACAATGAATAACTTGAATGGTGTTGAAAAAGTCTTATTTTCTGTCTGTCCTTTGCTCAAGAGAGAACCATCAGTTCTCTAATCTAATAATTTGAAAACAGTGTAACTTCAGATCAGCTTCAAGGGCCAGATTTGTTTATTAAAGTTGCATCCTCAGTATTGAAAGACCTTCTTAAAAATTAAGGTTATCAATACCTTTAATGGCCACTGTTGACATTTTGTTATCTCTTCAGGTATGATGTAGTGTCATATTCTTACAAAGATGTTCCAATGCTTCCACTCTCCTCATATTCCTATATTACATCTTAACAACCCAATAGTCATACTCTGAAATTTAATCATAGTTTTTGTTCTGTAAAACTTTTCTTTCTCTCTGTGTGTAACATTGTTGTCCTTGGTAATTTTAAATTTTACTTACTTTATTTAGCTCCATAAAGAATTAGTAGGCTCTCATAATAATTTGAAAACACTAGACTGTGAAAATTGAAATATAAATAGAATTTTGTAATATGGAGTGAAACTACAAATTAATGAGTTATTGAGCTGTTCAGACTTCTATAACTGACATTGTTATTTTTCAGTTTGATCCTGGATGTTGCCTGGTAGTTTTGCTAATAAGAGCTATATCAAATATTAAAAAAATAAAAAAGAACTACATCAAAATAGACATTGGCATCAAGTTTTAACCATACAATGCTTCCTCTTCAAACATCACATTCTAGATTTTGATTGATTTCTTTAGGTTTCATTTTGTTCTTATTCCCTACATAAAACTTTCTCTAGGTTTTATTATACTTTATAATTAAGTACATAAAACTCTGTATTGCTATGTGTTTAAGGTTTAGTCATTACTGTTGTTTGTTTTTTCATCTGAATTGGTTGGTCTAGCTACTCAGTCTTATGATACATAGATTTCTGTGGGAATCTTTGCTCACATAGCACTTTTACTGCTTAAAGCAGGCCCAAATTATTTACAAGGCTAATGACATTTGTATGTATATATACATAGAGAAGATAGATAGACAGATGGATAAATAGATATGGTTAAACACCATAAAGCAATGTTGGAGAATAAATAGAAAACTACAATCATGATTTAATGTGGCTGTTTGTTAGTTGGTCATCATTCTGTCTCATTCTGAGATGACAACCTTTTAGTCTCATAGCTCTAATTGTGTATAATTTCATTTTGATAAATGTATTAAAGTCACTACTTGTTGTAACAGTCTAGATTACTTAGGAATTTTATTTTTTATATTTTTTTATTTTTTTATTTTATTTTATTTGTGAACATAGTGTACAGAGGGGTTACAATTACATGGGCAAGATAATGCATACATTTCTTACCAAGCATTGCAGCCTCCTCCTTTGTTTACCCTTCACCTCCCTTCCCAGCCTCCCCCCTCCCCCCCCCACCCAATCCTCCCCCCCCTCTCCCCCCCACCGACATTGTAAAGCTCCTTTTTGACATGACAATTTGTACTTCTCATTGTTGCAACAGGTTTAGGAATTTTAGTAGATGGAAAAATGTAACTTAATGAAGCCAAGAGTCTTGGTAGAAGTTTCTTGGTATAAGAATTTCATGGGAAGAAAGAAATATAGCATTATCTATCTGATGTTTATTTTGTCAAACAGCCATTTTCTTTTCAATCAATTAGTAATGAATTAATTACAAACTAAATAGTTTGCCTATATATTCGCAGGAGAATCAGTCTCTCATCCACTTGATTTTCTGAACTTTAATTCCAAAATAATATTTGAAAGCAGCTTTGGGGTACTGCTTATTGAAGGAAAAATGAGGATGGAATTGAGGGCTTCACAAGATGGAATTCAGGTAAAAATCAGCTGTATTTATTTTTCATGAATTTCAGGGGACTTTAGAAGATCAAATCACACAAGTGAATCCTATCTTGGAAGCATTTGGAAATGCCCAAACTCTGAGAAATGATAACTCCTCTCGTTTTGTAAGTAACTTGATTTATCATAATATCAAAATCTTTAATTTTTAATTTTTTCAGTCTTTAATTATCAAACAATGCTAAAATTTATATCTGAACACATAGATATGGAAAAAAATCTATAATGTCAGCAAGGTGCTGGTGGCTCATGCCTATAATCTTAAGGTACTCAAAGGCTAAGATCTGAGGATCATGTTCAAAGCCAGCCCTGGCAGGAAAGTCCATGAGATGCTTATCTCCAATTAAACACCAAAAAAAAATTAAAAGTAGAGCTGTGGCTCAAGTGATAGAACACTAGCACAAAAGCTCAGGAACAGTCTCTAGGCCCTGAGTTTGAGCCTCAGAGCTAGCACACACAATGATTCTAGGATGTCAAAGAAGTTCTTTGTTTACATTCTATTGTTGGACTTCTCAAAAACATTTTCTTAAATCAACTACCTTTGAGACATCTATAGATACTATCTGAGATACTTCTATGTGATTAATTTCAGGAAGAATGTTTTTATCCTAACAGTTTCCAGTTTCTTTCCCTCCCAGCCCACCTAACAAATTATATAAACAAATTAATGCTTTATATCTTATTATACTTTGCAGATTTGAAATACTTTCACATAATTTCCTATCATTTTCATAAGTCAAGTTAGTAGGTATTTCCCATTTTCTTATTACAATTATTCTTCCCACTCTTGCTGATGGCCTCTCTCTTTCCCTATTTCACTAGGGATTTTTTTATTGAGAAAAGTATTTTTTGAATAGCTTTTGATAACCAGAAGGCCCAAATCCATTTTGTGCCCAGAATGAGTGTCAAGAGGCCACTATATAATTTATAGAGAAATCTGCAGAAGTCTTAAAGTCTGTGTCTCTGGGCATAATTAAATGATATCCTTATGCTGATCTGCCTAGTTTCCATCCAAAGCCCGAGAGCTGTTCCATCCTCACTCATATCTTCAATATTGGCTTTGTGACCTCAGCTGCTAATACTGGCTGATAAAATAGCTGCTAGATTTTTTTCTTAATGCGGAATCAAGCATGTTCTGATAAAATATGAAGGGCAGTAAGATGAAAGAAGCTAAATAGAAAAAATGAAAGTATGAAGAGAGTAAAAGACATTTTAAGAGAAAAAAATAAAATAATTTAAAAGGAAGAAAGGAAAGAACAAGTAGGATGAGAGATAAAGAAGAAGGAAACAAGGCGATTGAAACAAGCTAAGAATAAAGTTTGAAAGATAGAAGCAAATGAGAAAGTAAACAGAATTCCGAATGGAAGAAAGGAAGGCAGGAAGCAAGGGAGGAAGGGAGAGAGGGAGGGAGAAGAAAGAAAATGGGAAATTGGGTGTCAGTGGCTTAAGCCTGTAATCCTAGCTACTCAGAAGGCTGAGATATGAGGATGGAGGTTCAAATCTAGCCAGGCGGTATACTTTTTGAGACTTTTATCTACAATTAACCACCAAAAAACTGGAAGAGGCAAATCTGTTGTGGCTCAAAGTGGTAGGGTGCTAGCTTTGAGCAAAAGAACTCAGTGACAGTGCCCAGGCTTTGAGTTCAAGCCCCATGACCAACAAAAACAAGAACAAAAAAAAAGAAAGAAAAAAAGAAAAGAAAGGAAAACATAAAATGGTATCCAGTAATTCAAGTGAAATGTTTTCTATCAACACTATATGTATGTACATGTACATTTTAAATGGCTGTGCATTGGTGCATATTTACATACATGGTTATGTGTGTGTACTGTAGTTCCCATGGTCTTACTTTACTTTTCTTTTAGTTGTTTAAGATGTTTAATTTTTTTTTCTGTAAGAGTTAATTTTTGTTTTGATTTCTTCTTACTTATTTTTAATTTTTAAAACTTAGGATTCATTGCTAGTGTGGGGGTGCTCCTGTAAAAAAATTAAATATGTGTAATAGTGTATTTTGAGTAAGTTCATACCCTCTATTATATTTAACCCTGTTCCTTTCTCCTCTTTTAAAAAATCTTTGGTATGCTTCCTTATTCTTTTGTTTTTTCATTGTTGTTTGTTCTTGAGACAGAGTCTGACTATGTAGCCCATGTTAGCACTGGACTTATTGTGTAATCCAGGCTGTTGCAGAATTCATGATCCTTATGCCTCACCGTCTGGAGCTGTGAGGATTACCTCTGCATTCTTTCTTCCAGATTTTGACTTACTAGCTCATTCTGTGTGTGTGCAGTCATCTCTTTCACCTTCTAGGCTGCTGTCCTTCCCTAGCAATTTCCTTGCATGGACCAACATCTGCCAGGTTGCCCTCTGCTTAGATGTTGACTCCAACGTTCTCATCCTGCCCTCCAGCTGTCACTAAACAGACTTAAACAGTGCCTGGACATCTCTGGCAGACTTTCTGTCCTGCTCAATTTTGCCCTATGGCTTTGTGTCGAGAAGTGGACAAGGAGTACCATTGACTGTTTATACCTATGGGTGTGTGACATCACATTACCCCTTTTCTCGGAACCTCCTGACGTCTCTTGAACACTCATGAGCTAAGCCTGCTTTTCCCTGTGTTCTACAGGACTTTCATGATACGATGCTTATTTATCTTCTGTACTTACTTTTAGGCTTTATTTTTACTTTACTTGCTAGGCTGCAAAACAGTTGCTTTCCTTTTGATTTCCAAACATGCCAGATGTTCCTGTCTGAGAGTTGTCACAAAAGCCACTTACCCTGTACAATATATACTTCATGAGGATGGGGACCATACCTGAGTTTTCTTCTGTGGTACCTCCAGTGTCTAGCAGGTTTCCTGGATAGCAACAGATCCTCAGTGAATGAATATAGTAGACTGCTGAGTAGATATTCATTTTTAGACAAAATTATTGAGATCCAGAGAGATTTTATAGTGTAAACACATCTGTTTGAGAGTATACAGTTTGCAGAAGGCAGATATGGGCATAGATCTCAGGATCATGACTAATTCTAACAGCCAATCTAGCTCCCCCTATGCATTAACAGGTGCCATCTTATCTCAAGCCTATGTTGTATCTCATTTTTCAATCTTTTGGGAAAGTAGTCATGTGTTATATGTACAGTGAAACCATTACACCTATTTGGAAAGTTTGAATAGGAGACTGTGTTCTGCATCCACCTAGGGAAAATTCACCAGGCTGCACTTTGATGCCAGAGGCATGCTTTTATCTGCAGACATCGAGATCTGTGAGTAGCGATGCACTGTCTGACCCTTTTTCTTCTAAGTTTTCTAACTGAGTTTCTAACTAAGTCTGAATCTGTATTCATTTTTCCATCCAGATTTGCTTGAAAAATCTCGGGTGACATACCAGCAGCCAGGTGAAAGAAACTACCACATATTCTATCAAATTATAGCTGGAAGAAAAGAACTTCATGGTATGTATAAGGTTCTAGAACTGAGTGTTATTCTAGAACAAAAGAGAGAAAAGATCAGGGTCTACAAAATGCTATTTTAGTATATCTCTTGGCTAAATGTATTTTGTTAGATCTTGGAATAGCAAATGGCCATTGTTGGTGATACAATGGAGGGACAGGATAGATAGAATTAGGCAGATGTCAGATAATATTGTACTACCAGGCCTTGGCATAAAGAGCTGTGTGATATAAAATCACTGGGAGGGCACAACGCAAAGCTGATTAAGTTGCATTTGAGGTAACCCACTGAGAAGACTAAGGTTACCTGCCATGGGAGTGGGTATGGGCTGGGGTGTCAGATACAGACTAGCAAATGATTGGGTAATTTAAATTCAATATGGCGGTATTTTGACCACCTACACTTTAAAAAGTAGGAATCAAAAGTAGGAATCTACAAATTAGACAGTTATTTAAAGCCATAGGTGAATTAATGATGTGTAAGCAGTGACTACTTTTTCCAGCTAAACCTGGAATAGGTTTTCTCCTTCTGTTAGTAATGCATTATTATACATACTAGTGCATTTGTTATTTCATGATAAACAGTCTTATCATCATTTTTTGTGATGTTACTGGGATTTGAATACAAAGCTTTGTGCTTGCTAGGTGGGCACTCGACCACTTGTGCCAGGCCTCTAGGCCTTTTTGCTCTGGTTTATATATTTATTTAGAGACAAGTTCTCATTTGTTGCCTAGGCCAGCCTGTACAATCGTCTCTTACTTAAGTCTGTTATTAAATGTGTTCTGTTGTGATGAAGTTTTGTAAACTTTTTTTGCCTTGGTTGTCCTAGAAAGGCAATTTTCGTGATTTCATCCTCCCAAGTAGATTGAAGTGTAGGTGCGTATTATCATGGGATGAATCTTTTGAACTTTATTTTCCCAGGCTGGGTTTAAGGAATTGAGATATTCCTGATGTCTGCCTCCAGAAAACCAAGGTTTTTGGGGATGAGCCACTGGTTCCCTATAAATCTTAAAATTCTTGACATGGTCTGTTATGCTGTGCAGGACATCTTATATAAAGATCCTAATTTAGAAACCACAAATATTTAGGTTACCTCAAATATTTGGGAGATATTTTATAGTACACTGCTCTGAAAATTCAGGCATATCCTGAATTGATTCATCTTGCTGATAGTTTAGGGTTGCTCAAAATTGATTATTGTGCAATTGGTGACATCTGGTGGTATAAGATGGGTATTGTCAAGCTATTCTTTTTTAGCTTCTAATATCATTGGGAAACATTTTTTAAAATGATTAGGTAGGTGCTAGAGACTCACACCTGTAATCCTAGCTACTCAGTAGTCTGATATCTGAGGATCCCAGTTTGAAGCCAGCCTAGGCAGAAAAGTCTGTGAGACTTATCTTCAATAAACTACTCAGAAAAAGCTGGAAACAGCACTGTGGTTCAGATAGTAGAGTGCTAGCCTTGAGCAAAAGAAGCTCAGGGGCAGTGCCCAGACTCTGAGATCAAGACCCAGGATTAGAAAAAAGAAAAAAAATAGGTATTATTTCCATCCATGCTTGTAAAAGAAGAGTTTCACAATATTCTGAGGATTGCAATAGGATGGAACATCTTACAAAATGAAGATCATGCTTAGGTCTCCTAACTAACTCTATTTGTCTGTACTAGAAAAAATATTGGACATGGAAAAATCACAGAGTAGAAGTCCACTCATGGAAAAAGCTGAAAAAATTAAGCAATGTGTTGCATTGGAGCCAGAGTTAAGCAATGAATTTTAGTGTAAGAAAATGTTTTATTTTTTTTAAATGGTGATGGTAGTGGGCTTTGCTAGTCCAGTGCTTTACCACTTGAACTATAATTACAGCCTATGTTTCTCTAGTTATTCTTGAGACAGTGTCTTGCTTTTTGCCCAGGCTGGATTGGACAGCAACCCTCCTACTTATGTTTCTTACTATGGTTGGGATGATAGGCACACAACCACTATGTCCAGTTATTGTTTGAGATGGGGTTCTACTAACTTATTTCTGCTTCCTGAGTAGTTAGGAAATAGGGAATTCAGGTCTGGCCCCGCAATCTTGGCCACATGGTGGATGGTAGGGTCTGGCATCTTTTCTTCATGGTGGGGGAGGTGAAGCCCCCCCCTTCTCCGCCTCCCGGGTGATGGGCACACCTGAAACTCTGGAGACAGGGTTGGGTACTTGGATTGATAGGTTACTAAACCTATCAGTTCAGTGCCCAGGACTGGGAGTTTCCTGTGACCCTGGACCCTGCCTGACCCTATTTAGACCTGTACCAGCTCCGGTGCCATTCCTCAATGCCACTTGTGTCCTTATTTGTGTCCTATCTCCTGTCTCCTGTCTCTTATCTGGTCACCATAGCATCCCAATTTAGAATTGGTTTGTTGGTATTGTTTTTGTTCTTTCTTTCCTTTCTGGCCTTCATGGCTCATTTTCCTAACTGTGAAGTATATTTGCTGGCTGCTGGTCTTTGAGACAGGAGTCCGGCATGCAGTTTCTGGCCTTTTAATAAAGACTCCAACATTTGACCTCCCAAAATGTGGCCTCTCTGTTTTCTCACCTTACAACAATAGGTGTGAGCCATCAGTGCTCTGCAGGTTTTTAAATGTTCTGTCCACACAAAAATGTGTGTGTCAGGTAATGATCAAAAGTATTAGATGGGTTAAGTCATTTTGCACATATATGCCTTAAGAAATACCAGGTACATTTTTATGCATCTATCCATATCAAAACATCATGTTGTACAACGTAAATATGATTATTTTTCAATTAACGAGTAATAAAATCATTTAAAATAAAATTAAATGTATTATGTTTGCCATTGCTTGAGCTTTATTGAAGGATGACTGACATAAAATCAATGACATACTTTTGAACTGACAATTGGTGTTGGAATATGAGTATATGTGAGAAGCCATTACCACAATCAAAAGAATGCACACATTCGAAACGTTTCCTTTGAATCTTTTGTGATTCCTCCATCTTGTCCTCATTGTCTGCAAAGCCATTGCTAATATGCATTTTGTCATTTTAGTTTAGGTTGTATTTTCTGTAATTTTTTTGTTGTTGTTGGTGGTGGTCATGGGGCTTGGTGAACTCTGGGCCTGGGCACTGTCTCTCAGCCCTTCAGCTCAAGGATGGCGCTCTACCACTTGAGCCACAACTCCATTTCCTGTTTTCTGGTGGTATATTGGAGATAAGAGTCTCACGGACTTTCCTGTCTAGGCTGGCTTTGAACCGTGATCCTCAGATGTCAGCCTCCTGAGTAGCTAGGATTTATAGGTGTGAGCCACTGACATCCAGCATGTTTTCTATAATTTGATAATATAGACTCATACTTTGTGCATTCTTTTGGTCTGGCTGATTTCAGTGTGCATAATTATGGTGAGATTCTTTTATTCTGGAATTCATACTTTGGGGATTGTATGAATATGCAACAATTTTGTTTACTGATTCAACTGGTGAGGACACGTAGCTTCTTACCAAATAAAGTTGATGTATACATTCATGTAAGCCTAATTCCTTCTGTTCTGAGATTTGCTTTTCAACATAGCAGATAATTCATTTCCATGAGGAGTAAACAGTAAAAAAGACCAGCATAAAAACATTTTTCTGGGAATAAATGGGCAATAGGAAGTTAATGAATTCTGCCATTGTTGATGTGCTGTTGACAGCCTACCTTGGGTCCGGTCTGTATTATGTTTCCTGATGAAGTGAATCACATCAGGAGTCTTAGAGTTGCTGATTTGTGGATCCCTGGAAAGACAGACCCAGACTCTGAAGTGGGAGAATGTGATATGATAGGTTACACTCCTAATGCTTATTAGGTATTGACACCAGGGTCAGGCTGCCTTTGAAGCTCAGGTCTGATCAGGTCTGATCTACTTTTAATTTCACAAAAGGTTTTCTTTTTCTTCCCTTCCTTCCTTCCTTCCTTCCTTCCTTCCTTCCTTCCTTCCTTCCTTCCTTCCTTCTCTCTCTCTCTCTCTCTCTCTTTCTTTCTCTTTCTTTTTTTGTCTTTTGGCCCTCATCCAAGTTTTGATAACATACATTATAGGCTTATTTGTGTTGTGATATTTTGTTTGGTTTTGGGTTTCCTTTGTCTTCCCTCTACTTCCTCTCCCCCCTCCCACCCCTCCACCCCCAATTCATGTTGTGGCAGTTGAATTTGCTTTTGGATTTGGTCAGCCTGGTCTTCTCTTGAGAGGCATTACCACTTGACTGACAAGTCAATAGAAAGCAAAAGTTGATTTACAGGTTTGGATCTAGAAGATGGATTTTACTTTGGCTTGTTTACAAGTATGCTATAAGCTGTGAAGTAAACTGTGAACATTGGTCAATTATTTTCTCAGGCTTTGTACATTTCTCTAATGATGTTTAATGATTGTTTTCCACTGTAGACATGCTCCTGGTGTCAGCGAATACCTCTGACTTTCACATTTGTTCCTGTGGGGTAGCTGCTTTGGAGAGCAGGGATGATGCTGAGCAATTGCTGGCTACAGAAGTAAGGCTTGTTAGCTGTCAAATCGAAGTCTGGTGATAACCATAAATTGGTTCAAGAAAGCATCCTAAAGCTTTGTTCTTAAAGGACTTGAAGAATGACTTTGCTCCCTCTAGTGGTAGAAGTCTGCTTTCATCCAAAATTGACTTGTACTGTAAAAGTATGAATTGTCAGAGTTCTTTTGGAATCATAGAAAAGGAGAAAGAAATTTCAACACAATGGCAAATTCTTTGTTTAGTGTTTACTTCTACAATCTTTTTTATTCCTTTTTTTTTTTTTTTTTGCCAGTACTGGGGCTTAACCTCAGGGCCCTGGCCACTGTCTCTGAGCTTCTTTTGCTAAAGGCTAGCACTCTACCGCTTGAACTACTGCACCACTTCTGGCTTTTTCTGTTTATGTGGTACTGAGGAATCCAAACCCAGGGCTAGGCAAGCACTTTACCACTAAGCCACCTTCCCAGTCTATTTCTACAATCTTTATGTTTTTAATTTATTTATGGTTCCTCTGTGTGGTTATTGTGATGTTGTTATTTTAAAAATTCATAGAAGTAACCCCTCTGTACAGTATTTGCACAATAAAAGAAAAACAGCTCAAATAGGCATAATAGGTAAATTTACATAATTGTATATTACATATTATTATAAAGGTATATCAGCAATTACCTATAATAATGTCCAAGTAGTGACTTTTTCCTTTTTTACTAAATAAACTTATTTTACTTTGGATGGATAAAAAAATTCATAGAATACCACATATGTTATTTGACCTACCATTTTTTAAAAAAATTCTATTATTACAAACTTTTCACAAAACTTTTAAGCAGATATTCAGTATTTTATCAGACATTTGTCTTATGGCTTACTGTGTCATTTTCCTTTTGTTAGTTTAAATACTTCAGTTCCCTTCACTCCTGCGGATATCTTTGTAGGTAAATATTATTTCTGTGTATCAGGCTCAATTCTTAAAACTGAAATAACTAAGTAAAGAGTACGCGTTTTTTAATTGTATATGAATATGATACGTATTCTAAGACAATCCACAGAACGGTTGCCACTCTCCTGAGGTGTATGGGAATGCCTGTCTTATGGAAATGATTCTGTGGTGACATGGTTTTACTTGAGCACTTCCTCTTAGCAGACTTGGAATTGCACATGCTTGGAATAAAATCAGGGGATCCTATGGGATCACAGGAACAACTCATTCAGCAGATGTTGTCTGCCATAATCATAAAAGGCAAAGTAGTTGACCTCATAGAGCCAATTAGGGATCTGTTGCTGGAAAGGAGGAGAATTAGAAGCAGGGTATTGAATGCAAGCTCTGACACCACTGGCCATGGGACCACACAAGTCTTGTGGCTTCATGGTTCTCTTTTATTTGTTTTTTGTTTTTTTGGGGGGGGTCTGGTCATGGGGTCTGAACTCTGGGCCTGGGCGCTGTCTCTCAGCTCTTCAGCTCAAGGCTAGCGCTCTACCACTTGAGCCACAGCGCCACTTCCGGCTTTTTTCTTTTTTCTTATGTGGTGCTGAGGAATCGAACCCAGGACCTTGAGCATGCAAGGCCAAGCGCTCTACCATTGAGCCACCTTCCCAGCCCCCGGTTCTCTCTTTTAAAAGGATAAGCAGACTACTGGTGACCAAGTGGTAACCAAGTGCTCTCACTCTGTGGTCTATGGAGTGCAAACTCTTATTCCTGCCAGTCTCCACTTTAGTGAAGGATACTTCATATATGTGTCACACAGTAAGTGGGCGGGGACTTAGTGCTAACAGTAGGCAAAAGAAGACATAGTCATCTGTTTCTCCTTCCACAGCAAGCCATGGACAGCTTGGGCTTTCTTCCTGATGAGAAGTGTGCACTCTATAAGCTCATTGGAGCCATCATGCATTTGGGAAACATGAAATTTAAACAGAAACCCAGAGAAGAGCAACTGGAAGCAGATGGCACAGAAAGTAAGAATTTGCAGACATGGCTTACTATTCTGTTAAAAAAAAAGTCCCTGGCTTTTTTTTTTTTTGCAGTTAATCTGATCTCTTGGTTTTTTCTTGGTTTTTTAAAAACATAGAAGTTAGTCAATGTGGTGTCCCCCTGTTGCTCTTCACAATAAGAAACGCATCTCAGTTAATAATTGACAAGAACAGTGATTTTCACTTGGTTGAAAAGCAAGTTTGATGAAAACATAGTCTGTCTGCCTTTAGCACATGCCCTATTGAGGAAAGCAAGAGATGGGAGAAAATTATCATTGGGTGTGATGAGTATCATACTGGAGGTGTGAACAAACACCCTTGGAATTTCAAAGGCAATGTAAACTCATTAGGATGAAACTTTTTCCTGTTGTTTTCCCCATATATATAATATACATATTATTTATTCTTTGTAAAATTATTTTGCCTGGAACTCAGAGACCTTGGGCTCACTTAGCTTGCTTGCTGATGCCTGGTACTTAAGCCATATCTCCAGCCTGACTTTTTGCTGGTTATTTTGGTTTGGAGTGGAATCTTGGGGACTTTTCTACCTAGTCCTGGCTTTCAATTTTGATCCTCCAGATCTCTGCCTCATGAGTAGAAAAATAAATATTCTTTGTGTATTGTTCTACTTTTCAGATTTTCTCAATTTGACTAATCTAGATACCTGAAGCAAACAGAATAATATATTTCCACCTTTCATTTCCAGTTTATTTTATGGGTAGAGCACCAGGTGTGCAAGCAAAGCCAAGCAAATATGAGGCCCTGAATTCAAATCCCAGTATTGCTGGGGAGGATAGGGATGAGAGGAAGAAAGGCATAAGAACACTGTAATAAAAAGGCTTGTTTCAGCCAGGCACTGGTGGCTCACGCCTATAATGGTAGCTATTCATGAGGCTGAGATCTGAGGATCACGGTTGAAAGCCAGCCTGGTCAGGAAAGTCCGTGAGACTCTTATCTCCAATTAACCACCAAGAAAACTGGAAGTGGTGCTGTGGTAGAGCACTAGCCTTGAGCTGAAGAGCTGAGGGACAAGGCCCACCAGGCCCAGAGTTCAAGCTCCACAACTGGAAAAAAAAAAAAAGAAAAAGAAAAAGAAAAAGGTTTGTTTCATGCTTTTCTGTATGTTAGAATCACCTGGGTAACCTGATATGTCTGGAGAGTCTCAAATCCTAATCTGTTTTAGTGAGTTTACTTGAAGGTCTCTTCTTTACTCTTCAGACTATTCTGAGACACAGTGTTTGAGAACTACTGCTCTAACTAAATGTTACCTCTCCCATATAAGATCATGCTGCTTAATTAAGATCTATGGTAAAGCCCTAATTAAAATCAATATGTTCATTCACAAGATCTTGAGGGAACTGATTTTTTTTTTTGTGGGAATCTCATAAAGCCACTCTGGTAACACCATGAAAATGTTTGTACAGACAGCGCTAAGTTTATAGTAGCATTAGTAACACAGATTGACATTCATGTATTGATTTACATGACTTTTTTTACACCATTGTTGTAGGACTTTTTAACATTTAGGAAAAATGAAGTAAGTTTCTTTCTTGGCACATGACAACTATTATTTTCTCATAACTTCAAGAAAAAAACTAAAGTAAATATGTAATGAAGGTGGCTTAGTGGGAGAGTGCATGCATGAGGCCCTGGGTTCGATTCCTCAGCACCACATAAGCAGAAAGAGCTGAGAGTGACACTGTGGCTCAAGTGATAGAGCACTAGCCTTGAGCTGAAGAGCTGAGGGACAGCGCCCAGGCCCAGAGTTCAGGCCTCACAACCACCAACAACAAAAAAGTGATTATAATGTAAGTCTTCACTATAAATTGAAAGTATATCAGTTCTGTCTAAATGTTCAGTGCTCTCTAGAGTAGGTAAGAAATCATCTGTGACATTGGTACTACTTCTCTCAAAACTTAAAGTGAGATACAGAGAGTTTGGGTTTGCTTTGTAGGAAAATTGATTAAAAGGATTAAACCTAATAGTGGAAAAAGAATGCATAAAACCTGTCTTGACACAGGAAGTTATTCTTTAGGATTGTTATAAACTGTGTGATCCATCAGAATGCTTCTAAACTTAAAAAATAATCAAGTGCTTCTCCATTTTTTATTTTTATTTTTTGGCCTGGACACATGCTATGGAATTGTTCATTTTTCATTTGGTCAATTACTATTTGTCTTCATTCATATTGGCCAGGTACATTTTTATTTCTTCTTCTCTTTGAGCTCTTTTCATATGGGTTTAAATGCTTTCTAGTCTCTTACAATTCAAAGTCTATAACGCTGACCCAGTAGTTTCAATTTGAAAAAAAATCCATGTTGTAGTTTCTAACCCTGGCATGTTTAGCAGCTGCATCTCAACCTAGAACAGACATGCTTGAGCTCTCTTTCTCTCTCTCTTTCTCTCCCTCTCTCTCTCTCTCTCTGGGTATATGTGTGTGTGTGTGTGTGTGTCTACCTCTTTCTCTCTCTCTTTCTCTCTTTGATTTTCCAATTGTTTCCCTTTGCATTTTGAAAGGATTCATAGCAACCAAATACCCAAACCATTACCAGTGCAGATTAACTACCATAAACTATGGACATAACCTGAAAGAATGTATTTATAAAATACATTGATTTTACTTTATGAGCACATCAAACACTTAAAAGCTTCTTAACTCTCTGCAAATGTTGTGAAAACCTACAGAATGGATATTGATACTGTTAAGGCAAATGACATTGGTGTTGTTATAATTGTTTTTGCTTTATTCCTTTTTGTACTTTTTTCTTTTTTAATGTAAAGGTGATGTACGGAGGAATTAGTTACCTAAGTCAGTAATGAGTACATTTAGTTTTGAACAGCGTCACCCCTCCCTCATTTCCTCCCAGATTTTCCCCACCTGACCCCTAGCCCCCAAGTTGTATAGTTCATTTCCAGCATAGTGTCTAGTGAGCGTGACTGCTGAATGAGTTCACTCTTTGTCCCACTGTTTCTGTGCTTCCCCTTTCCCTCTTCTAATCAGAAAACCTTACCTACAAGACAAAGGGTACAGAAATAAAAAACAGCAACAAAAGGGGGAAAAGACAGAAGAAAAAAAAAGAAAAACAGAACTGCAAACAGTACAATAAAAACTCTCTTGTTTCCATTTCTTGGAATTTGTTTTGATAAGCATCATTTTTGATAAGCACATTTTGTTTTGATAAGCACATTAAGCCCTTGCAAACCACTCCTAAGAATATCCTCCTTTGGTCTCACCATGTGCATGTTTAGAGTCCTGTTTAATTTATCATGTCCAAATGGAATGTTTTTTTGTCTTTTACTATCCATTGTGTTTACTTTATAGGCACATTCTAATTATTTCAAATGAGGGAAACCATGCAGCCTATGTTTGTTTGGTTCTGGCTTACTTAGCTTAAATATTTTTTTCCCAAGTCTTTTCATTTCCTTATGAATGGGTAAATGCCATTCTTTCTGGTGGAAGCATATTTTATTTCTTCGTGGTAATTATGCTCTAGAAAACTCCCTCCCTCTCTCCCTCTCTCCCTCTGTCTGTCTCTGTTTTTCTGTGTGTGTGTGTGTGTGTGTGTGTGTGTGAGAGAGAGAGAGAGAGAGAGAGAGAGAGAGACAGAGACAGAGACAGAGACAGAAAGTGAAGAAACATTGCATTACCTTCTATGTAAGACATTTTGAAGATTTACTATGTCAGATATATACGTATTTCAGGACTAATTTAAAACAGAAGACACAGAAGAGAGTTTCCAGATGAATGTGATATTCATTTTGTTCAATACCTGAAATAATGGACAATTTGAAATATGCTCACAATCTTTTGCCTGTAGCATTCTTTTCTGGTATAGTCACTTTTTAACCTCTAATATGATGTATGACTGCTTACATTTTCCTCTGGCATTTATTCTTTTTTACATCTTTCATGGAATAGGCTTATGGGGTGTATGTAGAGCAATTGGGCAGCAGAGGGAACTATGGAGTAAAATGACAGGAAAAATTAGGGTTTATGATAGTTAACAGGCAAAGTAACCTGACTTCCATAGATTGGTAGTTAATTATCAAATGTCATGGCTGAACTTCCTGTTGCATGTAAAAATCTATATGTAGAAATGGAAAGAAGACAGTAATAAATATGAAAATTTCCATGTCTTTCAGAATAGCGATTTTTAAGAAGGCTACAAGGTTCTTTTAAAGACATAGGTTCTTTTGAGACATAGTGTTTTTTTTGAGATACAACACACAAACTATGCTTTTAAATTATGTAATCAGATGCTTTTAGTATATTCACAAGGTTGTGCAACATCACCTGCACATAACTTTCATCTTGCCCAATGAAACCTTATAGACTTTATTAGTAATTATTCCTCATTCCCTTTACCTCCAACCTCTCATACCACAAAGTTACTTTTTCTCTCTCTAAATTTGCTCATTTTGGACAGTTTGTATAAATGAAACCCTGTGTTATTTTCTGTGTCTTAGTCCATTAGCATGATGTTTTCAAGTTTTAGCCATATCACACCTTACATCATTCTTCATTCTTTCTTCTGACAGAATTAATAAGCCATTACATGAAGATGTCACATTTTATTTACTCATGAGTTGATGGATATTTCCTCCACTCATGAATAATCTGCATAATGATGCTAGGAACATTGTTACATTGATTGTATAAATACATGTTTTTATTTCTCCTAGATACATACCTAAGAGTGAAATTGCTGGGTATGACAATAACTCTGTGTTTAACCTCTGTGTAGTTGCCAAACCACTTTCTTGCACTGTAAACAAAGCTCCAATTTCTCTAGATCCTCACCAAAACTTGTTATTGTCGGTATCTTTTTGATTATAGGCATTCTGAGTGGATATAAAATGACATTTCAATGTAGTTATGATTTACAAAAAGAACCCTCCTTTTAAGTTTTTAGGATTCAGCCATTTTTAAAGCTATAATTTATCTTATTATGTCAATATAAGCACAGTGTTCTTCTGTTCTCTGAATAGTGTATTTACCTACAACAGAATGATTTTTAAACCATTATCCTTTCTTATGCACTCTTTTCCCCTCTTCCCTTCTTGTCTTTTTTCTTTTCTCATGACCAGGTGCTGAAAAAGCTGCATTCCTCATGGGCATTAACTCCTCTGAGCTGGTGAATGGCTTGATCTATCCTAGAATCAAAGTTGGCAATGAATTCATTACCAAAAGTCAAAATATACAACAGGTGAGGTAGTATTTCAAGGGCAACACGATTTGCCAATATTTTTTTTTTTGTTTTTTTTTTGTTTTTTGTTTTTTTTTATTGTGAAAATACTGTACAGAGGGGTTACAATTACATGGGCAGGATAATGCATACATTTCTTACCAAGCATTGCATCCTCCTCCTTTGTTTACCCTTCACCTCCCTTCCCAGCCTCCCCCCTCCCTCCCACCCAATCATACCCCCCCTCCCCCCCCCCCCCCCCACCGACATTGTAAAGCTGGTTTTGACATGACATTTTGTACTTCTCATTGTTGCAACAGGTCCACCTGAATCCTTAAACGACTTGTTTGTCCCCGTCTCTTCCACATGTTATACTGACATCAAATATAGTGAAAGCAGGGGTTACACTGTGGGGGAGGGACATACAAAGCAACAAAGAAATAATCTTATAAATGCATTAGAAACACATGCATGAAAGAAACAAAAACATTAAAATACATATTTGAGGTTTGGTTTTCCTAACATCACATTATCTGACTTTTTCCGCTTGACTCATACCTATACTAGATATTGCAAATAAGGGAAACCATGGGACCTATGTTTCTTTGGGCCTGGCTTACTTCACTTATATAATTTTTTCCAAGCCTTTCCATTTCCTAACAAATGGGGAAATGTCATTCTTTCTGATGGAGGCATAGAATTCCATTGTGTATATATACCACATCTTCTTGATCCATTCATCTACTGAGGGGCATCTGGGTTGGTTCCATGTCTTAGCTATGGTAAATAATGCTCGATTTGCCAATATTTTGTACTTTCATATTTTCAAAAATGTCAGCAATAGTAATACTAAAAGAGAGCTCCTTGGCAAGTATTCCAAATGCATTTTTGCTTATGCACATTGTAGTAAATGTTTTTGAATTAAGTCTTTCTATCTTGAAATACGCATTTTGACAGTTTTCCTTAGGTAAAAATTCTCTTTGCAGATATGGGCAAACCTTTCGCTTGTGATCAAATACAGGTTGTTCAGTCATTTCAAAGCTGAAATGAAGCATTCATCTCTTTAATATTGTGTTGTAAAGGACTGCATTACTGCCCTCCTTAGCCTGTGCTGATCCAATGAAGCAAGCTAGTGCATCACTATCAGTATAAAAAACAAAAAACAGAAAAAAACCACAAAAAAACAAAAAACAAAATCAAACTTTGTTCCCATTTCCTATCTCTTTCCCTTTCCTTTCTCCCCCTCCTGGAGACAGTGAGAAAGTACACTATAAAGCCTTAGGAATTTGACTAACTGTAAAGACAATTGGCATTACTAGAGATACAGATGTATATGTTCTATTGATGGCAATTGCACAAGATGGAGCATTCCTGAAGTTTTAACACTCTTTGTAAACTTTACTTCTAGGTCTTGTACCTTGTATGTTTGCTATGCCTGGACCACAGGTACTAAATGCCAGTAGATTTTTCCCATACCCTTCATATATTCATACCCTCCAATACCCTTCATATTGTCTTTGTGTGTATATTGGGGTGGTGGTGGTGGGGGTTTGCTGGTCTTGTGGCTTGAGCTCAGGGCCTAGGCACTGACCCTAAGATTTTGTGCTCAAGGCTAGCACTCTACCACTTGAGTCACAGCTTCACCTCTGGGTTTTATAACTTTTTGGTAGTTAACTGGACATAGGAGTCTCATAGGCTTTGTTGCCTGGGCTGGCTTTGAACTACAATCCTCAGATTTCATTGAGGATTACAGGCATGAGCCTCCAGTACCTGTCTTTCCTTCACATTTTCAAAAGCATTCCTCCCAAGTAGAGAACCACTATGCCTAATTATGAAGAAGTAAGATCCTTCAGGTTAATATGTTATGATTCCATGAGAATTATAGCCATGTCTAGAAGTAAGCTGATATAATGTTATGATTAGTAGTGATGACACAATAGCATTACTTAGTATTCACTAAGTACCTACTATGGATACTGTCTCAGGTAGTTTTCATGGAGTACCCTATTCCCTCTGATAATAAGCTAAGTATACCTTACTGTTTCTGTTTCATGGAGGAAACAGTGACTGTTAGAAAGATTAATTTTTCAAAGTGATGGAGATAGATAGTAAATGCTAGAGGAAGATGAGAAATGATAATGACCAGAAAGGTGATATGAAAGGTGGAACTGACATTTATTGGATATGAGTATCAAGTGTTCTACAAAGTGTTGTTCTATGAATTTTCTGGGTGTGGATATCCCCAAACAACTCTTAGATATGCATATTTTTATTGCTTTTATGACAGGTACTTGTATCAAACTGGTTAAATTTTTTACTATTTAGCCATTTCTTTACTGTCTGTTGTTCTGTTGTTTTCTATCTTGCATGATAGTGCTGAAGGAATTAGTCTTCTGTGAAGTTATTTTAAAAATAACTAAGCAATGAGTCCTTTTAGCTTCTAAAAAGTGGAGGTATAGATTCAGTGTCCATCCTTCACCTTCAACAGACAGAGAGTGAAGAAAAGGTTAGAATGATTGTTTAGTGAGCAGTATATTGATCTATGGTCTTAATTCACTCAGGAAACACTCTTCCTTTTGCATCGTCCTCTGCTTATGTCTCCAGGTTTTCTTCCTTAGTTTCTTTCTGCAAATACCAAAAAGATTCTCTCCACTCTGACTTCTTGAGTATTTAGGGAACTAAATGGGGGGGGGGGTGAGCAAGTTAATTATGAGCATTTTTAGCTTTCAAACAGACGGCTGTAGACAGAATGATTTCCTCAGTGTTGCAGATGGTAAAAATCATTCCTGACACTTTATTGTACCATGTGCTCTTGATGCCAATAATAAAAAGTGGATGCCATACGGCTTATGAATTACTGTGGAAATGACTCATAATAAACAATCAGAGAGTGAATGACTCACAACTAAATCATGCTGGACACCAACTGGCCTTGTTACTCTGTCTCTCCTGGGCAGGATGGCTGTGAAGGCCTGTTTTGGCATGTTCTGTGTTGGGTATCACTGTTTCCAGACTTAGGGAGGCTCTAGTTGAAATTCAGTCCCACTTGGAGTCTGTGGGAAGGGCTGCCTCTACCATAGCACTTTGCGTTGTGGGAGCAGGATCTTCTTTGCACAGCATCAGTCAGGCACCTAGTTTGGAACTTTACCCAGTAAGTTAGCTGAGAACCTATGTCACAGCCCCCAGGGTGAGGCATATGCAGCCTCACTTGGACTGCAGGAGAGCCTGTGTCAGAATGATGCTCCAAGAGGCCATGGTCCATTCAGGTAGGTGAGGGCCACATTGAGAACTAGTATAGTTAGGAGTGAAAGCCAGAACTAGGAAGAGCCATCAGTTGAGAATGTTGAAAGGGGTGACATTGATCAAGACCCATTGTTTTCATAAACTACTTTGTTAAATCACAACTTCTTTGTACAACTATTCAAGATAATACAAACATTGAAGAAGAGTATTACTTAGATGAAGATACTGCCTCCCAGAGAGGGAAGGTCACTTGACTATGGTTATAAAATTCATCAGAAATCAGCAATGGCACTAGAAAAAGAATAAAAGATTCCTATCTACCCTACCAAATACTTTCAAATTTGATTGCACATAGTGATAAAGAAAGAATTATTCAGACACTTTGTTAAAATGGTAATACAGATACTATTCAGGTCTAATGAAATAGTAGAGAGAGAGAGACATGGGGCTGAATTCCAAACAACCAGGAGAAGTGGGGATTTATTGACAAAGAACAGAAAGAGATCAATAGTGGATTATGAAGAGGAAATGTGAAGAGGAGAGAGCCAGTTCAGGCTGAATAGATTTCTTGCTAATGGCAGGTTACGAATTTGATCTATGGGGATGAGAAACATAATCAGATATCAAAGGAACGAGGTTCCCCATAGTGACCAGAAGAATTTTTGGTACAATTGGGCTAGGCAGACAGAAGACAGACAGGTTAAGTCACAGAAACCTAACTAAAGTTGGCTCAAGTCAATAGGAAGCAATTAGATTAGAGTCTGATCAGTGCTGGGACTAGGCCTGAGAATTAGTAAGTTTTCATAAACTCCCAGGTGATACTGATGCCAGTCACAGGATGCTGTAGAACAGGATTACAGGACACATGGCCATATCCCCTTCCAGCATATGTAGCCCTTTATTAAGTGGAATATGATTTCTCTCACCTGTACTTTTTGGGAAACGAGCTGAATACTGTCTTCTCTTCTCCTTGATTCCTTTTTCTCTCCCTACTTTGCTTCTTTCTTTCCTTTCCCTCATTGCAATCAGCAGAATGCCAAAGAACCACAGCTCAATAAATACATCCTGATTTGAATAGAAGGTATGTGCTGATAGAGAATGTGCACTATCAAATTAAACACTGCTGTCAGAACAAAGTGACACCTTCAATATGATTTCTAGGTAATCTATGCTGTTGGTTCCCTGTCGAACTCGGTATATGAACGAATGTTTATGTGGCTCGTAGAACGGATGAACAAAGTTTTAGACACCAAGCTGTCCAGACAGTTCTTCATTGGCATTCTTGATGTCACTGGTTTTGAAAACCTTGATGTAAGTACATGTGGTAAGAGTGAATTCAGTGTAAACTTACAAGGGAATAAGAAAATGTGACAGGAACATGTGAAAATATGGTGAAAACAAGGGTACGAATCATTATGCTAAAACCATAAGAGTTATCTGAACTATAATTAGTGATAATTATTTTTTTACTGCAATTGCTGTTAAGAATTTAATTTCTAAGTATTAAATAAAGGTGACTTAGAGGTGATGTTTTTGCAAATTTGAATTACAGATATACTATTATTTTATTGTAATACTCTTTAGTTTGTTGCTACAGCTCAGGGAAACAAACATTTAATTGAGAAATGTTACTGGTTAGATCTATTTGACATCATATGATTGTGATATAATTTTCTCTTTATTGTATATTCTTGTCATGAAACCTCTATTTCATTTTTTGTCTCTTTTTCCACCTATCTTTGAAGATGAATAGCCTTGAGCAACTTTGCATTAACTTTACAAATGAAAAATTACAACAGTTCTTCAATCAGCACATGTTTATTCTGGAGCAAGAAGAATACAGAAAAGAAGGTATTGACTGGGTCACCATTGACTTTGGTCTGGATTTGCAATCCTGCCTAGATCTCATTGAGAAGGTAATAGATGAATTTTTGTTATGGTGGTGGTTTTCCTCTTTGCCCATTTTTGTGGAAGGAGGATTGTCTTTACTTAGCATGTTGATTCATGTCAGGATACAACCTTTGGTAGAGATTGGGAAATGAGGCTGGAATGATGTGCATTATTTGTTTGTTGTCCTTTTATGGAACATGTGTGGGATCCTAGCAAACTGTCAGGACATTTTACCTATTCTATAATGTCTCATTCAGTCTATAACTGTCCATTTGTAGCTTATGAATGGCTTCTACTTGTCAAGATTATAAATGGCCATGCTCTTGAATGTAGAATAGAAAACACAAAGCTGAAAATATGAGCTCTGTGGGGCCTGGTTGGTTAACATTAAAGTGAAGGAGTAAACCCACAGAAGCAAAATGAAATTTGGCAAATTAGAATATAAACAAACAAGTCTCATACTGCCTTGTTGAATTTAGTTTGTTCATTTAATTGGACAAGTACCAGTTAGTTTAAGTAATCTGTGACAGTGTTTCATGGCTTATTAGGAAATTAGTTTCTGAGTACAGTGATGTCCACATACTTCGAAATATCCCCCCCTGCTCTGGAGAAAATTAATTGGGTTTTTGGAGGATTTATGTGTGGTCTCTTCTTTAGCTTTGTCCATAGGAGCAAGCATGGTATAATGGTAGCAGCATCATGTCTCTTGTTTCTTAGTGTAATAAGGAACTACAATGCATTTTGGGCACAGGTCTGGGAAGGTTGGGGTCTGGAACCTTCTGAAAGTTTTCTAGTCATATTGTCAGATATGAATCTCAACACTCTTGTCAGGAAGAATCTAGAGTGACCTCCCATTGTGTATTGCAAGCCTCAGATTTTATCAATCACTGTTCTACCAATTTTATTTATTGAGCTTTAAATAAAACAAATGTTCATCTCAGGTAACTATTATTCCTAAAAGAAGCAGACATTACAGGGGTTGAGAAGGTGGCTCAGTGGTAGAGTGCTTGCCTTGAATGCATGAGGCCCTGGATTCGATTCCTCAGCACCACATAAACAGAAAAAGCCAGAAGTGGCAGTATGGCTCAAGCAGCAGAGTTCTAGCCTTGAGCTGAAGAGCTCAGGGACAGCTCCCAGGCCGAGAGTTAAAGCCCCATGACCAACCAAAAAAAAAAAAAGAAAAGAAAAGAAGCAGACATTACATTGACTGTCTTTATTTTTATAACCCATGAACTTCTTGGGATCATGTGGAATACAGTGAGTAAAAGCAAAATGATAATGGATGCATTATGAGTTGATGAAAATAATGATAATAATTAACAACTTTGATAGTGTAAATGTTTTATGCATTATAAAAGCTGTAGGTTTCTTATCAGGAAAGCAACAGAGACCTAGAGAGATCCAGAAATGCAAATTTAAATTTTGGAAAGTGCCACCTGTAATATCTGCTTGCTTTGGTTATGACAAAGTACTATTTGCAAACAGAAAGGAGAGATGTAGAGATTGTTCAGATCATGATAGGTGTGTACTGATTTTTAGTTGACCTGAAAGTTATCACCTCATTTATGCTAGCCTCAATTTTTTCAAGTCATATGATAGCAACATGGATGTAATTTCCTGTTGTATGTTCTTCTGATTTGATGAAATGAGAAAAAGTACTGACCAGGTGATAGAAGGCAAAGATAGGGCTGTAGTTGCTGTGAACAATTTCAAAGGACTTCAGGTTAGGCAAAACCTGTCTTGCAAAGATTCAATAGCTTCAAAAGAGCTATTATATTGATTTGGACTCTATAAGGAAAACTGGTAGTTAGTATTAATGATCAGACTTAGTCCTTAAAATTGAATGAATCATGTTAAGTTTTAAATTTTTAAACAACTAAATCAATACATACAAAAATATCTTATTGCATGCATACCCTCTATGTACATATGGAAAAGCAATTTTCTTTCTTTCTTTCTTTCTTTCTTTCTTTCTTTCTTTCTTTCTTTCTTTCTTTCTTTCTTTCTTTCTTTCTTTCTTTCTTTCTTTTTCTTTCTTTTCTTTTCTTTCTCCCTCTCCCTCTTGTCCCTCCCTCACTCCCTCCCCCCCTCCCTCCTTCCCTCCCTCCCTCCCTTCCTCGCTTCCTCCCTCCCTTCTTCCCTCCCTTCCTTCCTTCTTTCCTTCCTTGCTTCCTTCCTTCCTTCCTTCCTTTTTCACTCTATCTTCAGAGACAGAACATATGTCTGGCTTTTTTTCTCTTGTGATCTGTTGTGTTAACTTTGGCAAGGAATCCCATCTCTACAAACCTGAATTCCCTCATCTTTGAAATGAAGATAATAAGATAGTTTTTTTTTTTTATTGTGAAAAAACTGTACAGAGGGGTTACAATTACATGGGCAAGATAATGAATACATTTCTTATCAAGCATTGTAGCTTCCTCCTTTGTTTCCCCTTCCCATCCCTTCCAAGCCTCCCCTCCCCACCCAATCCTCCCCTCCACCCCCCCCACCAAAGTTGTAAAGTTCGTTTTCGACATGACAACTTGTACTTCTCATTGTTGCAACGGGTCCACCTGTAATCTTAGTTAAACGACTTGTTTTTCCCCTTCCCCTCCACAAATTATACCGACATCAAATAGTTAGTATATGTATGAGTCAAGCAGAAAAGGTCAGATAAGGTGATGTTAGGAAAATGAACCCTAAGATATGTATTTAAATGTTTTTTTTCTTTCATGCATTTGTTTCTAACGCATTTATATGATTATTTCTTTGTTGCTTTGTAGGTCCTTCCTCCACAATATAATCCCTGCTTTCACTGTATTTGATGTCGGTATAATAAGATAGTTTTTGTAGGTAGGATCTGAATGTGGAACAGAAAATATGGGAAAGAGTCTCCAAATAGAATCTCTTTCTGTCCTTGTCTCTCAGGTTTTAGCTTAAAATGCCAGTTGTAACATCTATGAACTCTACCCTCCAGCTTTAGCCCTTCAGAACTATGATTTCTTATTTTTGTGAATTTTGTCTGATTTCCCTTCCTGTAAGGAAAGCCAGCTTCTTTCTTTTCCACAGCACAAAGAGGGGTTACTATTTATTAAATATGTGGCTTTAAGAGAAAATTCATCTCAGACTTTATTTGTTTTGGGTCCGGTCATGGGCCTGAACTCTGGGCCTGGGCTCTGGCCCTCAGCTCTTCAGCTCAAGGCTAGCACTCTACCACTTGAGCCACAGTGCCACTTCTGGCTTTTTTTCTTCTTCTGCATATGTGGTGCTAAGGAATTGAACCCAGGGCCTCATATATGCAAGGCAAGCGCTCTACCACTGAGCCACCTTCCCAGCCCTCACTTCAGACTTTAAAATCTTACTAGAGTGAGTCTAAACTATTACCTGAAGAATCAAATTATTTTTCATACTTTCCTGGTTGAATAAAAACTTTTTTGTGTGGATAACTTTTAATTGTTTAATTGCATTAAGGTGGCAGGAATTTTAAATGTTACTTGTCAAATGTACCAAATTTTTCAAATATAGTTTTAAAATATTTTAAACCTTAGCTGCATGTCATCATTATATAAATATTGTTACCTTCTAAAGGGAGCTTCTTGAATGTGCTAATTTTGCTATTTTTATTCACATTAATATCTAGTGAATACCTACACACAGATGTAAGTTTGAACTCAGGACTCATGATCTTTTTTTTTTTTTTTGCCTTGGGGCTTGAACTCAAGACCCGGGCTCTGTCCCTGAGCTTTTGTGCTCAAGGCTAGGGCTCTCTCACTGAGCCACAGCTTCACTTTCAGGCTCATGTTCTTGTTTGTCTTTCTTGCTCATGGCTGGTGGTCTACTATTTGAGCCATACCTACCACCCAGCATTTGCCTAGCTATTTTGGCAATAACCTCATTGATGTTTCTGCAGGGTCTGGGTTCAAACCTTAATCCTCCAAGCTCACTCTTCTGTGTTGCTAGGATTTTAGGCATGAGTTACTGGTGCCCAGATTCTAGTGAGTGAATATTTTCCCTTCCTTCCTTCCTTCCTTCCTTCCTTCCTTCCTTCCTTCCTTCCTTCCTTCCTTCCTTCCTTCCTTTCTTTTTCTTTCTTTTCTTTGTTGGTCCTGGGCCTGGGTGCTTTCCACTTTCAGTTTTCTTAGTGATTTATTGGAGATAAGAGTCTCACAGACTTTCCTGCCCCGGTTGCCTTTGAGCTGAGATCCTCAGATCTCAGCCTCCTGAGTACCTAGGATTATAGGCGTGAGCCACCAGCACCCAGCTTGAATATTTTCTTTAAACACATAACTCCATCCTTTTTATTGGCAACTGTTAGTGTTTGTCTTATTGCTGATCACAGCCAAAATAACTCAGGTTACATAATTCAAAACTTATCATAAACCAGGACTCATCTGTCAATTAATTACAAGAAATTTCCTGAGGATTTCAGTGATTTTAGTCATCTCAAGACCTGCTATGCTAATGTTGATAAGGAATACAAACCCTAGAAGAGATCATCCTGGTACTTAAGGAATTCTGATGTAATTAGGAAGACATCTTTGAACCAAGACCTTTTATAATTTTCTTAATTAATCAAACAAGTCAATGTGCTAATTAAGTACTTGATTACTTCCTCTTCACTCCTTTGGTAAAGAGGAAGGATTCCTGATCAAATATGTGTTACCTACCCTTAGGCAGATCAAATCATGATCTCATGAGTCACAACTGCTCTTATCTCCAGGGATAGCTTGATACTTTTTTTTTTTTTTGTCAGTCATGGGGCTTGAACTCTGGGATTGGGCACTATCCCTGCTTTCTACTACTTGAGCCACAGCACCACTTCTGGTTTTTCTAGTGGTTAATTGGAGATAAGAGTCTCAAGGATTTTTCTGCTGGGGCTGGCTTTGAACCGTGATCCTCAGATCTCAGCCTCCTCAGCAGCTAGGATTACAGATGTGAGCCACCAGCGGCCGGCAATAGTTTGATACTTTAGCGATCGTTAGATACCCCATATATGGGAGCCCTTAGAAAAGAGCAAGTAAGCAGAGGCCAGGAGAAGTCAACCCTATAGGAAGAGAAAGGTGAGGTGACCCAGGTTTTTATAGGACAATGTAATCAGTTTTTCTGAATAGTTCCACAGACTGACCAGGAATTGAAACCATTTCAGGAATAAGCAGCCACTATGCCTGGTCTCTATCCTAAGGACAGGGCTATCTGTAAGGAACCAAACTGAGGGGGTGCAATGGGAAGTGGATACCTGAGCTCTTCTTATCCTTCTTGACAGCTGTGTTGATGCTCACATAGTGCTGGGCCTTAATTATACCACACTGTGTATAAGACTTTGAATTAAATGCTGTGGAAATAACAGCTTTTGTTCTAAAAAGCTCTTACCTTTAGGAAATAAGCAGGCAAATAAAGGACTTGTAAGTCAAATAAGTGTAAAAATGCATTTAAATTATATGTAATATTAATGCAATGAAAAACATATACAATGCATATAAATTACTTATGCAATATTTGTTGTGAAATTATGATTATTATGTGTAATGTATGTAATTATATGTTATACAATATATGAAATATATTACATAATTATATTCCTTATGTTATATATACTATTATATGTAACAATGATATAAATGATTATATGTAATATTAATAATCAAAGGAAGACCCAACATGAGCAGAACAGAGTTACTTGCCTATAGGAATGTAGAAAGGCTTGATGAAGAGGGAGGTAAAACTTAGGTAAGACGGTAAAGCGTGGATATAGTCTTACGTTAAGATAGTTAGATAAATAAGAAGGTGGGAGTTCAGGCAAGTGCAAACACCCTGACAAGAAATGTCTCTTCTGTTAGATAGTCTGGTTGGAGCATATAAAATGCAGTGGGAAGGACTTAAGGAAAAAGGAAGATCTAACTGTGTCACAGTTTTAATTAATGAATGCCTTACTTTAAGGCAATGGACCACAAAGAAGACCCTGAGCTAAGCAATGGAGAAGTCAGAGCTGCTAATATTTCATGTGGGGATTCTGCATAATGTCTGTGAGAGGCGCAAAGACTAAAATGAAAGCAGGTAGGAAGCTGAAACAGAGCAGGGAAGAAATCAAGCAGTCAGACAGAAAAGGCATACAAAAGTGACAGAGCAGAACATGAGGGGATAATACTGAGTCCTGAGTCAGGGAAACTGGTCAAAACCCTTTACTGTGTAGTATAGGACAATTGGTGCTATGGGTGAGAAAATAATTACTTTCTCCAACCTATATGAAAATTAATTTTCGACATCTTCCATATTTATTAGGAACTTTATAAGCACTAAAGAAACAGACTTTTTTTTTCTCCTAACTGGTATGGTTGTTAAATTTTGAGGTTTGAAATCTATTTGCTTTATATAACATTTCAATTCACCCAAAAGAAGTTGGTTTTATTAGCACCTAGGGAACCTGGGAGCCTCAGGGACAGCCATGGATCTGCATGAGATGGGGGCTGCACTGTGGTGAAGCATTGCCATAACCTCCCTGTTAACCTCCACTCTTTGAATTTTAAAGTAATTATGTTCAGTTTTCACTGAGGGCTTATTGGTATGTAGGAAACTACATGGCAGAAGATATGGCTAGGCCTCTAAGAATTTATACTGGAGCAGCAGCTGTTTAATTTGGGACATTTCTATTTTCTTGACTGCTGCACATAAGTATTTCACATTCATACTCTTCCTCCTCCTCTTCATTTCTTACTTTGCAAATATTTCAAAGTCAGTGTTGTCATGAGCAAGACAGGTGTTAATTTCACCTGGAATACTTTATCTTTACCTACAATATTTCACTGCTTCATATCATTCCGCATCTAGGCTCTTGAGATGAAAAAAGGCACCCAGAATTCTTCAAGAACGATCGCTGGAATGTTCTATAAAATTCAGACTCTAGGACCAAATAAAAAGATATAGAAAAGCTTGGCATGTGTATTAGGTCTTTAAATATCTGATGAGCTGCTACAAAGAATACAAAGTAACCATTTAGATAGCTCCAGTAGAAGAACTTAGAACAAGCAAGTCTAAATTACAGCTGAATTTTGTCTTAATACGTTATATCTCCAAAGTTTGACTCAAAGTAGGTGTATTCTTTCTATGAAGATAGTCAAGTATAAGGTAATTTGGCCTTTAGAATAAGATTATGAGAGTAATTCAAAGCTCTATTTGGAAATTTGGGCTAGACCTACAATGCCTCTTCTAAACTTGTATTATTTTTTAGGTACAAAGAATTGGTAAATAAGCATGAGATCTATGTTGTTGGGGCAAAGAAAATGTTCTATCTTCTTTTTTAGACCTTGGAAGTCTCAAGTATTTCATGTGTCACATGCTGTCTACATATGATCTGAATGTTTTGTCTTTTTGCATAGATACTCTAGGACCACAGCCAGTTTCTGATTCATCTTGGTTTAAGCCAAGTTTTTTGTTACAGTGAGTTGATTACAGAAGACACTTCAAATATACGTGAAGATGACTGGTTTAAGCTTGTTATTTAGTTGCCAGAAAGTTGCTTTTCTTTTGAGAATTAAGAAGTTTGGCTTGATTTCTTTTTTCCCCCTTTGATCTAGAATTAGAATTTTGTTTTACAATACAGTAGTAAACTTTACTTCATTATTCTTTTTTTCATGTGCCAATACAAGAGCTTGATCTCAGGGTGTTAAGCTCTCAAGTAGACTTTCCCACTCACAGCTAGAACTCTGCTCATTGACCTACACCTCTAGCTCTGGATTTTTTTCTGGTTAATTGGAGATAAGTGTCTCCTGGATTTGTCTTCCAGGGCTGGCTTTGATCTGACCCTGATCCTCAGATCTCAGTCTCCTGAGTAGCTAGGATTATAGACATGAGTTACCAGCACCCAGTTTGCATTTTATTCTTATGCACTTACAGGATAAGATTTAGATATACTCAGTTACTTTTAGTAATGAGTATTTAAAGTTTAAGAATTTCATGTTTTCCTTTTTCTTATCAATCTTTTTCTTATGTATATGTCATCATTCTGAAAATTACCATGTAGCTGAAACAATTTGTAATGTCTGTTATTTTCTGATAATAGTTTTTTCCCTTCTGTCTTCAATATTAAATCATTTTCCTTATAAAAGATGTACAAGTAGGGATATGAATGCAAGAATCCTTTGATTTTTCTCCTTTCCCCAAACATGTTTTCCCATGTGTATTTATATATGCATGCTGGCTCAGGCCAGGAATCTTTTCCTTTATACTCTATTTACCTATCAGAATGTTGTAATCCAACTCTCCATTCAACACAAACTTCATGGTTAATGATATTTTATAAGCTCTAGCCCTATGACTAGCCAGACTAGGGGTCAGCACACTATGACTTTGTAAACAAAATCTAGCCTGCAGTCTTATTTTTTAAATAAAGTTTTATCAAAACATTGCTTTCTTTATAGTTTACATGTTAAAAATGGCTTTCAATGTCCAATGGATGTAAAGGTGTGATAACCAATAGATAGCTTTTAGAGAGAACAAATTAAGGAAGTTATAAGGTTTTCTGGTACATTCTTTTGCTTTTTAATAACCATTACAAATATAAAATTCATGAATCATTTTTTGCCTATGGTTTTCCAATCTTCTTTGTCCATCTCTCTTCTAAGTCAATGATTTATTTAAAACATAAATCAGGTCACATCACTTCATGTTCAAACTCCTCAAAGATTGCTCCATTTAAATCCTGTAAGCCTGGAAGTTCTGTGGAATCCCAATGCATTTGACTTTATGTCCTTTGCTCAGACCATGTGAGCTACCCCATTAGCTAGCTTCTTGTTCACACTTCTGACAGGAGCTCAGAGCTGCCAGGTGTGTTTTTTCATTAGGAAATTTATACTATTTATTTGTCTCCCTGGAATATTTGTACTCCTAGCCTTTCAGATTGTTCTTAATTCATGTTAGAGAGGCATTACGTGACCATAGCATGTAGAACTGTTCCCTGCGAGTATGCCACCCTGGTCATTTCTATACTTTGTATAATTTCCTCAGAGCACTTATGGATAACTTTTGTTTGCACAATTGCGTGTTACCTATCTGCTCCAATAGAAGGTAAGTGAGCACCCTCAGCAGCTTGCTGCTGCATTGCCAGCTCCTGCTACCATTGGCATTAAACCACAGGTACTAAATACAGGTTTGTTGAAAGAGTCATTGGCTACTTGTATGCAGTGGATATTATTCCCTTACTCTTTTGGAAGGAATTTATACTGAGCAACTACGGAAAATACTGTGTTCTGGTATTGTTGAGAATCTGACATTCTCATGTCTCTCCCCCACAGCCCACGGGCCTCCTTTCCATCCTTGAAGAGGAATGTTTAATTCCTAAGGCTACAGAGATGATTCTGAAGACCAAACTCTTTGATAACCATTTTGGAAAGTCAGCTTATTTCCAAAAGCCCAAATCTGATAAGAAGGATGGACATGAAGTTCACTTTGAACTTGTCCATTATGCAGGAGTGGTATGTTACCTCTAGACTGACAGCCCTGAATTTTCTTATTTCTGTTTCAGATATACTCAGCTAAAAGCCTCTGGTAATACTTAAATAAAATTTAGATTAAGTGAAGCGATGAGCAAAATATATCTCAATACCACAAAAAATGTAGTGAGTCTTCAGCCCTTGGGAAATGAAATAAAACACCATACAACAATAGCATCTCCTGTGCAGAGAGGTGACAAATCTTAGAAAGGTCACCCCAACTCAAAGCAAAATGTCTGTAGAAAGGCACAGAGACTATCAAAGTCATGTTTTTTTCTTACTTGTCCTCCTTTTGAACTTAACATTGTATGGATAAGTGATTTCAGTTGATATTTTTATTGAAGGTTTTTTAAAAAATTTCTCATAAAGAAACAGTGGTCAGCAAACCATGGCCAATAAAGGTTTCTAATGACATTCACTGCCTCCCTCATCTTCCCACTGGTACCTGTGCCTCTTTCTACTGCTTCTGCCCAGAGATTCTAGGTTTAATAGAAGGAGAACTGATGAAAGATAAACTGATACCTCATCCTAACAATGACCTGTCAGTTGTTCCCAGATACGTTTTTAGTTGTCTTCTTTAATATTTATAAAATTTTAGTTAAGGTAATATTTACAGCAAAATATTTGTTAACTTTTTTGAGTACTTATGATGATTTGAGAGATCTTGCCTAGCAATAAGGCTAATGTCAATTGTTTTTCATGAAAGAAACATTTAATCTTACCCTCCTTTCTTCCCTCTTTTCTCCATCCTTCTCTCTTTTCTTCCTCTGCCTTTCTCCCTTTCTCATTACTTTTCTTTGTGCCAGTACTGGGAGGGCTTGAGTTCAGGGCCTCACACCCTTACTCTGCTTTTTTCAAGCTTTGCTGGCACTCTACCATTTGCACCACACTCTAGTACAACTTTTGTGCTGGTTAAGTAGACATTAAAGTCTCAAGGATTTGTCTACCCAGGCTGGCTTCTAACCTTGATCCTCAGATTTCAGCTTCCTGACTAACTAAGATTATAGGCATGAACCATGGGTACCTGGTTATTGCTTTTATGTCCCATATTCCTTTTGTTTGACAATGTACAAAGTAAATTTGGAAATCTCCTTGAACCCAAGGTGACTTATCCCTGATAACATTTCCAAGACATCGGGAGTATTATTTAGTAAAATTACTTAGACTAATTTAAAATGAAGGAGTCTACACAATTTATGATTTTTTTTCAAGCAACGCTGTTTTCCTGTGTTGACTTGTGTATTTTCACTTTGGTTACCTGAAATTTATGTGTGTCCCAAGGTTCCCTATAATCTCAGTGGCTGGCTGGAGAAGAACAAAGACCTTCTTAATGAAACAGTGGTGGCTATATTTCAGAAGTCTTCCAACAGACTGCTAGCAAGCCTTTTTGAAAATTATATCAGTGTTGAGAATCGTAAGTCAATCTTGCTTGACATTTTGGCTTCAGAATGGCACTCCTCACTTTCGCAAAGATCCTTACTACTTCCCTGTGATATCAGTTTCTTCTTTCTCTGGTTCAGGTTGTTCTCTCCTCTTAACCTGTCTTTGGAGTAGCAGTGTTTTCAAGACATGATAAACCGTAATGAAAACGATATTACATGGAATGCATTTCTGTCCTTTTGCTTTTTTTTGGACCTTCCTACAAAGATAAACTAAAAATAATAATTTTGATGAATGTGGCCAATAATAATCTTCAAATATATATGATAAACAACAAAATTGCAACAAATCTAGTGTTACAGATCTGAACTGATTTTGTCATTCTTGAACTGGGCAGCAGTCTGAAGCAAAACAACAAAAAAGCTGTGAATACTCCAGTCCATCATCTGAGCAGCTTGTGTTTGTAGCTAGAGAAAAGAAAATAGAATTGTGATATAAAGAGAGACTTACTGGTGATAGCTTGCATTAGTCTTATGTGAACATGGGTTGAACAGTTGCTGGTTGGGTTTGACTAAGACTTGACTACTTGTTAAAAGAAGAGGCTTCAAGCCGGGCGCTGGTGGCTCACACCTGTAATCCTAGCTACTCAAGAGCCTGAGATCTGAGGATCGCAGTTCAGAGCCAGCCCGGGCAGGAGAGACCGTGAGACTCCTATCTCCAATAAACCACCAGAAAACCGGAGGTGGCGCTGTAGCTCAAGTGGTAGAGGCTCGCCTTGAGCTGAAGAGCTGAGGGACAGCGCCCAGGCCCAGAGTTCAAGCCCCACGGCCAACCAAAAAAAAAAAAAAAAGAAGAGGCTTCAGTCTATTTTTACATCCATTAAAAATCATTTTATTATGAACACAGAAACCTTTAAGCCCAACTCAAAATATGTGCAGTTAGTCTCCCTTTCCTTCCATTCCCTCTTCTTCCCTTCTCTTCCCTTCCCACTCCTTATTTCTCCTCTCCTTTTTAGGTATTCTCTTTTACAATCCCGTGTACAGTTGGGCTTAAATGCTTCTTCAGGGGTGTGTTAGACTGATTCTACTGTAGCCTCCAGCATGTATCAGGCACCAATCAGGAGATATCCCATAAATATGTATTAACCAATGGACAACTAGTCTTGTCTAGTGACTTGCTGTTTACAAGAGCTGTTAGATATTTTATCTTACTCATTTTGTACATGACCATTTCAAATTTACATAGGAGGGATTCTCTCCTTATCTTACAGAAACACATGTAGCAGACTTCAAGTGCATTTTCTTCAGTTATATAAATGTACTAAATGGCAAGGCCTAGTAAGTAGGAAGACTTCTGCTTTTTAATCTAACATCTATTTTGTTCTTACTGTTTTCCAGAAACAAAGACAGGTTACATGCATTTAGGATTCAATAAGCACATCTTATCATTAGATAAAAAGTTTGAAGATATTGAGCCCAACTTGTTATCCCATAGGAGAACAGTGCTAGGCATAATTTGTAGCGAAAGTAACACTGATAGCTTCTTCTGTCTCAGAACCTGGCTTCTAACTTGTTTTGTGTATTCACTCCACACGGACTGAAAAATCGGATTTTACTTATATTTTTGTCTTTTGAAAAAAAATGAAAAATTTGAGAATAAAAAAAATGTGGCTGGGCTTATTTCAGATCCCCTCAGAACAACTGTGGGACAGAATGGGCCAGCTGTTTTTTTTATATCGCGGCCTCTACCCTCACTTCCTGACCATTTTCTCCTACTATTGTTTCACAACCAGCCTCAGACTTACTTGGGGCTCCCAATTGATATAGTCAGGGAATGGGGGAAGGATTCAGCACTTTCAGGAGTCTTTAGCACATAGTTCAGGAACATGCCTTCTCCGGGCCTTAGAGGAATTAGAGAAATGAGGAGGCCACTGAATATGAATTCCTGCTAATCTTCAGGCAGTGGATTTTCCTTGTTCCATGTTTTTTATTTAACTTTTAAAGTCCATTTATTTTATTTATTGTCAGTATGGAGGTTTGAATACAGAGCCTCTCACTTGATTGGCAGGCATTCTACAACTTGAACCACACCCCTACCTATTTTGCTTTAGTTATTTTTCAGATAGTATCTTAAGTTTTTGCTCTGGGCTGGTCTCAGGCTGTAATTCTTCTCCTCTGACTTCTTAGTCACGAGGATAACATGGACCACCACACTTGGCTTGTTTTAGGGTTCCACTAACTTTTGTCTGGCTGACCTGGAACTGTGATTCCCCTGTCTTGGTCAGCCTTCTAAGTAGCTTGTAAAAACCTCTGCACCTCATACTCTATCTTTGTTGAGACAAAATCTCCCTATGTTACCAAGATTAGCCTGAAATTCCCCATCCTCCTGCCTCAGCCTCCAAAATAGCTAATACTGCAGACATGTACTACTGTCCATAGTTTGGCATGATTTTAAACTTCAAAAGTGCCTCTGAGAAGTCTGTTTATGGCCATATATATACTTCTGGCTCTCAGTTGAATAATTGTCTGATCAGAAGAGATCAAAGAATAGTTGGAACAAAAATTAGGAGGAAATTGTCTTTTAACTCTTCAGGGTGTTCTCTCTCTCTCTCTCTCTTTTTTGGAACTAGAAGAGAAGAATTTTCCAGAATGTCTTTCTTTTGTAGTCATCAAGCACTTCCTGTAAAATTTTGCCTGCAAGTTTCTAACTTATCTACACTTTAAATTGCCCACAACAATCACACTATGAAATCTAAGTACTTTAAACCAGAGTTACGATTTAAAAAAAAAGGGAATAGCATTCCATGTTCAAGAATGGAAAAACTGAAGTACAAAGAAGTCAGGTGACTCACTTGAGGATCTGGGTCTCTCCGTTAGTGGTGAAGCTTCATGATATCTGCCTCCACATAGTGGCCAGTGAAACCCAGATATCATCCTTCATAGCTTTCCTTGTAATAGGGGGCCTATTTTCTCTAGGTTGGCTTTAGATTTTGACAATGTTCATCTTTATGAATTAGAACTACACAAATGCTTGTAAAATAGTTTGGCTTAGCACACAGGTTCTTCTGCTTTAAGATGAAAGGATTTACTTTTTTAAATAAACTATGCCAATACATGAGTGTTGCCTGAAGTATAGCCAATGTGGAAAAACTAAAAAAGGAACATTAATATGCCTATCAGTTCAGGTAGAGATAACCCATCTGTTAATAACTTGGATTATGTTTCCTAAGTGTACTTGAAATATATGCACATTCAAGATCATAATATACAAAATATATAGATTTTATAGCCCAGTTTTTCCTCTAAAAGAAAATTATAGGAATCTTTCTATATTAGTTATGTGTATCTAGACCATTATTTTCAATGTTAAAGAAATATTTCATTATATGCATGTTTTTCACAATCTAACTATCCAAATGTCTGTGTATGTTTCTTGATTATTTTATTTTTGCTGATTTTTTTTCTTGCAGGATTTGGTATTGAATCTATGGCTTTGCAGATGCTAAGAATGTGTCTTATTGCTGAGCTACATCCTCAGCTTTTGCTTGTTTTCTAATGACTATATAAAGTTTCAGTGCATATCTTTGTACAGTTTCCTAAGTATTTGCTTAAGAGAAAGAACCATAGGCATTTTAATAGTTAAGTGTAGTTTTGAAGCTTTTGTTAGATATCAGTATATTATTTTTAGAACTTTGATGAACTTAGGTTTTCATCAACAAATTCTGGCACTGTGACACATTGTAGTTTTTTAAAAATTTTTTTAATTACTTTTTTTTCTGTTTTTAGCAAAGCACTTTGGGAAGAAGAAACACATGAAAGGAGCTTCATTCCAGTTGTTGACATCACAGCATAAAGTAATTTTATGTTGTTAACTATTCAGATTTTTAACTGTGTCATAATGATATATATTATTACTTATCTAAAATTGTTCATCTCTAATGACAAGCTAAATATCTGGTTAGTCAAGTTGGCACGGTGGAGGTTCATCTGATATTTTGAAGTATTGAAAGGACATGATTAGGCCCCACCTTTATCCTTTATGTCAGCTTGTACTCAACATCTAGCTGACATAAGTACAGATTCACAACACATCTCAGTTAAAAGTATTGTCCTTGGTCAAAAGGAAGCTAAGCTGCCTGCAGAGTCTTCTCTTCAGTCATTGGCCCCTCCCTTTCCTCAGCAGAGGAACATCTGTGGTACAAGGGCGTATTTGTATTGGCCTTTCTTTAGGGATCTGATTAAAGTTGAGTCAGCACTACTGCCTTTTAAAATCCTCTGCTCTACTTCATATCTCCGGCTAAATCTTTAAAATCACAATCCCCACCTCAGATTGTGTTTCTAAAGAGTCTGACCTAAAATAAAAGGTTTCCTACAAATCCAAAACTTGAGAAATGATTTTTTTCAAGACATTTTATTGTTCAGCCATAAGTTATGGCTGTCAATTTCAAAGCAGGTTGAAATGATTCACAGTGGAGCTGTGTCTGCCAGATAAATATTGACTTGACAAAAAATGTGTTTTTGGTAAGCAGAGAATAAAGATGAATTCATCATTTTACCACTGGTGTGTATGTGGGGTATCAGATATAGTAGATAGATTTAAAGATATTTTTGAGGGTTTTTAGTAACTTGCAAAATGATTTTGTATTTATTATGATTTTCACCTTAGGAAAAGCTAAATAAATTGATGACAAGTCTGAAATCAACAGCACCTCATTTTGTGAGATGCATAAATCCCAATGTGAACAAAATGCCAGGTAAGAACTAGGCATCTCTATAACCTACGACAGGGAATGCTTTTTATTTAACTACACAGAATGTCTCTTAAAAGAGCCATTTTCTGATCCATTTATATAAGAGTAAATTTTCAGATATAAAAATGAAAGTAACTTAGTTCAGTGTGAGCTTTTGGAACCTCCTCAGGGCTGCTTTTGAATTGAATTTCTAGTGGACATACTGAAAGATTTTACAAAGCAGGCTCGTTTGAGTAATATCAGAATACTTTCTATTACCATTGAAAATTTCTTCTGATCTCAGATGTGTGTGAGCTCCCAAGCAATTGTTTAGAACTGACAACTATAATGGGGTTGCTTTTGATGAACAAAGAAATAATGGAAGGATTGATATACTATACAATAAAACTTAACTGACAACATAATCTGGTAGAATGGAGGCGAGGATATGTCTGAATCTTTCCTAGGCAAGATTGTAAACAAAATTTTGTGATTGTCCCCATCTTCCCATTTCTTTCACTTGCATTATTTTTGTAGTCTTTTCTCCCTCCTATTTAGAGATAGAAATTCCCTTTTGTGTTCTGATTGTCATTCCTAGCTGGTTTTTGGTTGGCAAATGGGTATGATATATGGCATCAACATTCTAACTAAAAATTAAATTAAAATGGTGATCTATTTCATTTCCCAAGACAATATGCCTCTTAATCCTTATCTAACTGTGAACTCAAATGATTGTTCTAGGTTAAAAATAATTTTAGATAATTCACATTTAGAAACTTGAATATAATAATAGAATTAAGTACTGAGAATGCTCTCAGGCAGGAAATAGGAACTTAGATTAAATATCAGGGAGAGCTCACTAAGTTCAAACTCTTTAACCTAATTTGCAACAATCTGGACAAAATCTAGGATTGAGACGTGTATTCAACATGACCCCCCCTTTTTTTTAAAGGTATAATGGACCCTTTCTTGGTTCTGCAACAGCTGCGGTGTAATGGAATCTTGGAAGGTATTAGGATATGTTGTGAAGGGTTTCCAAATAGAATGCCATATGATGATTTTAATAAAAGGTAAACATATATTTCCTATGTTCCAAAAAGCTCGAGGCAGACTATTCTGTTTTCCTTTCTGAATGTTTAAGTACACACTGTTTGTTTGGTTAATATTCTCCTGACTACAAATTGATGTGTTGTGGTGGTGGTGAGATCTATGATGACAGAGTTCCATTATGCTATCCCCTGAAATCCAATATCCATATAACTGTAATACCCCTAAATCTCTATTAACAGATAATAGACCCATATAAAGAGGAAATATATATACAGAAAATGTATAGCCTGAATTCAATCACTGAAATGTTGTATATACTTAATAATAGCTGCCACTCAATGAAGCTATGATTTTATTAGCAAACTTATGAAAGGAAAGAAGCCAACCTGGTGGTTCACAGGAGGCAGAACAGGCACCTTTGCTTTCTATTTCCTGGATTCTGCAAGTGCAAATTAAAGCTCCTCAAGTCAATCTGAGCAAAATATAGTAGAGTAAGCATCTGTTTGGGATCAAATTGGAATGTTTCTATTAACTCATCAGTAGGGTAAAAAACTGGAAAAGGAAATTTAATATTTCTGCTTTTCAGTTTCGTTAGTCCGATGATAGGCATACTTAAGCTTTCCCACTCTCTTTTTCATTCCAATTTTTCTCTTCCTAATTTGGCAAAGAAACCAAATGAGATTGATTTCTAAAGCACCATGAAAAGTGTAAACTATTTTGTCAATGGAAGAGATTATTGATCATAATTATTTTTGCCAAGGGTTTTTCAGAAATTGAGTATGTAGGGGCTGGGAAGGTGGCTCAGTGGTAGAGCGCTTGCCTTGCATGCTCGAGGCCCTGGGTTCGATTCCTCAGCACCACATAAGCAAAAAGAAAAAAGCCGGAAGTGGTGCTGTGGCTCAAGTGGTAGAGCGCTAGCCTTGAGCTGAAGAGCTGAGGGACAGCGCCCAGGCCCAGAGTTCAGGGCCCATGACCGGACCCAAAAAAAAAAAAACAGAAATTATGTAGATAGGGAAGTTAGATCTGTATTGCTTTACAACTCTCATGTCCAGATTAATCATTATTTGAATTGTGTGATCCCTTCACCCCATTTAAAATTAGGTACTACATCCTAAACCCAAGGATTTTTCCAAAGAGAAAATTTGTGAGCAGCAGAAAAGCAACTGAGGAACTACTTAGCTCCCTGGAGATAGACCATACTCAGTATCAATTTGGAATCACTAAGGTAACTAGGAAACTGCAAAGAATATATTTGGAGAAGAATAGCAGGAAAAAGTGTGTATCTTAAAATATCTGTGAATACATGAATAGAATGTGTTCTTCAGCTCCTGTGACCAGAAATAATGCAAACAGAGCTCAGTTCAAAATGAAAACTCCAGTGCTGGCTAAGGAAGAAAAATGCAATGTTTCTTAAATTTCAGTCTTGACTGAATTACAGTTTTTATAATTAATCAGTGAACCAAATTCATACCAATATATAAATTACTGAATTAACCTTTCATTGCTAGAAAATCTATGTACAAATCAGAGTACGAAAAATGTCAGTTAGCTTCCTTAAGGTAATTTTTTTGCCTATGTGAACTGATTTCATCTACTGTACTCATTTAGGGATGAATCTTGTAGGCCTAAATAATTTATTTATTTATTTTTTATTTTTTATTGTGAAAAAACTGTATAGAAGGGTTACAATTACATGGGCAAGATAATGAGTACATTTCTTACCATTGTTGCCTCCTCCTCTGATTCCCCTTCCCATCCCTTCCCATCTCCCACCTTCCCCCGTGCCCACCCTCCCCCGTCCCTGCCAAAGTTGTAAAGTTCGTTTTCTACATAAGGTCTTGTACATCTCATTGTTTGCAATGGGTCCACCTGTATCCCTATTTAAACAATTTGTTTTTTCCCTTCCCATCCACAAATTATACCACCATCAAATACAGTGAAAACAGGGGTTATACCGTGGGGGAGGGGGCCTAAATAATTTAATAGCTTTAAATTCAACCCCACTATTCAAAGAAGCTAGCTTCCTTAAATATGATTCTCTAAATTCCATTTTTTCTAAGAGACCGTATATGGGGGGAAGTGGAGTCTGAATAATAGATTGGTCTTACCTGGTAGTCAGCATCAGATAGCTCCTAATGGAGCTCACTCATCATTCTTATACCTTAGCTTCCCAGGTTCTGAGATTTCATATGTTTGACACCAGCTTTGGCACTTTAGCACAATTTTTTTAAAAAATGACATGTTACCTTGAGTAAAACCAAAAATGAAATAAGACTGATAAAGTCATCCCTGGAATATTTCAGTTGTTTATAGGGCATTCAACAGACCTTTGTTGAATACTTATGATCAGTGAAACTAACGCCTGACATTTCTTTTAGGTATTTTTTAAAGCTAGCTTTCTGGGCAGATTGGAAAAAAAGAGAGACAAGAGACTGACTGAAGTTTTCACATTGCTCCAAGCCAGAGTACGAGGAAAACTGATACGAATCAAATTCCAGAAGATTCTGGAAGAAAGGTGTTGTATTTCTTCCATCTGCTGAGGCAATTGATAACTAATATAAACATCTGTCCATTGCATATTATAAACTGTGGCAAAGAGGTGCCTCTTCTGCTTAGGCTGATTCTTAGAAAAAAAATCAGTCATAGTACATGCAAAGAAGGCAAAGGAAGTTATTATTTTACTCAGCCAATTACAATCACAATTCAGATATTATTTCTGTTGCTTCTAGCCTTCCTTTTAGAAAGGATTGTGTGTAGTTTAGAATCATAGATCTTTGAAGGTGGTGTGACTCACAATTTAGAACAGAAGCAGATAGAAAGGGTTGGCATACATACCCCACAGCCTATTCTGTGTGTTTGCTTTAATGTGGATAAATGTTCTGTCCATTTTCTTACCTTCACTGTAACTTCCTTACTTTCAGGCAGGGTTACTGAGGACTTTCATTTCTACATTTGGGCATTTGGGCATAGAATTTGTCAATTTCCAATGGATTCATGGAAAACAAAATCTTCAAAGAAAGAGACCACTGATTTTACAAAAATGGGTTTGGTAACAACAAGGGATTGATTTGACAGTATTTGTATTAATTTTTTCTCTTAGAATATTTAATCTTCTGAAGAGAAGTTTACAGGTCTTGGTATAAATTGGTTAACTGGAAATTTGATAATTCTACCTGCTTGCCCAAAGCAAATAAAAAAAATCATAGAAGGTGTTATTGAGATATTCATAGAAAGGTGTATCTCATAGTGGCCATACTGTGGGAGTTTGGAGATGAGGAGTATGCCTTGTAGGACTAGTTGTGTAAGTTTGTATAAAAGTTTTAATTTCTTAATGATAAACTTGCTTTCTAAACTAGAACCATTTTAGTCTATTCTTTCTCATTCATCACTTCAAAAAATACAATGTTTTCTCCATAAAAATGCAGAAAATATAGTGCATACTCATGAAGCCATCATTAATAGCCATTTTTTCTGTTATTTTTGACAACCTTAAAAATGCTAACTTAGAGTTCAGGCCCCACGACCAGACCCCCCCCCCAAAATGCTAACTTAGGTGAAGCCTTGTTTTTGTTTTTGTTTTTATCTTGATACTAGTTGTATTCCTTCCTGCCTAGATTCTGAATTTATGTATAGCTTTCTGTATTTCATTGTAACTCAAATAAAAGTATGCTTTTGTGGCTTTACTAGACACCCTTAACCAGTGGGATGATTTTATATATTTTTAGTCTTCATGTAAATAACATTTATGTGTTATAATGAAGTTTATTATATTCAGTATTATACATGTGTCAGTGCTAGACTGGGAATGTTGCTTAAGTGGAAGAGCACTTGTCTAATTTGAGGAAGGCCCTGAGTTCAATAGTTCAATCTCAAGTAAAACACACACACACATGCACACACACATACACATACAATGCATTGTTGATGTATATACATATCATATATAAATACATATGTATTTACACACACGAGGTTGATTTAACTTTTATGTAGTTAAGAATACTGGTCCATGAAATGGAAAGACTTGGAAAAAATTATATTAAGTGAAATAAGCCAGACCCAAAGAAACATAAGTCCCATGGTTTCTCTTATTTGCAATTACTAGTATATGTCTGAGACAAGCAGAAATGGTCAGATAAGTTGATGTTAGGTGAAATGAACCCCAAGATAAGGACTCAAATAACTTTTCTTTCTTGCTATTGTTTCTAACATATTTATAAGATGATTTCTTTGTTGCTTTGTATGTTCCTCCCCCACGGTATAACCCGTTTTCACTTTATTTGATGTTGGTATAATTTGTGGAGGGGAAGGGAAAAAACAAATCATTTAGGGATACAGGTGGACCCATTGCAACAATGAGATGTACAAGACGTTTTGTCAAATAACAAACTGTACAACTTTGGCGGAGGTGGGGAAGGGGAGAAATGGGAGGGCAGGGATGGTAAGGGGAAACAAAGGAGGAGGCAACAATGCTTGGTAAGAGATGTACTCATCACCTTGCTCATATAATTGTAACCCCTCTGTACAATATTTTCACAACAAAAAATTAATAATAAAAAAAGAACACTGGTCCATGATGAGGATGGGATAGGAGCCTTTGGGCTTAATGACTGGTCCTGTCAATGTAGAGCACCCTCTCCCATCCTGCCAAGGTTACAGTTACAGCGCATACACTTCCTCTTTCTGTGCTGCATACTGGCTCTTTATGTCATTAATTATTTTATTCAAGTCCTCTCCTTCTTCATAGTCTAGCTCAAAGTTTTCTATTTTATCTTTAAAAATCCAGACTAGTAATTTCATTAATCACTGTTTACTTTTTGTTATTTATTTATTTATTTATTTTTCCTTTTTTCTGTTCTATGCTTATTCTTTTTCTGTTTCCTTGAGGTATAAGATTAGTTCATTTGTTGCCAAGGTATTGTATTTTGGAGTCTCATGTCCTGAATTCCATCAATATGGCAGTAATTAAAAGAGGTTTAAAAGGAAAGCAATTCTGGGATGTGATCCTTGCCCAGAATGGGTCACATTTTCTTTTTTCCTCCTGTCTCTTCTTCAATGAGTTTTTATTAAGTACTTCCTATATGCTCCTAAGCTTGGGAAATGTTGCTATGAAAAGATGGTTTGCATGACTCTATGGAGCTTGTACTAGTAGGAAGAAGATGCTAAAGAGATGATAATTCTGGCAAGTACTCTTAAGAAAATAACAGTGAGATTGAGAGGGAAATAAGATTAGTTTATTTGTTTAATTTTTGCACAGGTAGGCATTTATCAACAAACATTTCCCTTTAAGGAGTGCTTTAGTTAGATCTTTACCATAGTATTAGTAGAGCACTGGATATGGCTATATTCTTATCTTTGTAGTGTTTCATATGTTTTCCTGTTATTAACATCTTTTATTTCAACTGGAAGAACTGGATTTAATATATTGTGGTAAACAGTGGTGATAAACTCTCATTTTTTGCTTGAGGAAGTCTATTTCTCCTTCATATCAAAAAACAAGCTTACTGTGTGTAAGTATTCCTTGTTGGCAGTTTTATTTTCCTTCTTTTAGCATATTTTAGCATAGACACAGCTAAGCAATCCCTTCTGGATTATCGGGTGTTTTCCGAGAAAATTCACTGGTAGTCTCAGAAGACTCTCTGTTGTATGTGAGAAATTGATTGATTTTTGTCTTAATACTTTCAAGATTTTTTCCCCTTTGGTGGGATTTGAGAATTTTGTTATATTGTAATGATGATGATATCTTTATGCTTAATCTATTTGCATTTTTTTGCTCTTGGAAAATCTGGATGTTTATTTCTCCTTTTAAGTAGTGTTGGGGTTCTCATTATTTCATTATTTAAGCTTTCTCTGTCCCCTCCTTTTTCTCTGCTCCTTCTGGAATGCTCAGTAGTTTATTAATGAAGGTGTTTGCCAGTATTCTATAATCTTCTTCATTCTTCTTTATTGTTCCTTTTTTCCTTCAGATTAGATAATTCAAATGACCTATCTTCAAACCAACTGTTTGAATGAGCTTTGAAGTGTTCTACAGATTTTTCAGCTATGTTTAGCTCTTTTCTTTTAACTTATCATAATGCTTCCTTAAATTTTTGTTGGACACTTGATAGATCTCCATTTCTTATGAACAAGTTGTTTAAAACTAATTGTGTTCTTTTAGTTGTATACTGTATAATTCATTCTTCATGTAACTTGTACCTTCACATTGGTGCACGCACATTTAAAGTAAAAGCACCGCTTCTTGTGTACATTTATGGATTAGCTTTGATTTAAGATGACCTATAAAAGATATGCTGCCTAGAAATTTGTCTTTCTTTCCTTGTGACCAGTTTTTTTTCTTCATTTTAAGAACTTCTAATCTGTTGATCTCTCTAGCATCTAACTTTGTCAAGACTTAAATCTATTTCTTTAGGATCAATAGAGCTTTATTTTTTTTTAAAGATTTTATTGTGGCTATTTTTTTATTGTGAAAATACTGTACAGTGGGGTTACAATTACATGGGCAAGATAATGAGTACATTTCTTTTCTTTCTTTTTTTTGGGGGGGGGGTCTGGTTGTGGGGCCTGAATTCTGGGCCTGGACGCTGTCCCTCAGCAGTTCAGCTCAAGGCTAATGCTCTATCACTTGAGCCACAGTGCCACTTCCGGCTTTTTTCTTTTTTCTTATGTGGTGCTGAGGAATTGAACCCAGGGCCTCAGGCATGCAAGGCAAGCGCTCTACCACTGAGCTACCTTCTCAGCCCCATGAGTACCTTTCTTATCAAGCATTGTAGCCTCCTCCTTTGTTTCCCCTTCCCATCCCCCCCCCCCCCCCCCCCCCCCCCCCCCCCCCGCCTCCCCACCCAATCCTCCTTCCGGCCCCCCCCCCCCACCACCAAAGTTGTAAAGTTCACTTTCGACATAATGACTTGTACATCTCATTGTTGCAATGGGTCCAACTGTATCCCTATTTAAACGATTTGTTTTTTTCCCTTCCCCTCCACAAATTATACCAACATCAAATACAGTGAAAGCAGGGGTTATACTGTGGGGGAGGGACATACAAAGCAACAAAGAAATAATCTTATAAATGTGTTAGAAACAATCTCATGAAAGAAAAAAAACATTTGAATACATATCTTAGGGTTCATTTCCCTAATATCAACTTATCTGACCTTTTCTGCTTGACTCAGACATATACTAGTTATTGCAAATAAGGGAAACCACGGGACCTATGTTTCTTTGGGCCTGGCTTACTTCACTTAATATAATTTTTTCCAAGTCTTTCCATTTCCTAACAAATGGGGAAGTGTCATTCTTTCTGATGGAGGCAGAGAATTCCTTTGTGTATATATACCACATTTTCTTGATCCATTCATCTACTGAGGGACATCTGGGTTGCTTCCATATCTTAGCTATGGTAAATAATGCTGCAATAAACATAGTCATGCTGGTAGCTTTATTGTGGTCTTGTTTGTGAACATTTGGAAAAATGCCCAAAAGTGAGATTGCTGGGTCATAGGGGAGCTCTATGTGGAATCTTTTGAGGAACCTCCATACTACTTTCCAAAGTGGTTGAACAAGTTTACACTCCCACCAACAATGCAGTAAGGTTCCCTTCTGTCCACATCCCCTCCAGCATCTGTTGTTATTAGAGTTGTTGATTATAGCCATTGTAATGGGGGTGAGGTGGTATCTCAATGTTGTTTTGATTTGTATTTCTTTTATGGCTAGGGAGGTTGAGCATTTCTTCATGTGTCTATTGGCCATCCTTCTTTCCTCTTCAGAGAAGTTTCTCTTTAAGTCTTTAGCCCACTTATTTATTGGGCAGTTGTTTCTTTGTAGATTTGTTGTTGGGGGATTTAATTTTTTGAGTTCCAGGTACATTTTAGATATGAGACCCTTGTCCATTGTATGGCTAGAGAAGAACTTCTCCCAATCCGTGGGCTTTCTATTGATCTTGCTAGCTATGTCCTTTGCCATACAGAAACTCTGCAATTTCATGCAATCCTATTTGTCCAACCTTTCTTTGATTTGTTGTGTTTCTGGGTTTCTTCTATTGGCATTGCATTGATATTTTCACCAGACACACACACACACACACATACACACACACACACACACACACACACACACACACACACACACATCTTCTATCATATAGAGCCTGGCTTTAGTAGGTAGAACCGCTGATCTCCGGAGATTCTAGACAAGATAATTGAGTCTATGGATATGATGGCGACTAGGGTTATTTTTATTGTTTGTTATTTTATTATTCATTATGAATCATTGTTATTTTTCAACTTTTAATTATTTCATTGAAAATTCAGATTATTGCATTTTTCAGTCTCAGGCTTTTTTTTTGGTCGATCGTGGGACTTGAACTCTGGGCTTGGGCGCTGTCCTTGTGCTCTTCAGCTCAAGGTGAGTGCTCTACCACTTGAGCCACAGCACCACTTCTGGTTTTCTAGTGGTTTATTGGAGATAAGAGTCTCACAAACTTTCCTGCCAGGGCTGGCTTTAAAACGTGGTCCTCAGATCTCAGCCTCCTGAGTAGCTAGGATTACAGGCGTGAGCCACCGGTGCCTGGCTCAGGCTTTTTATTTGATCTACTTTCAAATAATGATATTCCTCAGATGATGATAGGGTTATGACAAGGGTATTGTTTTTCATTAAGTATATAAATCATTGAAGGTCTCAGCCTTGATGTGGAAGGCTGAGATGATAATTCTTGATAATGAAGGTCTCTTGATATGAAAACGCGAACAGTTATCAAGATGACTCCATCCTTCTATGAACACAGACAAACTATGCCTGCATTCACTTACTATTTTTAGCTCCCTCTATGTCTCCTACTTTCTTTCAGGACCATCTCTCATTTAAAAGATATTTTGAGGTGAGTATTTTCATATCTAGCTCATAATATAGTTAGGCCCATAAATCCTTCAGGGAGTTTTGGTCAGAATCAAATGAGAACCCAGATCTAGAATGCTTTGAAGACTAATGAAAATGCATTGACTCTTAACATGGTGTATTTATTAAATAGCTTTATTATGTAAATACTTTCAGATAGTCTGTGTTAACTTGCTTTTTTAAAAAAAAATTCTTAATTTAGGGATGCACTTCTACTGATCCAGTGCAACATAAGAGCTTTCATGGCTACAAAGAACTGGCCTTGGATGAGACTTTTCTTCAAGATCAAGCCCTTTATTAAGGCAACAGGGATGGGAGAGATATCTCAACTGAAGAGAAGTATATACAACTGCAGAAAGCCTTGGAGAAATCAGAAGCTCAGAGAGAAGAACTCAGAGTGACACAAGTCTCTCTCATCCAGGAGAAGAATGACCTGCTTCTTCGGCTTCAGGCTGTGAGTGATTCCACTGTTTGTTCTTTACATCTACTTCTTAATTATTCTCTCATTTCATAGGCAGCGTTGACTTCAAAGAAAGGCAAATTAACAAACACAGAAGTGTGAGTTTTGGAATACCATAGATTTCACTAAGCACACATAATGGATACATTTGAAAAGATACTGTTTAATAGTGAAGAACTTTGATTAGCAGGGTATCTTTTATTTTAATCGTGAAAATACCATACAGAAGGGTTACAATTATATGAGCAAGGTAATGCGTACATTTCCATATCAAGGGTTGTTGCCTCAACCTTTATTTCCCCTTCCTAGCCCTTCCCATCTCTACCCCCTGTCCAGCGCCAAAGTTATAAAGCTCATTTTTCGACATAATGCCATGTACATCTCATTGTTGCAATGGATCCACCTTGTATTCCTATTTAAACAATTTGTTTTTTCCCTTCCCCTCCACAAATTATAACAACATCAAATACAGGGAAAACAGGGGTTATATTATGGGGAAGGACATACAAAGCAACAAAAATATCACCTTATAAATATGTTAGAAACAATAGCAAGAAAGAAAAACCATTTGAGTCCTTATATCAGGGTATCTTTTAACTAGAATACAGCTCAAGAAGTGCTAAGAGGAAATCTTAGAGCTATGTCTATTTAAAAATATCAGAAAGACCTCAGATAAATAGCCTAATGATGTCTCTCCAAGCCAAACCCTAAATTAGTAGATAGAAATAATTAAGAACAGGTAGCAATGAACGAAATACAAACTGAAAAAATAATATGAAGACCTAAGTACGTGGGCCGCTGGGGGTCGCAGTATCAGCTCCCGAGCCTGTGCTGCGGCCCTGGCCGGTCAGTGTAGGAATCTTCTCAGTAAAGTTGCTTCTTTATTAACAAAAAAAAAAATATGAAGAATCAATGAAACAAAAAATTGGGTCATTGAAGTGATAAACAAGACTGACAAAGCTTAAGCCAAGCTGACCAAAGGAAAGGAGAAGATGAAAATTGATCAAATTATACATGAGAAAGGGGCCATAATATCAATGAAATTCAGAAGCTAATTAAGGAAGACTTCAAAGACTTATAGTCTGATAACTATAAAGTCTGAAAAAATAGATAAATCTATGTGCATAACTTCCTAAATTGAACCAAGAGGATACCAGTCACATTAACATTTCTATAATGAGCAATAATATTGAAGTAGTAATAATCTATTAAAGTGATGTCATAACTGGAAAGAGTCACTGCTGAATTCTACTAGACCTCTAAAAAAACTTACTATTAGTGATACTCAAACTATTGCATAAAACAGAAAGGGAAGAAACACCACCAAACTCATTCTGTGAAGCTAGTGTTGCCATGATAACAAAACTAGACAAAGACATAAATAAAAAAATACAATGTGTTTAAATACGATTCATTACAAAGTTTATACACTATAACCCAGTTGGTTTCTTCTAGGAATACAAGGATGGTTTCACATACACAAATTAATTAACATAACACAGACCATAAGCAGCATAAATGGCAGAACATGTAATTATTTCAATAGATGCAGAAATTTCCTTTGCAAAATTCATCATTCTCTTTTTTACGTAAATATTTTTTATTGTAAAGATACTATACAGAGGGGTTACAGTTACATGAGCAAGGTAAGATAATAAGTGCTATGTACAATAATATTATATCCAACATCATACTAAATAGGGAAAAACTTAAACTATTTCCTCTAAAATCAGGAAGGAGGCAAGGGGCTTCTCTCTCCCTTCCTCCTTCCCATCTCTTTCTCTCTTTCTGTCTTTCTCTCTTTCTCTTCTTATTAAATATGGGCCTCATAATCTTAGCCAGAGTAATGAGGCAATAGAAAGAAATAAAAGAGATACAAAGATGAAAGGATAACATAAAAATTATCCTGATTTGCAGGTGGTATGATTTTATACTTATAAAACCCTAAAAATTCCATGAAAACCTCCCTTAGATAAATGCATTTAGCAAAGACTGAAGATACAAAATTAATATTATCCATCAAATGCATGGCATTCAAAAACTGATTTGTTGAATGGTAACTCCTTTGTATAACTATTTAAAGATAATAAACATATAACAAATTAAAAGCAAAATTGACAACATATAAAAATTAGTAGGTTTTCCATATACTAACAATGAACAGGCTGAGCAAGAAATCAGAAAAATAATTTAATTCACAGTAGCCTCAAGAAAAAAAAAATCTAGGAATAAAACTAAGGAAGCAAAAGACTTCAACACCAAAAACTATAAAACAGTGAAGAAAGAAATTGAAGAACATTGTAGAAGATGGGAACACTACTTATTTTTGTGAACTGTAGAATACACTTTGTACAAGTAGCTATACTACTGAATATGACCTATAAATTTACTTCAAGCCTCATAAACATTGCAGTGTTATACTATACATATTTATAAGATATTTCTTTGTTGCTTTCTATGTCCCCCCTCCCCATGGTATAACCCCTGTTTTCACTGTATTTGATGTTGGTATAGGGCTGGGAAGGTGGCTCAGTGGTAGAGCGCTTGCCTTGCATGCCTGAGGCCCTGGGTTCGATTCCTCAGCACCACATAAGCAAAAAGAAAAAGAAAAGACTCACTTGATGTTGGTATAATTTGTGGAGTGGAAGGGAAAAAACAAATTGTTTAATAGGGATGCAGTTGGCCCCATTGCAACAATGAGATGTACAAGTTGTTATGTCGAAAAACAAACTTTACAACTTTGGTGGGGAAGGGAAATGGGAAGGAATGGGAAGTGGAAACAAAGGAGGAGGCAACAATGCTTGATAAGAAAAGTGCTCATTACCTTGCCCATGTAACTGTAACCTCTCTGTACAGTATTTTCACAATTAAAAAAAAAAGAACAAAAAATCAACCCTAGAATTAATATAGAATATCTAAAACAATCCTGAGTAAAAGGAGCAATACTGTAGCTATCACAGCAACATAATTGACTTCAAATTATACCACAAAATATAATAACAGAAGCAGCTTAGTAGTGCCACAAAAACAGACGTGGAGAAGAGTGGAATAGAATCGAAGATCTAGAAATAATCCCATATGTTTAGAGCTGTCTGATATTTGATGAAGGAACCATTGGAGAAAAGACAACATCTTGAAAAACTGGTGTTGGGAAAACTGAATAATCACAAGTTTCTATCCTGAGGGGAAAATTTCAAAATGAATTAAAAATTTTAATTTAAGATTGGAAATTTTGGCAATACTGAAGGAAAACATTTAAAGATGGAGACATAGGCAACTTTCTGATTAAAATTCCAGTTAAGAAATAAGAATAAGGCTTACAAAATGAGATTATATCAAATTAAGATCACTATGTGTTGAATGAAATAATGACCAGAATGAAGATTCAGCCCACAGAATGGGTAAGAATTTTTGCTCTAAAAACTAAGTTCTAGAGGTAGGAGGGAAGGGATGGTAGGGGAAAAACAAAGGAGGAGGCAACAATGCTTGATAAAAAATGTACTCATTACCTGGTTCATGTAACTGTAACTCATCTGTACAGTGTTTTTACAATAAAAATCATTCAAAAAGAAAAAAAGAAAAGAAAAGAAAAGAAACATAGAGCTAACTAGGGTGAGGTGGTATCTCAATGTTGTTTTGATTTACATTTGTTTTATGGCTAGGGAGGTTGAGCATTTCTTCATGTATCTATTGGCCATCCTTCTTTCATAGAGCTCCCCTATGACCCAGCAATCCCACTTTTGGGCATTTATCCAAATGATCACAGACCATACTAAAGCTACCAGCACAACTATGTTTATTGCAGCATTATTTACCATAGCTAAGATATGGAAGCAACCCAGATGCCCCTCAGTAGATGAATGAATCAAGAAAATGTATGTATACACAATGGAATTCTCTGCCTCCATCAGAAAGAATGACAAAATTTCCCCATTTGTTAGGTTAGGAAATGGAAAGACTTGGAAAAAATTATATTAAGTGAAGTAAGCCAGGCCCAAAGAAACATAGGTCCCGTGGTTTCCCTTATTTGCAATAACTAGTATATGTCTGAGTCAAGCAGAAACGGTCATATAAGTTGATGGCAGGTGAAATGAACCCCAAGGTAAGGACTCAAATGGCTTTTCTTTCTTGATATTGTTTCTAACATATTCATAAGATGATTTCTTTGTTGCTTTGTATGTCTCTCCTCATAATATAACCCCTCTTTCACTATATTTGATATTGGTATAATTTGTGGAGGGTAAGAGAAAAAACAAATTGTTTATATAAGGATACAAGTGGACCCATTGCAACAATGAGATGTACAAGTCGTTATGTCGAAAACGAACTTTACAACTTTGGCATCGGGTGCTGGGGTTGGGGGGGGAAAGTGGGGGATGGGAAGGGATGGGAAGGGGAAACAAAGGAGGAGACAACAATGCTTGATAAAAAATGTACTCATTACATTGCTCATGTAATTGTAATCCCTCTGCATGGTATTTTCACAATAAAAATATTAAAAAAAATAAAAATAAATTGTAAATAAAAAATTTTAAAAAAGAAAAAAAGAAAAGGGCCAAAAGAACAAATATTCTAATTAATAAACAGGCAAGTGAATTGAGAGGTTGTGAAAATTGTTGGAAGGATTTTGTATCTATGGTGAATTGCCCGGTAGCCACTAACTATAAACAATTACGGAGAATTTGAAAGGTACCTAGTTCAAACTGAGATGCACTATGAATGTGAAATGTAATTAGATGTCAAGTTCATGGTATGAAAAATATCTTACTAGTTCCATTTTGAAATGACAATACACTGTACTTACTGAGTATTGTAAAACTATAGGGGTTCAAAATTATGGAAAGTGTCTATCACAAAAAGTCAATTTATTTTGTAGCTGGCTTGTATCATAGGAATGATGTCTTTCGGCAAAATGTAGAAGTAGTATGTATAAAACATTAAAAGGAAGAGGCATTTTATGTTCTTTGTATATAATTTGTAGAATTTGCTTATGGCAGAAGCAGTTGCTTTTTTATTAGAAAAAATAGTGAAATCAAGTCAGTGCTTTATAAGTGAACTTGTAAATAAAAAAACACTATGCAGGTCTACTTAATTTATTAGAAATACATATACAACTGCACCAGGACACTTAATGTAATAAATAAATGTTACACTGTCTGAGAGAAACTCCTTTCTTAAAAGACCATAGTTTAAGCAGGCATCAGTCTCAAAATTTGTGCCCACATCAGTTCTTTCAGCAGCACAGTATTGACTTTTGGAAGTGTGCTATCTCTAGGCCATGAGGATTCTATTAAGTGCATATTAAAGGTCATTTAATCTACTGAATAGGCTTGATAGATGAAAGGCTCCTCCAAACACAAACAGTTCCCCCACATCTCAACAACAGGATCAGGGACCTGGGAATATTATTTCAGCTGCCTGGGAAAGGTAAGGTGAAAGTCCTGGGCTGAAAGTAGGCAATTATCTCCTTAGCTATGTGTTAAGCAACATTTTCAAATAACTGATAAATTACTTCCAGCTATTGGGAACAATTTTCCTCTCATCATGGCAGGAGCAAGTGACCCTGGCAAATACTGAAGAGCAGTGCCAGTTGCTGATTAAATCCAAGATCCAGCTGGAGGCCAGAGTGAAGGAGCTGTCTGAGCGGGTGGAGGGAGAAGAGGAAATAAATTCTGAGCTGATTGCCAGAGGGCGGAAACTCGAAGATGAATGTTCTGAGTTGAAGAAAGAAATCGATGACCTGGAAACAATATTGGCAAAGTCAGAGAAGGAGAAGCACCAGGCAGAGCACAAGGTACTTCTTCTGTGATGTTTCACAAGGCCTAGATGCCTGAATTCCACTCTCAAATCAGGCTGGGGAACTCAGAGTGTTGTGTTCAACTTAATTAATACAGGAGACTGCAACATTACAGCCTTGGGAGCCACAACCAACATAAATGAAATTGTGGTTTCAGTTTAGATTTCTACTTCAAAATTGTAGATCCCCATTTAGTGTAACAAATCAAATGATTTTATTTGTTCTAGTCTTATTTCCTCTGTAATCGGTTTCATCAGGCCTCTAAATATCCTTCTTGGATGGACAACTTTCCATGATATGGTGTGCTAAAAGGTGATTTGGGATGTGTCTGACTCTCCAGCTCTGCCACTGATTTGAGGCAATCTCTTGTTTTAGTTGTGAGTTTTAACTTGTACATCTAGATGTGGATTGAAGTTAATGCAGAATCTGTATCAAACCTTTGGTAAACACTTCCCATATGAAACTGTAATTTGGTGTCCATTGATTCTCCTTCACAGAAAGCATATAGCTAGCTTCCACTTTTGCATGTTATCTGTTGGAATCCTTGTCTGTCCCTCTAGGAACACTGTGGTACAAAATATTAATTCATGCCCTCCTGAATCCTCAAAAGCAAGTTAAATTACTATTAGTTATATATTATTATTATACTATATTATTATATGTTATATATAATATTATATATTATATATTAGTTGTGTATTATTATTGTTACTACTATTATTATACAATAATATGGTGCTCTTAAATTAAGACAATGAACTGTTTGATAATATTTGAATAACTAGAATATTACATTTCCGGACTTTATCAGATAACAGATCATTATTTTGTGGAAGAATTCACAACTTTAAAAAGTTTATCAGGAATATGCCTCAATGAGGCACATGGTGACACAGAATTCCTCCTGAGGCTTTCCAATCTTCCATTTCAACTGGTGGCTCTTAGAAAGCTATTCTCATTTAATCTTAACAGGTCAAGAATCTGACTGAGGAGGTGGAATCTCGAAATGAGGAAATCAGCAAGCTTCACAGAGCAACTGAGGCTGTAAAGGAGGCCCATCAGCAGACACAGGACTGTCTGCAGATGGAAGAAGAGAAACTCAACACCTTGAGCAAAGCTAATCTGAAACTGGGACAACAAGTTGTTGCAGTAAGTGATCATGGATTTAGCAGTTGGCACTCTGCCTTCATAGATATATGCCTTCAACTTTTCTTCATTTATCTGAATAGTTTCAGGAAACCATAATAGAATATTGTATTTTATTTTTTATTTGGGAATAGAGGTGGGTTTTCTTAACGTACACTCAACCACTATAGTATAAGTCAGGCCCAGCACATAATCTATCACTTTTTAGAAGCAACTATCACACAACTCCATGCAATGGGAGAGTGCTGAGATGACTAATCCTTCCCATAGTCAGCACAGAACCAGGATTTTGCTACATAATGAATGCTAGTTCTGGTGTTCAAGCTTATATTGTATTCTGACATTTATTTGTTGTTGAAAAACTTGTAAGTCACACACTACACTTACCCTATATTGTTGAAAAATCTTGTAAAATTTTAAAGATGATTGTGCCCTGTTCTGTGCCTAATCACTTTGTGAAAAAAAGCTTCAAGTCTACTTTTACTGTTCATAATCCTTCATTTCTTTTTCCTTGACTGATCTGTGTGCATTCATTCTCTTAGTCTATATAAAATTGCTGATACAGGGAGTGATAGCTTTTTTGTTGTTGTTGTTTGCTTTTGTTGTTTTTATGGTGGCAATGCAGCTTAGGTTTGAACTTGGGATCTCAAGTTTGTTAAGCATGCTTAGTCCATTTTCGCTGCTATAACAAACTAGCATATACTTGGTGGCTCATGAACAACAGAAATTTAGTTCTTTTTTTTTTTAATTTAATTTTATTTTATTTGTGAGAAATTTAGTTCTTATAGTTCTGGATAGTGGAAACTTTCAGATCATAGGGCTAGTAGATTTGGTTTCTGGTGAAAGACCACTTTACCAATACATGGCCATTTTCTTGCTGTGTCCTCATTTTGTAGAAGGAGGAAGGGCGTCTTTGGTCTCTTTTTATATTCATACTAATCATGCTCAGGAGGACTCTGTCCTTGTGACCTGTTCACCTCCAAGAGCATCAATTTCTAATACCACCAATTTGGTGGTGAGGATGTCAACATGAAATTTTTTTTTTTCTTTTTTTTGTCGGTCGTGGGGCTTGAACTCTGGGCCTGGGCACTGTCCCTCAGCTCTTCAGCTCAAGGCGAGCGCTCTACCACTTGAGCTACAGCGCCACTTCCGGTTTTCTGGTGGTTTATTGGAGATAGGAGTCTCACGGTCTCTCCTGCCCGGGCTGGCTTTGAACCGCGATCCTCAGATCTCAGCCTCCTGAGTAGCTAGGATTACAGGCGTGAGCCACCAGCGCCCGGCAACATGAAAATTTTTTAGGGGACAAATATATTTGATGTGCATTAAATGTATTCATCATTTTAGGGTTTTACATGTACTTTCCAGAAGTATTGCTCCTAATTTGAATTTGATATCTTTCACTAATACCAGGAAATGTTTTCTATTTCTGAAAAGTAAGCATAACAATAAGCAGAGTTATATCATAACTGTTATCTTCCTACTAAATTAATCTCTATTGATGCTATCAACACAAATCCAGGGGTGACTGGAATGTTCTGACAGCTTGGTAGAGTATCAGAATAACATAATGATATGGACTGGGAAAAGGTGCCAAAGAGGTGAAGGGAACATTGAATCACACATATGAAACCTTCGCAAAAGGCCAGTGATACCCAGGAGTGCTGACAAATACTCATGGATGGTATCGTGGAGATAGATGTTCTTGGTACTTCTCCAGAGGCCACTTTCCAGAGAATATTTCTATTTCTTATGAATAAATGCTCCTGAGTAAATGAAATTATCCATCCATGAAATGAGCTGCCATATGGAGACGTGATCTTCCATCACTGAAAAGTGACCAAACAGGCCCACTGGCCACAGGCAGAGCTCATACTCCGCAATCTCCAGAGACTTCTTCTATCACGATGACTTCTAGATTCCTTGGTTAATTTGTTGATTCATGTAACATTTAATTTAAAAATACCTAGATAGATGGTATCATTTCCAGAGTATGCGCTTGTAATTCTCTTTCATTTTCCCAAAGTGGTTAATGAACACATTTAGTAAAATATACATTCTACTGATTTATTTAACTAAATGATCTCTCCTTTTGTCAGCTGGAGGGTGCCCTTGAACAGGAGAGGAAAGCAAGAATGAACTGTGAGAGGGGGCGGCACAGACTGGAGGGAGATTTAAAGACAATCCAGGACCATGTGGAGAACCTGGAGGGCAGCCAGCAGCAGCTAGAAGCACAGCTGAGGAAGTGAGTATGTTTCTGTTACCATGAGGTTCTGGGAAGGAGATCTCAGGTTGGAGAGAAGAGCTCTGCCATTTTACTTATCATTAGGACTTCAGGCCAAATATTTTGAGACCAAAGCCAAAGATGACAGATTCCGAAATGGGCTGCATTTTCTTTATTGTGTAGTGGCAAAAATAGAGTGAATACGTACCTGGAACCTATCACTGATAAAGTTTCTGCCTAGCAGATGAAAATAAAGGCTGTAAAGATCATGGCATGTGAATTACTGGGAATTTGAGAATTCAGGTAAAAAAGTGAAAATTGCCCATTTTTTTTAAAAAAAAAAACTGGATCAATGGCAACATAAGAAAATGAGGCAAAAATTTTCATTGATGTGGTATGAAATACTGTCTGATCACTTGAATAATGCTTGTTTGCCAGATATACCTTCATTAATATTTATGTAGTGGAATTTTGCCAAATAACGTACTATAAAAGCATGGATGTGAGCACTTAAGGGATGAGGTAGGATCAGGGGAAAAAGGTTAACAAATGAAGAGAAGAGGGGGAGAATACAATCAAGAATCCAATGTATATCCTACAAAATTAAGAAGAGTGAAGGAAGGCGGGGGGGGGGGGAGTGCATAGAGGAGGATGGATAAGAATGTTGAAAGGGGTGACACTGATCAGGATGTCTTGTATTCATACACTGCTTTGTTAAATTGCAACTCTTTTGCACAACTACTTGGAGATGATAAAACAAAAAACTTCCTTAAATACAATTATTGGAGAACAAAGGAAGCGGTAACAATGCTGTACAAGAAATGTACTCATTACTTTACTCATGTAACTGTAACCCCTCTGTACAGCATCCTGACAATAAAATGAAATAAAAAATCATTTTCAATCATTTTGCTTTGAAATTGAAGGCAACACTTGAAAATGACAAAATCTAGGAAAGCCAGAAGTCATTTGGATTCTTTATACCCCAAAGAACTGAGGGGAAGGTGAGGACTTCATTTTGTTCTAGTAGTTAGTGAAATAGATTCTCTCTCTTTCTCTTTTTTGTCCTCCTTTGTTTAAAGAGACATTTTTTCTGGTAACACTTAAGGATTAAAATTAGATCAAATAAGAGGAGAAAACAGAGAAATCCAAATGTAAGGGAAGGCCAGATTACAGCTGGGGACAGCATATCCAAGGTCAGAATCCATAGTGGAAAACGAAGTGTCAAGGGAACAACTTATAAGTTTTTGGCTTTTTGTTAGTGTGCATATGTTGGCTTCATACATGTTCATGGTGAAACTTGACTAGTAGTGTATTAGTAAGTTACAAACTTCATAGATGTTTGGAAAATAAGAAGATAGAGAACCTTATGAATGAACTGGGATTGATGTAAGGCAAAATACAGGGACAGAATGTTGGATGGTAAAGTTCAGACATTCAGCATTTTAGGACATAGTATTTTTCAAGAAGTGGTAGCTTCATTGTAAAACTTTCTCTAAGTGGATCTATGTATATTTAAGACAACACATGACAAAAGTAGCATTTCTGATGAGCGATCACAGGATAGAAGAGTCAGTACATAGCTTCAGAATTATTAGCTACATTTTAAAAGATAAAAGTTAAATGACATAATTTAATATATGCAATATTCTGGGTGGCCCACACCTCTGATCCTAAATACTTGGGACACTGAGAGTGGAAGGATTGCAGTTGGAGGCAAACCCTGGCAGAAAAGCTTCAGGAGATCCTTCTCGAAATAACGACCACCACCCCCTGCCCCTGAAAATAAAAAAAAATACCAAAATAAAAAAAAAAACAGGGATGGAGGAGTAGGTCAAGTGGTAGAGCACTTGCCTAGCAAGTATGAGGTCCTGAGTCAAATACCAGTACTGCCAAAATTAATTAACAACAACAACAACATCAACAACAATAATTCAATGTACAAAAGCTGTACCACTTTTAGAAGTGTCAGAATTATTCATGATAGCATAGGTGCAGACATAACAAATATTCTTTATGTATGAAACAAGAAAGTGTGTTATATACATAGACCGAAATATTTTTCATCCTCAAAAGAGAAGAAAATACTTCCATATATGACAGAAAGGGATGAGCCTGGAGGACATCATGCTAAGTGAAATACACCAGTCACAAAAGTTAAATAGAATAATTCCACTGACATGAAGTATCTCAAATAGTCAAACTTAAAGGAACAAATTCTTAGCATGATCATTAATTAATAAGGAAATTCATAAACAAGCTTCATTTTGCCTTAATTATTGAATGTTATGTCACAGTTAAATATTAAGGGAAGTAATCTGTGTATGGGCCAGCATAGAACAATCTCAATATATTACTGTGTTAATAAGCTTTAGATCTGTGCATAAATTATATACAATATTACAACTTTCACAGTAAGGAAAAATGAAATTTTCTCTACCACTATATATGTACACATGCAAATTTGTGAATACTTAGAAAAAAGAACATTATAGTGGTTTCTCCTAAGAGGAGAATAGGAGAATCGCGATCAGAAGACAAAGGTTTCAGACCTTGATGCAATAGTTGTGTTTTTGAATAAGAAGAACTCATATATTATTTCTATAATTTAAAGATTTTTAAACAAAATGTTCCAAACAATTCAATGTGTTACTTTTCCCTAAACAGGAAAGAATTAGAAATGAGACAGATGGATTCAAAAGTGGAAAATGAACAGGTCCTGGTGGCCCAGCTTCAGAAGAAGGTTGAAGAGCTACAGGTAATAATTTTTCAAATAATTGTGTGCACTAATGTTTAAATCTGTGGCAGATAACTGGTACTTTAAATAAGAAAATCTCTAGCAAGGTATCCATACTTGGTCAATTGTAGACAGAGGAAGTAGAGAGCAGTAGCTTAGATGTATACATCTCTGGATGTGTACATGTCTGTACACATTTGGGAGTCTGCAGAAGGAAATTTTGAGTTTGAGACCATTCCTGACCATATAGTATACTTGTAGGGAAAAAAATTAAGAAAGAGGGAGGGAGAGAAGGAAGAAAGAAGAAAGAAAGGAAGGAAGAAAAGAAAAAGGAGAAGAGGGAAGCAAAGTGGGAGGAAGGAGAAAGGAGAAAAAGGAAAGGAGAGGAAAGGAGAGGAGAGGAGAGGAGAGGAGAGGAGAGGAGAGGAGAGGAGAGGAGAGGAGAGGAGAGGAGAGGAGAGGAGAGGAGAGGAGAGGAGAGGAGAGGAGAAGAGAGGAAAGGAAAAGAAAGGAAAGGAGAGGAAAGGAAAGGAAAGGAGAGGAAAGGAGGTATCCCATAGATGTATGACCTAAGAAAAAATTATTTTTATAAGCATGAATTTTCTTACTATGAGGATAATAAACTAAGTAGCTTATTTATTGAATGTTTACTCTGAACCAGGCATTGAACTAAAATCCTGGAGAAGCATTTTTTCTCATTAATCCTGCAACTGTATGCTTAATTGATAAGCATAGTACATGACCTGAGGCATATATTCATTCTTAGCAGTTTAATTTTTATGTTGATTATTTATGATTATAAGGCAATTATACTGGAAAGCAGTAGGTTCTGTAGTAGACTGAAAGCATTATTTGATAATAGATCACTCTATTAGTTTTAGACCGTGTCAGTGTTTTATACTGTATCACCATTTTGTACAGTAATTAAATACATGAGGCAATTATACTCACATGCACACATATACATGTGCATCTAGATACTTTTTTCTTTGGAGAATATCCCAATGTTGTAAACATCATTCAAATTTATTTGGGAATCTCTTTTCTTTTCTTTTTTGTCAGTCATGGGGCCTGAACTCTGGGTTTGGGCGCTACCCCTCAGCCCTTCAGCTCAAGTCTAGCACTCTACCACTTGAGCCACAGTGCCACTTCCAGCTATTTCTGCTTATGTAGTGCTAAGGAATTGAACCCAGGGCCTCAGGCATGCAAGGCAAACGCTCTACCACTGAGCCACCTTCCCAGCCTGGGAATCTGTTCAATAGTTCTTTTTCAGAATGTTTTGAGTAAAATAAAAGAAATAGTCCTGCTGCTTTGTGATTATGCTTTATTTTCAGAAATAATATTAACTGTCAGGTGGCTCTTTATATTTCCAGCCTTATCCCCACACTTGGCATTTTTCTAAAATAAAGATAAAACATTTTTTTCACAGTATCTAAAAAACAAGGTTTCTCACCTTAATGAATTAAAAATGGAGGTAATAATGCTTGATAGGAAATGTACGCATTACCTTGCTCATGTAACTGTAACTCCTCTGTATAGTATTTTTACAATAAAAAACAAATTAAATTATTTCTGGAAAATTAATTCAGAGTTGTATGAGTTTAGTGATGATATTATTTAGGACATTTTTGGATCTAATGATACTCATTGTCAGGGAATCATGTTAAACTATAGTGGAAATCATACTTTTCTTCAGTAACTTCATCATATTTCATCTACGCAGAGACTACTTTCTTGATATCATCTAGATATTAGATTTCTATACACCATTTTATTTTTTGGAAAGAAAAATGTCTTCTAAACAAAGTTTTTACCATTTCTACCCTATCCTACATGTGCCCAATTTCTTAAAACAATGTTAAAACACATAAAAGGCTTTATTATAATATAGTACAATAATATTATCAAGATTTGTAGAGCTATTTGCCCTTATACTAAGATTAGGGTTTAGTACTTTGAAAATTCCAATCAATATTTTTCATTTTCTAACATTCATATCTATAAAATGGTATCAGCTTTCTACTCATTTCAAGTGGTCCTTTTCCTCTACCAATTCTAATTTGTTTCTATAAATCTCCCGCAGTCTAGAAAACCAGATTAAGTTATTAGAAATATATGCAAAATTACACTGATCTATTTCTTCAAAACAAGGCACTTGAACTTGATATTCATTCAGTTGATCCGATTTTTGCAGCTTTGAGAGTTGTCATTGTTAGGTAAATGAATTCTAGACAAGGAAAGTTTGGTTTATAAAATCTATTGGTTTTTTTCCCAATAAATTCTCTTTTAAAATTTTTTTTATTGTGAAAATACTGTACAAAGGGGTTACAATTACATGGGCAAGATAGTGAGTACATTTCTTATCAAGCATTGTAGCCACCTCCTCCTTTGGGAATTGCCTCTTACTAAGCTTTTGTTCCATGTATACATAATTTAATGACCTTGTTTATTTCTGTGATATCTGAAAGAACTGCAAGTAATAATTTTAGTCTTGTTATTGTTTCAGGGAAAATACTTGTCATTTGTCTGTATCTGTTCCATTTCCTTTAGTTATAAATTGGGAACCAAGTATGTAATGTTAGCTATCTTACTGGTGAGAAAAACAAATAGAATGCATTTTCAAAGCTCTTGAATAAAATATGCTACAAACCAAAATTATGTATTGCTCCAGACTCATATAGGAAATTTGAATGAGGAACTGGAAGTTGAAAGGACCACTCGAGCCAAGATAGAAAGAGAGAGAGCTGACCTCACTCAAGACCTGGAAGACTTGAATGAGAGGTTGGAAGAGGCTGGGGGGGCAAGTTTGGTTCAGCTGGAAATAACTAAGAAACAGGAAGCAAGATTTCAGAAGCTTCGTCAAGAGATGGAGGAGGCCATGTTGCACTTTGAGACAACTTCTGCTTCTTTGAAAAAGAGACATGCAGATAGCTTGGCTGAGCTCAAAAGTCAGGTAGAAAATCTGCAACAGGCCAAGCAGGACCTGGAACAAGCTAAGAGTGACTTGCAGCTGGAAGTGAGTGACCTCCAGACTCATGTTGAGCAGATGACAAGAGCTAAGGTAGACACTCTCAAATCACTCTTGGGGGCTTGTGAAAAATGGAAGAAGGTAGGGCAGGGGAGGAGAAAGGAAAATCAGAGAATAACTTGAAGTATTTCATCATGGAATCTTTAGTTCTCGAGTCTGACCTCAAGGTCATTGCTAAGATCACCCATCAACTGAATATGACCTGAGTGTGACTTCTGGTTTTGTTAGAATCCCAGCCATCTTCCTTATGGATCTTTCTGGTGATGGCATAAGAAAGTAGGATAGAAAAGTGAAGGCTCACTATCTATATCTCTTTTGAAGAATGGCTTCATTGTGTTGTGAGTATGCCATAGGGGTAGCCTTCGTAATTCCAGAATATGTCAGAATAGTGGACACAAACACTCTTGCTGAGAAAAGTGAACTTCCTCTTCCATGTGTCTCTGCATCTCATTAACCAGCGTACACTAGATAGTTTCATTACATGTCCTATCTTAGCTGATCCCATTAATCTATACACTGCAAGTTTCTATATAAAATGGGAACATGGTTAACAACAGCCTTAACTTTTGGTAGTAAGGGGACATTTTACTTTAGGTTAAACAAAACAAATGACTAGTTGCTGCAACTTCTGCTCCTTTGTGAGCCCAATTTGTGAAGTTACCTAAGAAAGTTTGAACCCAGCCCCAATTGCTTAATCTCCGTGGACTGTGAGCAAAAATATGTGGAATAGCTTCAGAGCTATAGAATATATTCTAAAATATTTCACGTTAATTCATCTTAAAGTCCCCATCAAGACCATTTCAGTTATTACTTAAATGAACTAAAATATATGAGGTATGATTAAGCTTATGAGACATATGGGTACTGAAAAGATACAAATATATAAGCAAAAGAAAATCAATAAATCATTTTTGACAGTTCAAAAATGAAATCAAGCCTTTCTCCTGTTTTTTTTTCCCACCCACAAATAAGTGTATTCTTCCTTACCGGCTTACTTTTTAATCTTTGCAAATTGATTTTATTTCTTGAAAGTTTAAGTTGTTCTATTGAAGATCAGCATCGTCTTCCTTCTCACAAACCAGCATACATAAAACCAACCAAATTACCTTTATTTTTCTTTCACAAAGTTACATTTTTTTCTGGACTTTTCTGTCTCTAGCACCTAGTTCTTCCCATTACCCAAGCCCTAAACCTCAGTTTATCATTTTCTCTCTTGTCTTTTGCTTTCTAATCTTTTGTCACATCCATTCAGTTCTCCATGCTTGCTGCTTTCTCTCCCATTCCCATGTTCTTAACTGGACTGTTGAGGTGGTTTCCTAAATTACCTTTTGGATTTACCTTTCATTGTTTTAATCCCTTCCATGTAGTGCCTAGATCCATTATTCCAAGCATGGATTTATTGAGTTATGTTCGTGTTTACAAATGAACTTCAAACTTCTGCTTTAGAGGTAATTGATGATTGACAACCTATGGTCTGGCTCAGTCTGCTTGCCAGTTTTAGATATTGTTACTTTTTGACTCATTGACTTCATTTCAGCCAAATTAAAATGTTGAGTGGAAGCACTAAATATTCATTTTCTCAGCAATGTGTCTTTTCCAAACTAATTCCCTTCTCTGGAATGCTCAACTGCAACTTTATGTATTAAAATTGTGCCTGTTTTTTGCACTTTTAGGAGCTCCTACTTGTACTATCAAATTGAATAATTTAGCCTTGCAAAAATGGAAACTGTCTTTCAGATCTCATTTTGTTCATATTTTCAGTTCTTTGTACACTCTGCACTTAGTTACTGGCATTCACTTCGCACATGCCTGCTGGGACTCAAAGGTTCAGTGACTGGTCTAATGTCACATCATTTAGAATTGGTAGGATAAATTAATTCTGGTTATATTCAAAGGCATATCCATTATTCTGAACTCTTGTTTGAATTATTGATTTTATCTTTTTCTAAATTATAATGGTAAGAAAGCCAACACTCAGTGATACAGTAGAAATGGAAGCATTTCAAAATGTATTATTCTGATAGAGAAGCCCAGAGCAATTTAGAAGTGATAGGCGATCTTCCAGTTATTTTGATTATTTTGAATTCCCCTTGGTTCCCACATTTCTTCAAGGCAATATTTTCATGCATCATTTTAAGAAGCAGCTTTAAAATGAATGTGCATCATTTCATTAACCTTCTCTTCCCTGGCATAAAAATTTATTGTTTATTTTTATGCTTCAATGTGAAATTCTGTTGCATTTCATACTATATCCATCTATTGGCCATCTTTGTCTTTTACCAAAAATACTGCTTTTATTTTTGCTTAAACTCTGGGGTTGGGCACTATCCCTGAGCTTTTCTAGTCAAGGCTAGTGCTCTATTTGAGCCACAGTTCCAATTACTTTTTCTTGTTGCTGTTGTTGTTGTTTTGTGATTAATTGGAAATAAGAGTGTCATGGATTTTTTTTTACCTCTAGGCTGGCTTCAAATTGTGGTCCTCAGATCTCAACTTCCTGAGTAGCTAGGACTGGAGACATGAGCCACTGGTGCCTGGCCAGAATATTGATTTTTGTAAATATTTTATTAATTGGAAAAACTAACCCTGTGGTTAGCAATATCTATGGATGTGAAAAAAGGGAAAAGTACAAACATGCACAACTTAGCAGGCCACTACCACGTGGATTTATCCTGAAATTTCTCCTGAAACTTGGGACTCTTTGGGTTCTTTTTTGCTGCTCCTCTTGACTACATGCATAGAGCATCATCCTTTCTCCCTCTTGCATAGAGCATCATCCTTTTTCTCTTTCTCTCTTTGCAGGTGTATATGAGAGCATATTCAGGGCTATCAATACAGGCTTTGTTTTTTTTCACACCTGGATAGGCTCCTGCCAGTTCAGTTAATGGGTCATTTGTCAGTAGAGATTTAAAACAAAGTTGGTGCACATCATAATAATTGTATCCAGTTTCCTCAGTAATCCTGCATTTTGGTCATCTGATTCATCTAGTATATAAAATCAGTTAATTCTTAACATTTCCTTTTGTAACTTATACTTCATATGGCAGGTTCAAATCTCAGTTCTGATGCTTCTTAGCATTGTGATTTCAGGCAAGATAGTTTATCTCTCTGATGCTGTTTTCTCATTTACCAAATAAAACCAACCTCAGTTTTTTAGGAGTCTCATGAGAAAAAATGACTATGCCAACTTTGTCAAAATTGCTTTCAGAAGTATGAGCAAACATTCAACATTCAGAGTTTGATTTAAAGAGGCAGGCAGCCTACATATGGTTACAACTCTTTTTTTCTGGTTGTGTGTGTGTAGTATGTGGATAACTAAGCATGCCTACATGTAACCTCTATGTTTCAATGGCATTGTATGAGAACCTGCTATCTAAATCTCCACCAGGTCTGGGTTTGCAACCACCCAGATCCTGCACACAATGAGGATGACCTGCCAGTTGGAAATAAATAGCATTGCTTGTCTGTCTCCAAGTGGGCATGCTCTTAATTGGTTCTTCACTTGTTTGTGACGAACCTGACTAAGCATCATCTGGGTGCTTGAATCTATGAGGAAAGTTTGAATGTGACCTCAGTCTGAATGTTGGCCCATCTCCTACTAAAGTCTACAATAATATGAGTATCTTAGGAATTTGCCAGGTAATTTTGTTGAATATAGAGCAATGTATAGGTTAAAAGTCTTTCATAGGATGTTCAGAATACTCACCAAGTAGATCAATCCTTCACACAGCCTAGTCTCCAGCTAGAGATTGCCAAGGTTTTTGCTAACTGGGAAGTTTTCCAGAGGACCAGACATAACATCATCATTTAAATGCCCCTTGTCTTTGGCCACTGGAGTTTGACAATGATTGGATTCATAGTATGCCTATTAGTCTTACTGTCAGCTTTCATCATTTCACCAGCTTTCTCAGTTTTCTCAAACTGATGCTGATGTAATTCCTCTCTTCTTGTCTCCTTATTCTTTTCTATTTTTATTTTTTTTGTCAGTTGCTGAACTCTGTGCTTAGGCGCTGTCCCTCAGCTCTTCAGCTCAAGGCTAGCACTCTACCGCTTGAGCCACAGCACCACTTCTGGTTTTCTGGTGGTTTATTGGAGATAAGAGTTTCATGGACTTTCCTACCTGGGCTAGCTTTGAATCATGATCCTCAGATCTCAGGCTCCTGAGTAGCTAGGATTATAGCATGAGCTACCAGTGCCTTAGTCTTTAATTCCACAGTACTCTTTACTTGCAAAGATCAAAGGCCTCAAGAACTATTGATGACTTAAAATTTAGTACATGGAAAGAGCTTAGAAAAAAAGCTGAATAAGAAATAAGTACCAAATAAATATAAACTTCTGTTATTTTGATAATTGTTAATATCATCATCAACAACCATCATGGGACAGATGGAAGACATACAAAGATAACTTGTAGAAGAGTTTCACAAAAACTCTGAATATGGAAGTTTACTGATGTAATTTTGCTATTTGTGACATAAACTATTGCTAACTGCTAGATAAGGTCATACTTTACTCCCCTGCACTTTGCATTTACGAGTTATTAGTCCTGTCTAAGGAACTTGAGTCTCAAAATCATTTGCTTGAGTTACCAGTGGTTGATAAGAATGTGCTCCTTTGGTTGGTTAATTAAATCAGGTAGAAATTCAAAAGCCAATGGCCAATAGTTTTCTTCAATTCAATTTTGCAAAGTTGAAATATGAAAACTAAGTATTAGCCCAACAGGATTATATTGAAGTTGGAGTTATAGTGATTAGTAGGGTGCAATTGCTTTGACTGTTCAATTCCCTTTATCATGTTATTACATATTATCTCTGTCTACTGTTTTTAGACTGCTTGGTCAGTCCTTTTAATATTCTTTGTTCTTTGTCTTTCCTCTCTCTATGCAACTTCTCTCTTGTCTATTGAGACACTTATGTTCTGTAAGCATTATTTGAGGCACTGGAGAATCTTGGTGAAGTAGAATCTTGATCTTCATGCAATTTGTGTCCCAATGGGAAAGAAAGACAGTAAATGTCAAGAAATGATCTTCTTTGACACGGCACCAGTGTTTGATATGTCTCCTTTTCTAAAAAATTCTCAAGGTTTCTGATATACAGCCAGTTGGATTTCTTCTTTGACATCTATGGTCTGAGAAACTTATCACACTTGTGGATATAGACTCTAGAACTTATTGTTCATCCGTAAATAATAAGATGTAGTTTCCTGATGATCTTCAATACAGAAAATATCACATTAGACCTCATACCACCAATTTCCTTCTTTCTAGAACAACTAATTCATCTAGACCAATTCTTCTTTACCAACTCACAGGCTAATGCTGACAAACTCTGTAGTCTGTATGAAGGACGTTTGAATGAAGCAAATACAAAACTGGATGAAATGACTCAGTTGACAAATGACTTGACAGCACAGAAGACAAAGTTGCAGAGTGAGAGTGGTAAGTAAAGGTGCTGTCTTAGTTGTAATTAATCCTTCCCAGTAGTGTCATGGCAGATTAGGTCATGCATTTACAGACTTTAGGGGAGCAATGCCGCTTCTGAATTACCCTGGTTTAAAGACATGCCCCTATCTGGAAAAGGTCACCTCTGTACTTCTTTGAGTGACCTTTCATGAAAAGCAATATACAGTTGTTAGGATCAACTCTTAAGACCATTGAAGGAACCCATATCACCTATGGACATAACTTTTTTTAAAAAAATAAATTAGACTTTGTTGTATAGGTGTTTCCCTCCATTTTTAACTATTGAGTCCACTTTATTTTTACATTATTTTACATCTGGCAAAAAACATAATCTAGATTTATAAGTTAAAATAGCTTACATGAGCTCATGTAATTGTGAGCCCATTATCCCTGAATTTATCTTCTGCTTGCTGCTTCTCTCATTCTATTTTATCTCCATTAATCTTTTTCATGTACTCCAAATATATAAGACATACTCCAACCCTAGAGTTCTGGCCTTGCTATTCCTTTGACCTGGAATATCCTACCTATTCTGCAAAGACTTGCAGATGATAGCCAATCAAGAGTATATGTAGCAGAAGTCAGCGTAGTCCTGTTGAGAAGGCAATGTGATATGCTTTTTTCTCATAGTATATATTACCTTCAAATAAACTTTACATTTAACATAATATCATGTTTCTCTCCATCTGTCAGATAATGAGTTCTGTGAGGGCAGGAAACTGTTTTGGTTACTGATGTATATCAATTCTTCAGCAGGCTGCCTGACATAGTATTCCACAAACATTTAATAAATAAATTAGGTATATGTCCCATGGATAATCCCATCAACCACTACTGATTTTTTTAAAATTTTAACCTTTGATATTATAGCAATCTATTTAGGATTTTCTTTTCTTAATTTATCATATGCTTTTTATGTGTGTGTGTGTCACACACTCAGTCATTTATAACAGCTGTTCCCAATCTGTCAAACAGATGGACTAGAGTTTATTTTGTATTACTTTGTAACTTGACTTGTTTCTCTAATATGATTAGCATGTGGGTAGTTGTTTGGCCATACTCAGAATTAGTTTTGTAATGTATTTCCACAGATAGAATTACTAGGTCATGAAAATGTATAGTGTAATCTTTATACACAGAGGCACATACTTAAAAAGACAGTGAGGATCACTGGGCTTTGGCACATATTTCTGTAATTGGACATCAACTTTTCTAGGATTTTTAAAACAAGACTGGAAAAAAGTGATTTCTAATAAACAAGAAAACAAGAGATTTCTGAAACACAAGGATTTTATTGAACTGTTTCAAATCTAGACAAAGATAGAAGGACAGGTTCCTGGGTCAAACTTACTAAGCCGCTACCAGCATGCCCCAAAAGCATCTGGAAAAATATCCACCAGATTTAAGAAGACAATATATTTTATAATGGAAATTTGGGAAGAAGGAACCGATTTCTACTTTGAACTACTGCTTCTTACAAACCATATTGATAAGAGGAGTGGGGCTTCAGGAAGCTCATAAAGTCCTAGGGTATGAGAATAGTCCATAGGAAGTACTAGTGACTTCTTGAGTGGTTGATTCTATAGACTGAATGCTATGTTGCTTTAATGGCTAATCATCAACACACAGAAAAGGAGTGTGGAGTAGTCTCATTTTTCATTTCTTTGTTGGTGTAAACCAACAAACAAAAAAATCTGTTAAACTTGTTCTACTCTCCTGCATATAACTAATTTTAGAACATTGCAAAATTCTTTTAATAAGAGTCAAAGCTAACATAAAACAAGTTAGCAAAATAACAAACCTAGACAGGTTTTAGTTCTAACAAGAACATCCAACAGGATCGTTCACCCAATGTGGATAGAGTGTGTGGCCCTGGACCTTGTTAAAAATCCTACAGGTTGATCTGTTGTATCATTGGAGATGTCATCAATGTGTGAACTACACAGCCTAGAAACAAAACTATGGATTTTTATGTTTGGCCCTGCAGGAAGTTCTGTGGAAATTTTGTTTTACTAGGCAGTTCCTGCTTCTCCCTGGTCAATAGCATTAAGTTTCTACACACTTTTTTGATGAAAAAATTGATGGGTAAGTGAATGAAATGAAAATAGTTATGAAATGACAGTTCTGCTTATGATTCTAGCTTTATCTTTTGTCTTTGGTGCAAATTTGAAGTATGTAGTTGTCCACTCTGCTCACTGGGCTACTGATCTAGATGTCTTTTGCTATTTTTTTTCTATAGCATAAGACATGATAAGAGTATCTTATGTCCTATTCTTTTTAATTTAATTTATTTTTATTGTAAGGGTGATGTCAGAGGGGTTACAGTTACGTAACTAAGGTAATGAATACATTTCTTGTAGAACATTGTTAGCCCTTCCCTTGTTCTTATCCTGTGAGCTCATTATGCCCTGCTTTCATATTACACGTGCTAAATCATCATTGGACACTGGGTGTGTGAAGTACATTTCTTCAGAATCCTTTTAAATATGGTTATGTCAACCACAGATAACTAAAATTGTGCTACAGACTCCCAGTAATCCTCAAAATGCTTTAGGGCTCTATGAGATTAAAAGATACCTTGTTACAATATGTAGCTGCTATTTGTTTTGTGAATTCTTTGTCCATTTTTATTCATAGTGCAAAAAAGATTGGCAGTCAAAAGTGCTGAAGCCTATTAATAAGTCCAGCCATCAGCACCACACTGTGCTAATTATAACTTTATTCAGTACTCACAGTACTTTATTCAGTACTCAAGTTTTAAAGTCATTTTCACTTAAGAATATTCTTAATGAAGCAGCAAAAATTTCATTATATCTCAAAGCTAAGTATTTATCACTTTAATTTTCTATGCAACGAAAACTATGCATAAAGAACTTTTTGGCTAGGTGCTAGTGGTTTACGCTTATTTATTTTAGCCTAGGTGCTTGTCAGGTGGAGATCAGTTTCTTTCTCTGAAAAATGAGTACTATAATGCCCCTGGCCCATAGAACTAATGAGAATTAAACTAATGCACATAAAGTATCTAAAATATAAAAGCTTCTCAAAAAAAATAGTAGCTTCTGGGAAGGTGGCTGGGAAGTAGCTGGCTGAGATGGTGGCTCAGTGGTAGTGTGCTTGCCTTGCATGCATGAGGCCCTGGGTTTGATTCCTCAGCACCACATAAGCAGAAAAAGCCAGAAGTGGTGCTGTGGCTCAAGTGGTAGAGCACTCGCCTTAAGCTGAAGAGCTCAGGGACAGTGCCCAGGCCAAGTTCAAGCCCCATGACTGACAAAAAACAAAAGAAAACAAAAAAAAAAACCATTAGCTTCTGTTATTTGTTATCAACACACCCTTTAAAAACTCAATTATAAAATAAGGGCTCTTAAGGAGTACTAGAAAGACTCATTACCATGGTTTTGCTAAAAATAAAAAAATGCATCAAGAAAATATGGTATATATACACATATGGAATTTTACTCATCCATCAGAACAAGTGATATTGTTCCATTTTTAAGGAAATGGAAAGACTTGGAAAAAATTATATTAAATGAAGTAAGCCAGACCCAAAGAAACATACATTTCATGTCTTCCCTCAATTGTGGTAACTTCAATGAGCCTATAAATCTACAAGTAAACACACTGGATGGTAAAAATGAATAAAAAATGCAGTGAAATAGGATAAATTATACAGGTCTGTATGCATTCACAGACTAAAGAAGGATAGTCTTAGGAGAGGGTCACAAAGGCTCCATAGCTATGTGCATCTAATCATATAAAATAGTATTTATTGAAATGAACTCTGAGAAATGAAAACAAGAGTGTTTTTTCTTTGTTGCTGTTTTTGTTTTCTTTTCCTTTTGTTTTGTTTGTTCATTTATCTGTCCTTGGGAGGGAGGGAGGGGCATGGAAATGGTGGAACGAAGGGTGAACAAATGCAGCAGTGATATTCACTAGACACTATCGAAAATGAACTATACAACTTGTAGGTGGGGACTGGAGGGAAAAACTGGGAGAGAAGGAGGGAGGGGTGACATTGTTCAAAAAGAAATATACTCTTTTTATTGTGAAAATACTGTACAGAGGGGTTACAATTACATGGGCAAGGTGATGAGTACATTTCTTATAAAGCATTGTTGCCTCCTCCTTTGTTTCCCCTTCTCATCCCTTCCCATCTCCCACCCCCACCTCCCACCCCAGAAATATACTCTTATTTAACTTATGTGACTGGAACCACTCGGTCCCTCGGTGCACCACCTTTACAATAACAATTTAAAAGAATATCTACGTAGGAGAGACTGTGGTTGCTCATAAAGCCAGTAAATTGGTGAGTAAGGGATGATCTGAGAGAGATTGGGATTAACTAATTTTGTGATTTTTTTTTTCCTGTAGGTGAGTACCTAAAGAGATTGGAAGAAAAAGAGATTCTGATAAACCAGCTTTCCAGGGAAAAGAGAAACTGCACTCAGCAAATTGAAGAACTCAGAGGACAGCTACAAGAGGAGACTATAGTAATGTATCTATTATTTCTCACCAATAACTTGACTGACTGCATGTTAAAATATAGTGCTTGGTGAGTCAGTCTCAATATCTTTTCCTATAAAAAAAAAAAGGAAGGATAGTGCTCTAAATGTGGTAGGAAAAAAACCATCTAGAATTCATATGTTCCAGACAAAACCCTGACAACTGAAAAGTCTTCCAGGATTCAAATAATTTCTGTTGTTTGCCAGATTTAGGGCAAGAAAAGTATATCCTTCCACTGTGCATTGTTACTTGAGCAGGGGCAAAAAGGCCCCTATAAATCTGAATTTTAAATGTTCACTAAGAAGTCTAATTAAACAACAAACTAGAATTAAAAATTATGGCCTGCCTTAGGTCAAGTATTAAATTGTCAATAAACCACAGAAATCAGTCATTCCTTCTGTGAGACTTAAGTTTATTAGTAGGAGACTCTATAGTGACTCAGAAAAGAGATGAAATCATTGAGTCCTGATATATAAAGCCAGTTTTTAGTTCATATTTGAGATATGTGTTGTAATATCCTAACATTCCTCACTTATGCATAATCTTACTGCAAAGGCAATACACCCTAAAGGTAGAGGTATAAAAGACTAACCTGCTGGAAGGGAGATACATTTCTCTTTTTAAAACATTGTCAGTTTATTTCCACTATTCTTCTTATTTTTTATCTTATATATACCTCAAATTTTAATTAGAAAAGCTCTCATATACTACTTATTTACATCTGTACAATCTGATATTATTATTCAATACTTGTCTATAATGTCTCATAATCAAATCACAGTAATTGGTATTTCCAGCTCCTCATGTTATTTTTATGTATTAGGAACTGAATTCTCCTCTACTTAATTTGAGATGTATAATTGTTCTAGGCTATACAGCATCTTAGTGTGCTGTGTAACATTTAAATTACTGTCCACTCTGAGTTTTACTGTGCACTATCTACCATTTCACTATCTCCATTTGCCCCCTCCCTTTCCTAGCCTCTTCTGACTTTCTTTTTGCTCTCTATTTTTATATAATCCACAATTGAGTTCAATAGTTGAGTGAGAATATGTAATATTTGTCTTTCTATGCCTAATCCATTTGACTGAACAGGTTCCATTATTAGTGCTGCTGCAAATGAAGTGAATTTCTTTTTTATTTTCAAAAGTATAACTAGATTTTATGTATTATTTTATTTTTAAGATATATTTTATTATTATTGTAGAGGTGATAATACAGAAGGGTTATAGTTATGTAAGTCCAGTAATGAGTACATTTCTGTTTTAATCGTGTCATCCCTTCCTTGCTCTCTCCCAGTTTCCCCTTCCATCCCTACTCATGAGTTGTATAGTTGATTTTCCACACAGTGTCTAGTGATGTATTTGTTTGCCCTTTGTCCCACCGTTTCTGTGCCCCCCTTCCTTCCCAAAGACAAATAAACTAACAAGATGAAATGAAAAGACAACAACAAAAAATTTCTTGTTTCCATCTCTTGTAGTTCATTTAGTAAAATACTATTTTATATGATCATATGCACATAGCTGCTTCTATGAATATCCTCCACTCACTATGTGAATGTCTAGAGACCTGTATGTCCCAGTGTATTCTTTATTTTTTGGGGGGGGGTCCAGTCATGGAGCCTGAACTCTGGGCCTGGGCGCTGTCCCTCAGCTCTTCAGCTCAAGGCTAGCGCTCTACCACTTGAGCCACAGTGCCAATTCCGGCTGTTTTTTTTTTTTTTTCTTTTTGCTTATGTGGTGCTGAGGAATCAAACCCAGGGCTTCATGCATGCAAGGCAAGCGCTCTACCACTGAGCCACCTTCCCAGCCCCCTCTTTTTAGTTTTGTTTTACCATCCAGTATGTTTACTTGTCGACTCACAGGCACATTCTAGTCACCACAAATGAGGGAAACCCTGCAATCTATGTTTCGTTGGTCTGGCTTACTTTTTTGATTAATGTAATTTTTTCCAGATCTTTCCATTTTCTTGTGAATTGTACAATATCAGTCTTTCAGATGAAAGTGTAGGATTCTATCCTTTCTAATGAAAGTGTCAAATTCTGTCTCTTGATCCAGGCATTCACTGATGGGCATCTGGGTTGATTCCAGATCTTGGCTATGGTAAACAATGCTTCAGTGAACATGGGTTTCCTGGTAGCTTTAGTGTGTCCATATTTGTGGTCTTTTGGATAAATGCCCAAAGGGTGGAATTGTTGGGTCATAGGAAAGCTCTGTGTTTAATCTTTTGAGAAAGCTCCTTACTGCTTTCCAGAGTGCTTGAACAAATTTAGATTCCCACCAATAGTGTAGTAGAGTTCCCTTTGACCACATCCCCAGTAGCATTTGTTGTTAGTTTTCTTGATAATGGATATTCTAACTGGGGTGAGGTGGAATCTCAATTTACATTTCATTTATGTGCCTGATCCATTTCGCTGAACATAATCTCCTCTAGTTGCATTAGTGTTGCTGCAAACGAAGTGAATTTCTTATAGGTAGAATATGGTTAGATCTTTTCTCCTGTGCACTTCTCTATATGTCTTTTGATTCAGAAAACTAATCATTTTACATTTAAGGTTGCTATTGATATGTTAACCTATTACTATACATTTTAAAATTGTTTTCTCACTGTTTTGTATGTTTTATCCTTTACTTCTATTTCTTTCATGATTGTTTTTTGTTTTGGTGGTTGTAGTGGTGGTGGTGATATGTGTGTGTATGTGTGTGATATGCGTGTTTTTATGAAGGTAACTGTGTTTCTTTTTGGGGAGAATACCTTCATTTTTGCTTATCTAGGATAGTTTTTATTTATCTTCCATTGCTGAATATTAATTTTCCTGAGTATATATTCTTGGTTGGCATTTTCTTGTCTCTCAAAACTTTATATTCTCATGGATTGTAAAGCTTCTGCTGAGAAATCTATTGTTAGTCTATTTAGGATTTCACCAAATGTTTGATGTTCTACTCTTTCTGTTTTTGGAATTATCTTTGTTTATCTCTTGGACTTTTAAATTTGATATACTATTCCATATCCTTTGATTCTCCTGGACCTGCATGTTCGTGATCTTTTCCAAGGCTGGTGAAATTTTCACTTTTTAATTTTTCTTCTTTGTATATTGGTGTTTCATAAATCTTGGAGAGTTTATTCATACATGTTATTTTTGGTAGTGTTGGAGTTTAAACTCAGTGCCTCATACTCTCTTGGCATACTCTACTTGTCACAAATCCCTTTCTTGATGTCATCTGACTCTGTTTAGGTAGAGCTTGATTTTTATTGAGTGATTCTTAACTCTATTTGAAAAAAAAAATCACCTCCAAGTGTCTCATTGTTAATTGTAGTGGTATCTTTTTTTAAATGTATGTTCCCCTGTAGTCTCAGAGTGCCTTGGCCCATGCCCTTCAGTCAGCAAAGCATGACATTGATCTTCTGCGAGAGCAGTATGAAGAAGAACAGGAGATCAAGGCCAAACTGCACCAGGCCCTATCCAAAGGCAATACTGAAACTGTGCAGTGGAGACTCAAATATGAACATGATGTCATCCAGAGAACTGAAGACTTGGAGGGTGCCAAGTGAGTAAACCAAAGCTACTGTTAAGCTGGAGTTGGTAATATACAGGACTGTGAGAATAATGACTATATCTCATGGGAGGTACTTAACAAATCCTTGATAAGTACATGAGGAAGTCTAGAATCAAATCTGAAATATTCAGAAGCATATATACTTATATATACTTAAGGGTCTAATATTTATAATACAAGCCAATTGAGTTTTAAAGGGTTCTTCAGGGAGAGAAAGGAGCCTCTTTGTAGTGGTAAAGCAGATTTTTGTTTCCTTGTTGCTGTTTTGGTTTTCTGTGCCTTTTTCTTTTTCTTTTTAAAAATTGACTGTAAAGGTGATAAATGAGGGGAGAGTTACAGTTACATAAGTAAGGTAATAAGTGCATTTCTTTTTTTTAATAAGTTCTTTATTGTGAAAATACTGTACAGAGAGGTTCAGTTTTCAACACAGTGTTACTCCCTTCCTAATTTTCTCTCACTTACCCCTCTCCTCTCCCACTTCTCAAGTTGTAAAGGTCATCTCCAACATAATGTCTAGTGAGTATCATTGTTGCATTAGTTCATCCTTTGTCCTGTTTCTGTGATTCCCTTTCCCTTCCACGGATCAGATAAGGTTATATACAAGACAAAAGGTACAGAAAATTGAAACAAAAAGAAAAAAATAGAAATTATAGCATACAGGGCAGAATAAGAGCCTTTTGTTTCTGATTCTTGGAGTTCATTTTTGGAGATGTCTCTTTGAAACCTGGGCTATCACATAAAGTCCTACAGCAGAATGATTGAGTCTGTTTTATCTGCATGTATCCATAACATCAAAGTCATTGTGCTTCTGGTATAACACTTGTAGACTACTAAGTGCTTTGTGAACATGGGACAGTGGTGGTTGGAACATGTTACTATCTGTCATCAAACCTATGAAACAAAAGTGTCTTTGAAAGAAACCATCCCTAGGCCACTCTTACTATTACAATGTCAGTGTTAGCCAATTTCACAAAAACAGCTTTAAAAGTTTTTCAGAACTACAACAGTTTTGAGGACTAGCTGAACCAAGACTTAGTATTGGAGTGTATAGCATTTATCTTGAGTGATTGTGTATCTTGAGACAAAATGTCAAACTAACCCCAACTTATGACCATTATAGGTTTAGCTCAGAAGAGTAGGTCCCTGGTTTGATAGCTTAGCAAAGACCCAGGGCAGATCAATACATTTCTCTTTAGCTTTGACCAATTATTTTTCAGTTCTTCATCTAAATCTTACATGGTATTGCTGTGTATTTGCTGAACCACTGTCATGTCCTCTCCCCAAAGGGATATCAAGTGATCTATCTCTGTACTCACAGAAACTTAAAAAGGACTTTAGAATGACAGATACTAAAATGTACCTATACGAGGTGTTTTTAGGCAAACTTTGGACCCTAGTATAGTGGCTTTCAACTGAAATGCTTCTGTATATCCAAATTTGTCATTTTGTTTTTGCATAAAGTTTGTTTTCCTTCTAATGACTGAAGATCTAAAATGTCAGTACTTACCTGTCATTCTGCTTGATGGTTTCCATGAGTGCTGGATAGAAAGCAAGGACTGACTATAGACCTCATTATGACTACAAAGATTTGATAGAACCAGCTCTGTAGTATATGAAAGGAATTAATGGGCAAATGTAATAATATTTGGACACTCTTTTTGTTTTCAATGTATTTTAGTATCATATAAAGAAAGCTTTACACTATCATTTTCCCCTTTAAACACCTCAGGGAAGTAGGCAGCTAATAAAAAGTGTTTAGAATTCTGTATTTTTCAGGTTGCAGAGTCAAAGGTCCATCTGCTTTCTTTGTGTTTCAGACAGGGGTTCATATGATAAGTTGGTTTAGCAGAATCAAGCTTGCCTAAAACCCAGTGATTGGTTCTGAATTTACATTCCCTAAGGATATGACTTTAATTTCTTAATCTCTCAGACCCCTTCACATATTTAAGGCAACAATGTAGGTAAGTTAAGGAGTAAAATAGTAGATGGTGTTGAATATAAAAGGGAGATTTCAGTAAATGAAGATCTAGTCAATTTCTAGGTCAATTTACCTAGTTTACCCTGGTATTAGCATTGAAACCCTTGAGTCCTAATGAAACCTCTCCATGCTGGAGAACTAGCTTGGTCAGTTGCCCAAAAGAAAACTCCCATGTCCAGGCATTGATCCACCATTTCTAACGCACTTAACAAGCAAGTAGTATAAGTATAATTGTTTTACCAGACTCCTGTGTTAGGTTAGAATAAACATCAGAATCTCTTCCTGAGAAGTATGAAGCAAAGAAAGAAAATATCCTCAGCCAGTGAACAGGACTTTTTTTTTTGAGCCCAGTGCCTACTTTCTAAGATGCTAAGCTTGAGTATTACAGGATTTAACCAAATGGGTCACTCACCGTAAGCTTATTCTTTGCAGGTAGTTATGTGGTTTACATTAATTCCTGAGGTCCTTTTTCAGTTTTATAATATCCAGGCAGAAAAGCTTTAGTAGATATCTTTTTAAGAATTGCAATGATAGAGTAAGAATGGGATAGCTAGCAACCTTGTAATACATTTCATTCATTAGAATTCCTAAGAATGCTGTACTGTGATGATGGAGGAGGATGCAATTTCATAAATGGCATAATCTCTCTGTGATCCTACAAGAACACAGTGGGGCCTAAGGACTACTAAGAACAGATATGTTACTGTTATGTGGCCATCATGTATCTGGGATATAAACCTAGGGAAAGAAACTGATGTGGAGAAAACATTTGGAGAGAAGAGAGAATTATGTTTCAGAGCCTCATGAGAAAAGGGAGAGAAAATGAAAGTGAAAGCCAAGAAGTTCTTTAGAGAGTAAACATGCCTAAGGATTTTCAAATAGCTTACTATTGAGGAGATATTCAGCACAATCTTATTTTTCCTATTTCTTGAAAAGTTGTCAATAATTATGGACATTTAATGATTGTTTTTTAAAGTTTTTTTTTTTTTTTTTTGTCAGTGCTGGGGCTTGAACTTAGAGCCTGGGCACAGTCCCTGATCCTCTTTTGCTCAAGGCTAGCGCTCTACCATATGAGCCACAGTGCCACTTCTGGCTTTTTTGGGGGGGTGTATGTGGTAGTGAGGAATCAAACCCAGGGCTGCAGGCATGCTAGGCAAGCATTCTACCACTAAGCCACATTCCCAGCCCTGCTGCTTAAAGTTTTAAGATACACAACTACGTATAGAAATTTAAACTGATCCTGAGTTTTAAGTCTAGATTGGCAAAGAATGAGGGAAATAAAATCTATGTGGACAGAGGAGCAAGAAGAGGGGTGGGCAGCAGACAGTTGGGCTGTGTTGGTTTCAGGGAAGGCTTGTGCTATTACTGTGAAGCCTCAGAGATCATGCTGCTTTGTTTTCAATCATTGTCTTTAATCCATGGCAGCTCTATGAGCTCTATGAGCATTGCTGTTCTCAGGTTCATTGAGTCTCCTCTTCTTAGGAAGAAGCTGGCAATCAGGTTGCAGGAGGCTGCTGAAGCCATGGCCGTGGTCCATGCCAGGAATGCCTCCCTGGAGAGGACCAGGCACCGACTGAGGCTCCAGCTCGAGGATGCACTATCTGACCTGGAGAAGGCGCGCTCTGTGGCAGCCGCACTGGACCAGAAGCAACAGCACACTGACAGGGCCCTGGCTGATTGGAAGCAGAAGGAGGAGGAGTCGCAGGCATTGCTGGCTGCCTCTCAGAAGGAGGCCCTGGCTCTCAACACTGAGATCCTCAAGCTCAGGCATGCCTATGAGGAGAGCGTCGAGGGCCAGGAGACCCTGAGGAGGGAGAACAAGACTCTGCAAGGTACTCTGGCTGCATTCACAGCCAAGCAAGAGCAGGAGCTAGGGGGAACCTCATTGTGTGTGAGCCTGCCTTCTGTGGGTAGAGAGGCTGGGCATTTTCCTATTCCCATCCATATTCTCAAATTTTAAAATTTTATGTCGAATATGTTTACTATAAATTTTATTTGTATTAAAGTAAATGGTATATCTTTAACTATAATTCCATATTGTAAAGGCCACCACCCCTGAATTTCTTGTTACCTATAGTTTGGCCAAAATTTCCATATATACGTTTGTTTATATCTTCTACCCAAAATACACATTATCTTAACAGCTTTATTTTCATTTATCAGTATATTTTATAATTTAGCTAATATTTGGTGGTACTGGGATTGAACTAAGGGCCTCTTATTCACTAGGAAAGAGCTCCTCCTCTTGAGCCAGGCACCAAGATCTGTTGGCTTTTAGCTTATTTTTTTTTAGATAGTCTTGTGCTTTTGCCCTAGCAAAATAGACTGTGATCCTACTACACCTACCTTTCAGAGTAGATGGGTTACAGATAGGAACAACTATGCCCTAATAATTTTTGAGATAGTATGTTAATCATATTTTGCCTGGGTTAGTGTTTATTCATAATCTCTGCCTATTAGATTACAGGGGATTACAGTTATTAACATATCAGGCCTAGTCCAACAAGTAGTTTTTTAGTGCATATTTTGTTCCAGGTACTATCTATCATCTTATTTTCAATATTAATTGTTTAACACAAACAAGAATTATGATGCTACATTCTTCATTTCTGCAAAATGGATATTGCATTGGGTCACATCAGGTTAAATAACTTGTCTGAATTTATAATTGGTAAGCAGCAGATTTAATAGCTGAGCCCAGCCATCTGGGCTTCAGCTAGTACACACTTAATTGCTTGGCTCTACTACTTTCTCATGCACCTCGTTGCATGGTTTTTTTTGTTTTTTGTTTTTGGTGTGTGTGTATCCATGGAGACCTGCCACATGCTATATAGTGTTTCATAATAAGAATGACCAACACTTATTTAGCTAGACCTTATTCATTTTAGAACTCATTATTCACAATTACAAGAATTGTCTCTTATGCATTCACATGCATATATTTATGTATATGGAAAATGTTTCAGTCAGACAGATACCTAGAAAAGGAATTACTGGGTTTAACAAATGAATTTAAAACTTTGATACACTGCCAAACAGTAATTTAATGAGACTATTTAGACTAGCACCAATATGAGTTACATGAAAACCTTGTGTGCACTGGAAGCAAATTCATTACTGTTGGAGACATAAATGGAAATTCCTATTTCTGTTGACCTACATTGTCTATGCTTGGCATAGGCTGGACATTTTAGAGGATGTATGAGAAAAAGGAGTAGAAAAATTTGCTGCATCCCAACTACCTGGAATGTTCGTTGAAACAAATTTTCTGATTCCTTGGTGTGTGGGCTGAACCTGTGAATTTCTATTTCTAGTAAACCCGCAGGTGAGGCCAATGTTGTTGTCCTTCAGTACGACTTGGGATTTTACCTTTTTTTTAATTTTAAAATTTGCTGGTAATTTTAAGATATAATCAGAGTTGAGAAAAAGATGCTCTTTGTTTTCCCCTGGGAATGTGTGTTTTGACAGGTGGTATTAGCAGAGAAGGATCATAACTCACAGGAGAAATCTCACCCTGTATGAATGTACATAATTTAAAAATAATTAATATAACTTATTATACCCCAGGGTCTCAGAACCACAAGAACAGGTAAGCTTGAAAAGCTCTCTCCTCACTGCCTGGAGCCTTAGGGTCACAGTTCTACATCACAGCATGCAGATGCTAGAGGCTCCCTTCACAGAGACAAGTATACACTCTAATGTATTGCGTAGCAGTACAGCACCAGGTGGTTGAGTTTGTTACTTTTGGGTTCCTCACTCTGTCAAAACATTGTATTTATAGAAGGCTAGCTGGAAATGTCATGGACCTGAGCTAAAGACTATATATATATATATTTTTTTTTTTTTTGGGTGGGCGCGGTCGTGGGGCCTGAACTCTGGGCCTGGGTGCTGTCCCTCAGCTCTTCAGCTCAAGGCTAGCACTCTACCACTTGAGCCACAGCACTACTTCCAGCTTTTTCTGCTTATGTGTACTGAGGATTTGAACCAGGGCCTCATGCATGCAAGGCAAGTGCTCTACCACTGAGCCACCTTCCCAGCCCAAGACTATATTTTTCTTGAGGCCCTTCTATTTAGGCTATCTGGGGTCATGCCTGGGCAGCTGACAGTGACTTGCCTTGGGCTTTGTTTCCATCACAGTGTCAAGTGTGGCTGACACAATGGCAGCCACTGGTGTTGATAGTTAAGCATGCTGCTGAAGTACAGGGATTCTCTGTATCTGTGACTGAGAGGACCTCCCTGTTGAACAGGCAGAGCCCTGAACAAGCGAACCATGGTGTGAAGTTACACACAAAACTCTAGCAGCCCCATCCTCATCAATTCTTGTGACAGCTTTAAAACAGATGGCGAAAAAAAAATCTGTTGAAGAGAAAACTTGTAAAAATGCATCAGGTCCTCTGTAGGATATGGGCGGTTCTGCCATCAGGTGCATCGTCTAGCAGGTCTTTAAGAGCAGCGTGCTGTGCTTGGCATCGTGGGTTTGAAATGCAGCCCTTTCACTAAGCTAGCTGCTCTCCCCTCTCTCTCCAGAACAGCTTGCAGGTCTCACAAACCAAGTTAAAGAAGTGACCAAGGACTTAACCAAAATGGAAAAAGTCAAGAAACTGATTGAACAAGAGAAAATTGAAGCCCAGGTCATCTTGGAAGAAACAGAGGTCTGACCATTGGGAAGGAGAGAAAGCTTTCCTCATTAGGTTCTGCAGAAGATCTACACTCTAGTAAAAATAGCTGCGACCACACCCTAACATTCATTCAAGTGATTACTCCAGGCTGGGCATCATACACAAGGCTTGATAGACATTGCTTGATGTAGTCTCCCCAGAAACTATTCCCTCCCTTCACAAAGGAAGAAGTTGAGGCTAAAAAAGAGGATAATCACCAGTGATTGCAAATCTTTTGATTGTAGTGAACACAAAAACCATGACTATATTATTCACTTATTTATCCCCCGTGCCTAGGAGCCTTACTACTTAAAACCTGGCGTGGTGCTTGTACATCACCTGGGAGCTTGTGAGAAATTCACATTCCCAATCTCTGCTGGTTCTGCTGAACCAAGGTCTTCATTTAAACAAGTTCACCTGGGGTTTCCTATGGGACCTTAACACTGAGGAGCACTGGCCTTGAGTGTTGTTGGCCTATAAGAGGGGGTTGGTAAATAATTGCCAAAGTTGAAAGAGTAAGTATTCTCATAGCTAAATATTTAAACAGTTTGTAAAAAGCAAACAAACAAAAAAAAAAAACCCAAGTTCTTCCCCACCCCATTACCAAACAACTTTTTGTCAAATGAAATTCCAAGCAGAGTTCTCAAGATGACCTTGTTTCTTCAAGGTCATCTAAGTGTAGATTATCTTTCAGAAGTATTTTTAGTGTTATGGATTCAAAGTTCAGGAAAAGCCTCTGACTATTTTCCTACCTGTGTGCTAGTGATTGAAATGGCTCTGAAGATGACCTTATGCCAAAGAGGTGAAACTGGAAAGGAATTTCCCCTGCTAGTCTGTAGGTGGTTAACCAACCTCCATAGCCCCCTTTGTCCCAGCTGAACCTCGTGTTCTTGATTTAACACGTGCATGACTATCCAGAAACATTGAAATCTAGTTTGTGTCTGTACACAAATCAGTAGCAAAAATTAGTTTTGAAGGGCAAGGTGGCAAGGTTTAGACAAGCACCATTTAAAAGCATAGTAATGGAAAACAAGCCCCAAAGACTGTTCTGTACAAGTTAGTCATCAGCATGCCACTATGAGAAATTGTAAGGTGGCTGTGTCCACATTATTCTGTCTACTTAGACAGTCTTTGCTCTATTATGAATAGGCATTTTTTGAGATCTGGTACATTTTATGCAGAATCCCTTCAATTACCGATGTGGTGTCCTGTGCAAGCCTGGTTTTAGTACAGTTGGTGAACTTTGTTTCATTTACTTGTCTTTGGCTCTCAGTCATCTGGCTACAGGTCACCATGTAAACTAAAACAAATAACTTTTATAGTATGGATTTAAATATGACCAGTGGATAACTCTAGTCCTGCATAAAGTTTAAGTCAGCCCACAGTATACAAAAATATAATTGTATATTAATCAAACTAGCCAAAGGTGGGAATGACATTAGAGCAGTGGATCACATACCATCTAGTACCACCAGATGGCAGTATATTCTACTAGCCTTTACTGAAGTTCTGTCTTCAGCATGGTCATAAACTTGGACATGTGTTTGTAATATTCACTTACTTCCTTTCTAGGTGAGCCTTTATGAAACACTGTATCTCACTTAAAATATATATATGCTCAAATTATTCCAGCTCACCCTCTCCAAAGATTCACTCTCTAAGTGACTTCTAGAGAATTAGAGATGGCAGTTTCCCCCGGAGGAAGTATACGATTCCCTTTGACAAAATTGCTATGCAAACATTTGCTTTGGGTTTATATTGACACAAGTGTGGGAGAGCAGCAAAGGAGGCCTTATCAAAATTCCTGAATATATTACACGTTATTTGAACATTGTTACTCAGTTCTTTTTGATAAGTGTTAAACACTACCCTGAGCAGGTTATAAGAATTTCCCTTCTTTTGAGCTGTCTAGAGGTCACTAATCACTTACATCACTCTTATGTCCTTTATCATCAGTGGCCTTTAAGTGCTTTTGTTGTTCTTGTTTGCTTTTGATTTCTTCTTTTATACATGCTATCTTTGGAATTGGTTTAAAGACTATCAAACTTACACTTTTAAAATTGAATCATCTTTAGACAATCTCTGGAAATAATTCCATGGTATCTATTTACATACTCCAAGGTGATAGTGGCTCACTAATATTGTGTGAGATGGTTCCTAAATCTGTTTATTTGTTCATTATATAATTGTATTTGAGTACTAAGCTTAGCTTGCTCAATTGTTGCTTGCTCTCAGTGCACTGAACTTTTCTTCTATCATTCTAGGATGTACAGAATTAAATAAAGTATTCCAGATAAGAGTTAACACCTTCTGTGCTCTAGGTTTACTTTTGTTGATTAACCCCAAAGATGAAATATATTAGAAAACTTCAAGAGCAATAAATGATGACTTAAAGTCACAGAAAAAATTGTAATTTTCTGCCACTCACAATTGTAGCTCTAGAGTTTCAGCTAAAAGATCAATGCATGACAAAGGAAATCAATCACTTGTTTTTCATTTTTTCCAATTTTAGAGGCCTGATTTGAAACTAAACCCTCCTAGAAACTCTAATAAGAGTTATATTAGTGATACATATTTTGAAGAAAAGAAACAAAACTTTTTGTCCAACTGAGTATTCATCAAATGCTTTTTTATTTTTTCACTTCAGGGAGCTCTGGAACGGAATGAAAGCAAGATTGTTCGTTTCCAGCTTGAACTCTTGGAAGCTAAAGAAGAACTTGAAAGAAAGCTTTCAGAGAAAGAAGAAGAAATAGAAAATTTTAGGTATGTAAGATTATGTGGGTGAGCAGCTGTTACATTGTTCAGAACCATGGGTGTACAGGGGGAGGGGGCATGCGTGCTGGCCTTGCGCCTTGATCTCAGGGTGTGAGTGTTGTCCCGAGTCTTTATGCTCAAGGCTAATGCCCTACCTCTTGAGCCACAGTGCCATTTCCAGCCTTTTGGTGATTAATTTGAGATAAGAATCTCATGGACTTTACTGTCTAGTCTGTCTTTGAGCCATGATCCTCAGATCTCAGCCTTCTGAATAAGTAGGATTATAGGTGTGAGCCTCCAGCTCCTGGCAAGGTTCAGAATTTTTGAATGAACAATATTCATTATATTTTGGTACTGATGACTCTTGCAGGAACATTTCCTCCAAAATATGGTCTAGCTCTATGAAAGAATTTTCAAGTACATATGCCACTATATTTTGTAAAGGAATTCCTATATACAATAATTACCAATTTTTGTGTTTTTTTTATATACTCAATCACTTTGGTCTTATATGAGACCAAAGATAACATAGCAGTACACCCTACAATTACATATAGAAGGACGGGGTATCCTGTCCAGGTCTATACACTGCAATAAACTGTTTTCTTAAACTTTCAGCAAACACACTGATAATGCCAGAGAGAGAGATGTACATGTTCCCTCAGGTGTTTATTTGGCAAGGGCAGTGAGTTCTTGTTGAAACCATTGAGTTTTAATTGTCAGAAAAGTGAATTTGAGAGAACTCCTGGCTTAGATCTTTCGTTAACTTTGTTAAAGCAAGCTGTGACTGGAAGATTCCACTTCTTAGTTTTCAGTGAAGGGGAGAAACATGGTCCCACATGTCACAGAAGATAGATCACGGATACAATTGTAAACAGATGGAATTAATGATGATTGTATGAGTTAGCTGGTGAGTTTCTTTAAGTCAAAGCTACATTTTTGGATATTCTAAACTGTTTATGTTCTGACCAAGGAGAAAAATCATGTTTCGCCAATATGGATGAGCAATATCATAACAGAAAAAAGTAGCTTAATGAACGATTGGTTTGAAATTAGGAAGTTTTCAATGTTTTAAGCTTTTGTCCAGATTTTAAAATTTTATTTCTCCTCTCAATTTATAGTTGTCTAACAAGCAACAAACAGAACAAAAGAATGTCTTACAAAACTGCCATTGGACTTCATTGCTTTGTTTTTCTTTAAAAAATATACTGAAGGGAGTTTTCATTTTCTTCATATTGCATAAAATGCGTTGATCATGTAGCAGGCATTCTCCAGGCCTGTGTCATTTCCATTCCTCTTAAACAATAGCACATATTACTGGTCCATAGGCACCCATGCAATTTCATAGACAACATTGGAAACATTCTGTTTGCTGCAGTAGAATGAATTTCTGTACTGAGGATTTTGACTATCAAGCCAGGATGCTTTGGACTTTCTGTGTAGGGAGAGTTGACTATGGGGAAATGAGAATTTCCCCACTGGAAGAGAGAAAGCATTTTAAAGCATCTGTGCTGTTTTGTATGAGTGTCCCTCTAGTAGTTTGCAAAGACTATCATCACAAAATGCAGAGACTGGGTGCTTGTTCAAACTAATTTTCTTGTAGTTCTGAAGACTACAAATCTGAAAGGAGGGAGTTGTTAGATTTGATTTCTCCTGAGGCTTCTGTCTTTGGCTGTCAGAAAGACAACTGCCTTCTTGATGTGTCCCTATGTGATCTTTCATCTATGGTGCCTTTCTCCTTTTGTGAGGATACCAGAGTTATTCAGTCAGTGCCCTACCCACGCTGTCTAATTTTATCTCAGTTACCCTTTCAAAGGCTCCTCATAAGATCCTGTCTCCAAATACAGTCACATTCTGAGGTACTGTGTTTGAGGCTTCAATATATGAATTTGGGAGATACATAATTTAGCCCTTAACAGTCCCATTTAACTTTATATAATTCTATATAATTATTGAATTATGTAAATTATAATTTACATATAAGTTATAAATTTTATATCATTATATAAATGTATTATAAATTATAGAGTATATATCATAAATATATATAATAAATTATATATAAATATATAGAGAGAGACCTATAGGACTGTACTCTGAGAGGTAAACAAAGGCCCAGTGCCTAAGGATAGGTAAGAAAACCTGTGGGGTCTCATGAGATGAGGTTGACAGAGGGGTGATGCTAAGCCTGGGATACAGAGCCAGATGACTTATTTCTCATGCATTTAAGTCCCCTTCCTGAGTCCCCTTCCTCCATAAGAGAAACGTGGTCATCAAAAGTGAGCTCCACTTAGACCTAAGGGGGAATTCCGACCAGATGCCTATTTGCCTGCAACCTGGGCAGGTCACCTCAAATGTCTGAATAAGGCTCTATGACAATTCAATGTGAAATCCATTCCTGACCCAATAGATACACATTTTTCTCTATTTGTTCTGACAAAACTGTGTGAAGAAGAAAGGGAGAACTTCTCCCTCCTGTCTCCTATCTTATCTATCCAGCACCAGGGTCTTGTTTGATGAGTGAGCTTAATATGACACGTGTTTCTGAAAGAGTTAAATTGTCCTGATGAAAAACAACCCAATCATGGGAAATTAAGTCAATATAAATTAATTTTTGCCCAAATCAGAGTTCAGTATGAATTGAGATGGAAAATGAGTCACTCTTCAGAGTCATTCCAGAAGGCAGGTTCTTTACCTTTGGTGCAGGAACACATAGAAAAAAATCAAGCTTGGCATCAGCAAGTTATGCCTGTACAAGAGGCTTATCTATCTATACAGGAGGCTGAGACTTGAGGATCACAGTTCAAAGACAGCCTGAGAAGAAAAGTCTACAGGACTCAAATTAAGCAACAAAAAAGCTGGGCTGGGCTCAAGTGTAAAGCACCAGCTGTGAACAAACAAAACCAAGCAAAAGAACAAAGCCATGAATTCAAGCCACACACACACACACACACACACACACACACACACACACACACACACACACACACATTTCATTTGGTGAGACTTTTAATGGTACACTTCACTACAGTCCAAGTCTTTAAATTACATTAAATTACATAGTCCTCAGCTATTGTCACTAGTATTTTTTTGTCAGTATGGGGCCTGAACTCTGGGCCTAGGCACTGTCCCTCAGCTCTTCTGGTGGTTTATTGGAGATAAGAGTCTCACAGTCTTTCCTGCCTGGGCTAGCTTTGAACCACGATCCTCAGATCTCAGCCTCCTCAGTAGCTAGGATTACAGGAGTGAGCCACTGGCACCCGGCCTACTACTATTTTTGAGAAATGAAATTTTCTGACTCACCTCAATTGTCTCATAGCTTTTTTCAACATACAGCTATTACTCATTTCTTTGCAAATGTGGTTTTGCAGAGTGTTTGTTTCTATGATGGAATAATTCATTATCAAATTGCATTTGGTTTTCTCAGCCAATCCTGTCATCTCAAACTCTCAGGGAGAGACAACCATAGGATTATATATAACCATACAATTGTAAAGGATATAGTATCTACAAGCCATTAGAGCAGTATTGCTATCTCTTAGAACTTGTAACTCTTTCCTGCCCTATTCAGACACTTTATTTTGTCACTGGCAGTAGATTAAATTAATATTATGACTGCCTTAAATAATCTCCATCTTTTATCTTTAGCCACCTTGAAAATCCAGGGATTTGCTTAGATCGTTCATTAGATGATCTACCCCTCAGGAACCTTGAAAAGATGAGGGCACTTCCTTGATTCTTTGCAGAACTTTGGCTGGAAATCATAGTTTGTTATAATGAGCTCACTAACATAACCCCAAACTCTTCTGTTTATAAAATCTAAACATTTTAGACTAATTTTGTTAATCACTGAAAAAATTCAAGTTTAAATATATTTTTTAAATTTCCTAACGTGTTGTGAACACAGCAGGCAAGTTTTCTTGATTTGGGTATGTGATATTTTCCTTCTGAATGTTATTCTAAAATTAGGAGCAAACAGCAGTGTGCAATGGATTCCCTGCAGTCTAGTCTGGATTCGGAAGCTAGGCAGAGGATTGAGGCTACCAGGATGAAGAAGAAGATGGAAGGAGACCTTAAGGAGATGGAACTCCAGCTTTGCACTGCTAATCGACAGGTGTCCCAAACAACCAAATCTTTGGGCCAGCTTCAGAGTCAAATGAAGGTATTTTCAAACTATATTATGAGATGATAGTGGAAATATGTCTGCATATTTGCTAAACTAAGCAACAGTTTCAATTGAGCAATAAAGGTAAGGATAACAAATTCACCCTTCAAGGATGAAGAGCATGTGATTCTATTCTAACAAGAGGAACTCTGCTCAGAGCATGTATGCAGAGGAGCACATCCCACATTGGATTCAGAAGGGTCTTTGTTCCAGGCTCCTATGTTCTCTTACAGGACCTTCAAGTGCAACTTGATGACAGCACACACCTGAACAATGATCTGAAGGAACAGGTGACTCTGGCTGAGCAGCGAAATTCTTTTCTTCAGTCTGAACTAGAGGAACTGAGGTGCTTGCAAGAGCAGACAGAACGTGGGCGCAGGCTGGCTGAAAAAGAGCTCCTTGAAGTCACAGAAAAGATCAGTCTTTTCCACACTCAGGTGGGGCCCGTAAACCCTCTCCATTAGCTGAATCAGTGGGTTAGAGGCAATGGTTCCTACTCTTGGTTCAGCCTTAGGCCATGGATGGTTGCCATTTCAAGTCTTGAATGACATGAAAAACACATGGAATGCCTTGAAGCAGAGTGCTGGTCACCCTCTTCATTCACGAGTGTATTAGATTAACAAAGTGCCACAATGTGGATGTGTACTTGAAATGCTGAGTGTTTATTACTTGTTTATTATTCTCACAGTCCTGGATCCTGAACATCCAAAATCAAGGTGTTTTCATGCCCATGGTCCATCTGAAATATGTAGGATCATCATTCCTTGGCTCTTGTTACTATTTGTTCCCTTCTTGCTATAGTTCCTTGGCCATCTTTCAAATTCCTTGTCTTGTCAATGCCTTACTCCACTGCCTTGCCTTTCCATGGCATTCTTACTGTGTGTTCACATCATCTTCCCTCCTTGAATGTCTTGTTAGCTCTTCCCCAATTTCTCCTCTCCTAAGAACACTCATCATATAGAATAGGAACCATATGAATACATTATCTCTTTTTTTAAGGCCTATGTCCAAAAGCTGGTTGGTTAGAAATTCTATCCCTAGAAGTTTTCTGAGAGATACAGAAATGACACTAGGCCTTCTCTGGAAGAATGGACTGTGAAGGCATTCATGGTAAAGATGCTGGGGAAGGAGAGATGAATATTTCTTCTTGTTCTAGAACAATTCTGGCTTATCCTGCTCTCTTTAACTTGCTTGCTCTCGCCATCATCCAAAGCTTACAGAAAAATGTTCCTTTCAAGTGCCGGGAATCTCTAAAATAAATGGCTACTGATAGAAAAAATTAAGCTGCCAGAACTCTGGCTTTCCATGTATGGTTATTAAATGCCACGAAGCAAAATTCTGAGATCCTTCATTATGATCCTGGAATCAGAAGAAGCCACAGAGGCTAGGACCTGTACCTGTGAATGAATGCCTCACATACTTAGCATTTTTAGAACCTACCACAACTTGGATAGTAAGCTTGATGATGACATAAAACGTGGCTTCCCACATGTAGAATATTTCTGTTTTCAAGCAGTAAAGGCCTAAGCAAACAATTGTGGTGCACTTCTGGGAGTATTATGATGAAGGGTATACCTTCAGAGAGTCTTGTTGGATGCCCCCAGACATGGGTGGATACACAACGTGCTTCATCTGTGCTATGAAACATGGAAGAAATCAACTAGATAAAGAGAAATGCCAGGGAAAAGATAAGGGGGAAGGAAATTGGGGATCTTAAGGGATATTCATAGATCAGAGCCCAGGGTGAGCCGGAGAGATAGCATGGGTGATGGTAAGAGGAGGATAGGACTTTGAGTCTGAGACTGATGGAGTTTGAATTTTTGTGTGTAAGATAGTGAGGATCCACTGAGGAATTTTGAGTAGCAGAGTATGAAGTTATCAGATTCACATTTTAGAAATTTTACTATGCTGATTGCTATGAGGATCGATTAAAACAATTAGAGACAGACTGCCATATTTGGTGATGAGAAACATCTGTGGCAACATTTTGCTTGCCACAGTGACTGGGAAGTGCCACTGACATTTAGTAGGCAGAATCCAGAAACACTGCAAGTCCTTCAAGGTGCCAGATAATTCCACATCACAAAGCATTTGAGGTTTTCCCCCACTGAGAAAGATTGCAGCAAAGAATATGAAAAGCAGAAGTGTGTCTAATGAAAGATGCTCCAATTAGTTGTGCCTACAGTTTGATTCTGTGTCCCTGTGTGTGACAAAAACTTATTTGGGGATCGTGGGGGTAAAATTCATGTTTTCAAGGAGGTCAGTTTGAATAGGCTGTCCTATTTTCCTGGGGGTATAGTTATGGTGGAGCATATGCCTACAGTGTAGTAGTGTCCCCTGGGTTCAACACCAGATCTCACAGGAGAAAATAAAAAATTATTTTTTCTCCTTGAAGAAAGTTTATCTCAGTGCAGTGTGGTGAAATATTAAGAAACAGAACATAGAATTTTAAAGGTCAGTTATCTAGTGTCTTCAGTATTTAATAGCTATTGATGACCAATCACTTAATGGTGGCATGCATATAATAACTGATAATGCATCTGGATTCCCAATGTGATTAAAACAAAACCCCAAACCCACTGGGAAAGCGGGGGAGGGGAGAGGAAGTGAGAAAAACAGACAGATACAGAAAAAGCAAGAGGAAGACAGTAAAAGAGAGGAAGAGAATGAAGGAGTGAGTCAGGGAAAAGGAAGTAGAGGAGAAGGAAGAGAAGATAGAGGAGGAAGAGGAAGAGGAGGAAGAAAAATGCACTCAGAAATAAGGAAGAAAGGATTAGGGGGAAAACGAAATAGTTAAAATTAGGCTCTGAATACCTGGTCTTCAGGGCGGATCTTCCTGAAGCATAATGACTGAAAGTCTTTAATACAAAAATACTAAATCTCAGGTCTTACCACAGATCTACTCATCAGAAGCTGTCATGGGATTGAGGAACTCAGCAAGTTCTCAGGTGTCACTCCTGGCTCCAAGACACTATTTGACCAGCTCTGCTCTATATTAACATTTTCTTAGAGTAAGCATGTATAGCCAAACTTTTTCTTTGTCTAGTGGCATGGACTCCCTTTTTAAACCTGAAATGTGACAGTATAGATGCCCCGCTGTGCCTACAGATGCCATCTACAGTAACTTTAGATACTCCTCAACTTGCTTCTTCAACCTGTTTCTTCCTTTAAAATGTACCAAATCATAGAGCTAGTCAACTTGTAAATACTTTAACCACCATCTTTATAGCACATTTTAAGTGATTCTATTGCAAACAAACAAGTGCTTTTATATGTTCCTTTCCTTACAAATAAAAAGTTTCCAAGGAGTTAAGTGTAGTGAACATTCATAAAACACTTCATGTAAATGCACTTACCTCCTTTAGCCACCCCAGGGGGTGGAGATCCTGGGTGCACAAGGCCTGGCTCTCCACAGGACAGAGGGGAGCAGTCTTGATGATCTTTCATGCCACCGAGGGGGCAAGCAGAGTCAGTGAGGCTGGCATGTCTTTCTCTCTATTTCCAAACCTTAATCCTGCCCCTGAGAGAGGCTCTAGATAGAGGAAAGGGAAAGCATAATATGGAGGATGAAATGAAAGAAGAAATAAAAGCTAGAAAGCTGTGCCTTTTATACACATGCTCTGTGCTAAGGCTTCACACCCTCAGAAAAGCTGTACTTCAAACAATGCCCACATGCAGCAAAGGGAGCTTTGGCCTCCAGTGTCAAACTCAGAAAGAAATTAGGGCATCCCCAGCTGCAGTGCACAAAGCATCCTCCACTTAATAGGGGTCCTTAGGGCTGGGGGATGGGGCTTTTGTGAGCTGCTTTTCCCACCTCCTCCTCACTGCAGGGTAAGCAGGAAGGCAGGGGGATAAAGAAGAGAAATTGGTTTTCTCTCTGGAGCAGCATGCTGGAACTGTGATTTTTGTTCTCAAACCTCTTGTTCCCCAGGGGGCTGCAGGTGACCCCAACTTCCTCTTGGAGACACTTGTTTCTAGCACGTTGAAAAGCAGGAAAACATTCCTCAAGAAGTTAAAAAAATCAAACCCATGTATGGACAGTAGGTTATCTGGGACCTGTTTCTCCTTTCTGACTCAGGCTGCCATGTCTTTCATTCTGATCCTCTAAATAGACAAAATCCCTTCCATTCACACATGCCATTGACATCAAAAGCCATCTGGGGTTGGAAGTCTTGCTTAAGTGAACATGACTGATAAAATTGCCCCTTTAAGAGCTGCCTCGATGATTACATAGCCGGAACAGACCAGCTTGCACTTGCATTTCTGGTTCCAAGTTGTCTGACAGCAAGGCTACTTTTCCTTAGAACATAAGTCTCCTCAGCCAAAAGAAGAAACTGGAGGATGATGTTGCTCGGATGCAGAAAGAAACTGAAGAGATGATTCAGCAGTGTCAAAGGGCAGAAGAAAAGGCCAAGAAGGCTGCTGTTGAGGTGGGTGTGTTGACTGCTTGTTTGATCCTGCCTTCCAGAGTGCACTGGAGCAAGAACCCAGAGGCAGGAGCCCATTTGCTGCCCCACACAGTCCATTGATTTCCCATATGATCAGCAGGAGGCTAGCTGACCTCTGTGACTCCCTCTGCTCAGCTTGCACAATTAGGCCAATTAGCTCTTCCCTTCCAACTTACTGGGGCAGTGGAAAGGAACAGTTGAATTGCTAGAAGGAAAATCTCTGGAAGCAAGAGTTCCTCCCTTAAGTTTTAAATCAATATACCAAGTGTCTAGAAACAATTCTTCCTATGTTTTCTGACAAATCCTTATCCTGGGGCCTCTAATGGTTTTATGATGATGATCTGAAAGGAATGCTTTAGTGACTTATGTTTTGCACTCCATTCTACTGCTTGGGTAATAAGATTAGGCTAGTAAAGAACTGTTTGAGGTCTGGTGGGCCATCTTTAGCTGCAATTTTTAAATTGTTGATGGTGTTGCTTTTCCTCAATGACTCTAGCTCAGAGTTGGCTGCCAGCCATTGTACAAATAGCCAAAGCCAAAAGTAAGCTGCATAACTCAGCTTCCTTGTGTCACATTGTTGTCACTGAGAACACCAGACGCTGCCAAATTCCTAGAGCCTACATTTGTTTACAGTGGTAAAGCACAGAACTATACAAGTGAGCTTTTAAAAATATTTCCATAGGCACTTTTCCATACTGTTCAATAACAAATGACAATCTGGTGTTTTATTCAATTAAAACCCAATGCTTTAGTTGGTCATTTTTCTCCAACATAGTTGTTGTCTTCTAATTTTTAAATGCTCTTTTTCTACCATCACTCAGCCCAGTCTCTCCTCTGCTGCTGCTATCTTCATTGCCTCACTGTTCAATCATTTGGAAGTGACTGCATTGATAAGCAGAGCATGGTGGTAAGAGATTAAATATATGTAGGAAAGGCCAGGAACTGAAGCTCTTTGGCAGAAATATGAACACCGGTAGGTTACTGTACTAGCTCAGTGCCTTTCTTTCATTTCTAGGCAGCAAACTTGTCAGAAGAACTGAAGAAGGAGCAAGACACTAATGCCCATCTGGGAAAAATGAGAACGAATATGGAGCAGACGATTAAAGATTTGCAGAAAAGGCTGGATGAAGCTGAGCAGAATTCCTTGCTGGGAAGCAGAAAGCAAATCCAGAAACTAGAATCCAGGGTAGGAGTTTTCCTTGGAAACTATGGAGACTTGATGACCCCTCAATTCAAAGTCCTATTGTCTTTCAGTGTCACAGTACATAATATTCTCCCTGCCTCATCACTTTTGATAACAGCACTGCCAGATCTCCAAGGGTGTCTAATCTCAATATATCCATTCATTCTTGCTTGAATTTAGGTCATTGAGTATGACTTTTGTCACTCAGAATGAACTGTGCCTTCCCTTTTTCTGCTAGGTGAGGATGTGTCTTCTCTTGTTCTGTACCAGCTCTTGCTTCCTACAGGTAGCATGACCCACTAGCTCCAAATGCAGCCTTGAAATCTTGCTTCTGTGCCTCTACTCCTGTCATTTACTCTGCTGAGAATGACCATTTCCTAACAGCTGAAGAAAGTCAAAACCAATCTATGATCTACAAAGACTCAGTACAGCTAAAACAAAAGCTGACAGTAATGATGTAAAATCTATTAAATAAAGCTTTTAAACACATAGAAATACTTATTTTAAAACTATTAAATTTCTTTTCCTTTCTAGATGGATTTGACAGGGCCTCAGACTTAATAGACTGTCAATGCTATACCACATGAGCCACGTCCTTTTTTTTAACTTTAGTTTTGTTGTTGTTGTTTTTTGTTTTTTTGGTAGGGTCATGTACTTGTATAAGGCCAGCCTCAGGCCTCAATCTTTCCACTGCTACCTCTGAGTAGCTTACATTACAGATATGGACTATTATGCCTAGCCTAAGTTATTAAATCAACTTGAATTGATTATGTATATAGCATATGATACATTCCACAAAGTAGGAAAGATTAGGTTCTTTCTCAAAGCATGCCCCAAAAGGGCCTTTCAAAAATAATGTATCACTTTTGTAACAGGCATGAATCATCAGCACCTGGCACACTATCTGATTCTTAACAAAGTTACCAAAAACATACACTGGAATTATTTTTAAAGTAGCCTTATTAACAAATGGTACAAGGAAAACTGACATCCATATATAAGCATGAAACTAGATCTCTATCTCATCTTGTCCAAAAAATATCAGTTCAAAATAAGTCAACCATTTAATATTTTTAGTCACAGCTCTGTAACTAACATTGGAGTGTGGTTGGAGCACAGTGGGCATCTTGTTGAATGTGTGCTGTAATGATCATATTGGCATAATTCTGTATAGCCAAAGGCAGTTCCACAGTACAGCTCTTCTACTCTGAGGGCTGTAAGGCTATGTGACATGTGTGTGGCAGAGCTGAGGGTCTGATTTCTTTAGAGCCTGAGCCAAACACAGAGGAAGAAGCTTACGATCAAGAAGTAGAATTGTTGAATCCCCTATGACTGGTGTGTGCATCAGATCTCTGTGCATATGTTCACATAGGAAGGTGGGTATGACTCTGTAACACAGAAGAGAATCTTATTCCATTATGTGTACCAGCCTTTGGCATCCTTCAGGGTCTTAGCAATCCTTATATGAGATTACAGAATTCAGTTGATTCATTGTAGTGAAGGTTTTCCCAGAGAACTTGCACTTGTTTCTGTGAGAAAGAGAGCAGACACATCTTCCTTGTACTATTTCACTCAATTCCAAATGGTTTTCCAGCTTGCAAATAACAACTCAGCCTTGTCACCCGTGTGGGGTCTGACACTATGCTTGGTTGCAGGTGCGAGAACTGGAAGGTGAACTGGATGGTGAGCTCCGTCGCAAAGCAGAAATCCAAAAGGAAGCCCGCAGACTGGAGAGAGGCATGAAAGAGCTGACCCTTCAGGTACTCCCGGAAACCACCCCTGTGTGCATGACTGGGCTCTACCTGTGGCAGCTCCATCCTTCCAGCCTGAAAGGGCCTCTGAGGTGCTCTGAAGTTTAGATCACCTTCAGCAGTAGACTCTGACTCACCTCCCAGGGCTCTGTGCGGTCAGCGGGTGAGGCCTGTCCCTTTACAGATCTAGTAGAGAACAAAATGTGAGCTGGCAAGTGCAGTTAGAAGTGGAAAGCTATTTATACCTTCCTTACTTTTTCACACATCGTATTTGCAGTGCTTTCAGAAAGATGGCTTCCTGTGAGAGGCTGAGTGAGAATGACATGTAAAATAAGCAAGGGTACTCAAATGGCCACCTCCAGCAGACTGCACAGGATGCTCACTAATCAGGTGGTTCAAGGAACCTTCCTACTCCTGTTTTCTGGTTGCACACACATTCAATGCCAACGAGGACTTTGCTCCAGATGACAAATGGAAACAACAAATACTAAAGAAAGACCTCTTAGGCTTTCTAGATGTAACCTATGGACCAACATTGGTCTCAAGCAAATAACTGGTGGTAGACATTTTATAACTTGTACTTCCAAAATATCCCTTAACTACATTTTCATTTTAAAATTTTTATTGATTTATTAATTTTATTGTTATTATTAAGGCATGGTATGGAGGGGTTAACATTTTATTTGTTTATTTATTTATTTATTGTCAGTCATGAGGCTTGAACTCTGGGCCTGGGTGCTGTCCCTGAGCAATTCAGCTCAAGGTAAGCACTCAACCACTTGTGCCAGTGCCACTTCTGGTTTTTTGGTGGTTAACTGGAGATAAGAGTCTCACAGACTTTGCTGCCCAGGCTGTCTTTGAACCTCAATCTTCAGATCTCCCTGAGTTCTAGCCCCAAGACTAGTAGAATAAACTCAAACTTTTCCCTTCCATTTTCCCCTTCCCCCAAAAGACCTTTATTATAGAACAAAACACCAATGCTAAGCTTTGTTTATTTGTTTGTTTCGGTTATCTCAAGAAATGCAGTATTTGTTTCTTCAGTGAAATATCTTCATGTTTCTCTTGTGGCAGCGCATTTCTTAATTTCTTCCAAGTGTCTTCACAGCGTATACTAGATCTATTCAATTACTCAATGATCTTCCATCACTGCATCAGATAATACCTTTTGAACACTTACTTTGTGAGATAACCAACTATACCCTGTAAGAGAAAAAGACACTAGAAGTCCCTCTAGACACACTAGAAAACTTTCTAGACAATAATATCTGGTTCAGAAATATTCTAAGTCAGTACTGAGTCAGTTCAGTCCGTCCTCCTGTAACATCAGAATATATATCATACTATGAGTCAAGATGCTTTGTGATAGCTTATTCATAGATACTACTGATCAAAGTACACTGGGCACAAATGTGGAAATATCAAAATGTGATCACCCCACAAGCCAATGTCTGCTAACTGAAAAAGAAATACTAATGAGGTTGATTATCATGACAAAGATAAAAGTAGTGTCTCTTACTAGTAAAATGCTCAGGATTTTATTATAGTCTACTACAGGAGTCTACAACAGACTGCAGAGTCAGGTATATGCAATAACAGATATATCTAATTATTGCACAGAGATCACCTGGGGGTTGTGTGGGTGCAGGGCCAGGTCCCAAAGGCACTGCATATCCTGAAGGCACTGCAGTGGGTGCTATCAGATAACTTCACATCTCCCAGGTGAATGGCAAATTCTTCTTTGGAAGGAGCATTGAGTGCACAACCATGGCTACTAGTTACTGAATACCTCAGAGCTAAGATCTGAGCCTAGGCCTCACCCTCCCACATGGAGAACGCCAATGACATTAGCATCCACTTCTAGCTTATAGTTGTATTTTGTGCAGCCCGCTTTATCACCTCCTCAGTAAGATTATTAGCAATTAGCCTTGTGCTGATTTCCATAGGTAGATAATTGTTCATCGTTAAATTTGATAAACCTGAGGTTTAGAAGAATAGGCAGATGAAAGGAGAGAAGTAATTTTACTTGAAATATAGGCTAGTCTCAGTTCCCTAACCATGTTGAGCTCTGTGGTCATCTTGCCTAAGTAAGTTAATATTAGTAATTGTCTACTGTCAGACTGAACTTTGCAGAAGAGGCAGCTTCTAATGATGAAGAGAGCTTATCTTCAAAAGAGAGAGCTGAGGAGAAATAGGGTTAGATCAGCCTGTTGCAGTAGGCTTTCGTGAGACAGAGGATAGGCTATGAAAGTTACTGTGTTAAGTCAACTTCCCATGACACTAACAAAATCCTAGACATAAACAACTTACACAGTGAAAAAGGTCTTTGGGCTCATGATTTTGGATGATCCAGTTCATGACTGATTTGGCTGTGTTGCTAGTGGGCCTGTGAAGAGGTAACGCATCATAGTGGAGCAATTTTGTCCACTTCTGGCCAGGAGAGAAGGAAAGGAAAGTGCTGGGTTTTGCCATCTCTTTCAGAGGGTGACTCCCAATGATATGGGAACTACTCAATAGCCTCATTCTTATAAATGTTCCACTACATTTTCCTCTGTAATTTTGGAGGCAGACCTTTTGATGCAAGCCTTTCATGCCTTTGAAGAACATACAAATAATAGCATTCACCACTACATTTGATACTTGATGGAAGGGGCAAAATGGAGCCAGAAACATACAAAAACCTGAGCAACAAAGTGAGGTCATTATTAAGTCAGCCTCATTTCTTGGCAGGTCAAAGTATTTTTTCCTTTGGACAGTTCAACAGGCCTGAAGTAGAAATAGTCTAGTTGAAGGAACAGGGAAAAGAATAGAGGGTGTGAAGAATCCCATCCATCTGTTGGCTTCTTCACTCCTCCTTTCTCAGAATAAAGACTATATTGAACCTAATAGCTTTAACATCCTCTTAAACAAAAGTGTTGGGATACTGTGATGGATGCAGAGAAATGGCTCAGTCATTGCTCAGAGCTGTCTTCATTAATTTCTCAAAATTTGGGGGATGAGTAGATCAAGCCCATCCACTATACAAAACACAAGTTATTTGATGTTTAATAAAGTTTTCAACCCTTTTCTCACACAAGGCTGCATTCCACATGGCTAGATCCTTTCAGTGACCTTCACATGCATATATTTATATATACCTGTGTGTTTCAGGCAGAGGAGGACAAGAAAAACCTGAGCAGGATGCAGACTCTGGTGGACAAACTTCAGCTGAAAGTACAAAGTTACAGGCAGCAGGTGGAAGCAGCGGTAAGTGCCAGAGGCAATTGTAGCCCCCCCGGGGTGTCCCAGCATTGATTTGTGATTTATGACCTGAGCTAGGAGAGCAGCATCTCAGAGAAGACCAATCATGTCTTCCTGCTGTCAGGTTTTACTCAGATTAAGACGATCACTCATAGTAAATCTTTATGCTTCTTTTCCTTCTAGAAAACTATAGTACTTTCACTGAACCGTATAGTTCCACCCAAATATTTGCATTACAAGAAACGAACCAAATAAGAGCAGGATATCATGCAGGGATTTGGGGCAGAGTTTCATCATGGAGCCTCCCCCTAAACTCTAGGTAAACATAAACACAGTTCTTAGTATATTTCCTAATGAGTTGTGGACAAAACCACCATGATTAAGGTGCACTCATCATCTTTGGTTTAGTCTTTAGAGTTACATGAAGTACCATATACTTTAGGTTTTGCAAAAAATATATATTATTGAGGGTTTTTGTATTGATTCAATTATTGGAGCAAGCACTGCTATGTGTACTCTTCTTATTAATTAGTAGAAATTAAAAGCTCAACTTTCTCTACTCAGAGGTAGAATAGGATGTTGAATGGATTACATAAGCAATGGTGGTTGCTGCATCACCCAGCAAGTCTGTGAAGGCTGTCCCGTTAACAGTTGGTGGAATGTACACACCAGGTTCTGATTTGTCATAGAGCAACAGTTATTAATACAGTTCTTTGTGCTTGCTAGAAAGTCTTAACATTTATATCTTATACAAAAGTAGTAGGCCTCATTCAATACTTAGAAGTTTATATTTCTCTCACATTTTTCCACTTCTCATGTCAGAGCAGAAAATACAGTTAGGGCAATATATCTCCTTTCTGTGTTTTTAATTTTTTTTATAGGAGACACAAGCTAATCAATACCTCTCGAAATATAAGAAGCAACACCATGAGTTGAACGAAATGAGGGAAAGGGCAGAGACAGCAGAATCTCAAGTCAATAAACTCAAGATTAAAGCAAAAGAGCTTGAAAAAAAGGTACAGCAGGTATTCAAGTCTTCTCTGACTCACAGCATGTTGGGTTAGGACTCAGGATATTGAATGAGCAGTACACCAAGAAATTTCTTACTTTTCTTTTAAAATTCTTATAAAACAACAGAAAACAAGTTCAAACATAGTTCTCCCCTATTTACTAAATCCTACTTGTCAAGTAGTAGTGAAGTGCTAAGCATTTGCATGGGAAACCAATCCTATTTATATCTCAGATGTTTAATTCCAAGTTAACTAGCAGTCTCTGAACTCTGAACCTTCAACATTTGAGAATATATAGAACAAAGATGACTTTTGAAAGCACAAATTAATCTCCTGGAAATTCTGAGTGAACGCTTTCAATGGTAGACAAGTATATGACTTTGTACCATGTCAAAATGAACAGTGTGGGGGAGGCTGTTTAAGGAAATGAAGGAGTACAAAGCCAAAGTCCTGTTTTCAAGATCTCAGCTTTACTGCTGATTTTCCCCTCAAATCATAGAGAATCTTTTACATTTCTGTGGTTTTTGAATATCGTTGCTGATGAAGTGGTAGAGGCCAGTGCCCTAATTTTTTGGGCAAAGTGACAGAGTGACAAATAACTCTGTACTAAATGTGTGGCAGAGAGAGAGCTTTTACTGTTTTACAGAGATTGTCCCAGGAACAGCTTTTAAATGAGATCTACCTGTAGGGGAGGTAAGTTAAAGGAAATTGGGCTATGTGGTATTAATTGCTTTTCAAAGAATAAGTATAAAGCATTTAGAATAATTGCCAGCCCACACAGGCAACATCTCTTCATTTTTATAATTTGGTGCATATATCTTCTTATTGGTGATATATGAATACCAACCATGTCAGTTTATAATAAATTGATAGAGAACAATAAATAGTACCTTAAAAGAGATCACAATGATCTCTTTCAAAGAGATCATTGTGATCTCTTTTAAGGGAGAGACTAAAATTAGGTTATTCTGAAGATACTTAGAGCTAAATACAAGAAGCGGGAGTCTCTGGCAGCTCCAGAGATTTCTTAATGATGCTGAAATAGCCTCTATGGAAAGGTCCAGTTAAGTGCTTTGAACTCTGGCCTCAAGAAGTGTTGTGACACTAAATTTAGAGTCTTTTTTTTTTTTTTTTTGCTAGTCGTGGGGCCTGAACTCTGGGCCTGCGTGCTGTCCCTCAGCTCTTCAGCTCAAGGCTAGCGCTCTACCACATGAGCCACAGCACCACTTCTGGCTTTTTTCCCCCACTTATGTGGTGCTGAGGAATCAAACCCAGGACCTTATGCATGCAAAGCAAGCGCTCTACCATTGAGCCACCTTCCCAGACCCAGATTTAGAGTCTTCTGTGCAGAGCCCATCTAGTGGTGTCATGAAATCTTCCAGCTTAGAAATAAATGCCTCTTGTGCCCCAGTTACATGGAGGAGGTCCCAGGGCTTCCAAATGAATTTCCATGCATTTGATGTTGTCACAGCCTTTTCTAACTGAAAAATAAAATGAAACAGAAACTAGAAGACTAGAGATGAGTAGGAAAGCCTTCTTGGCAATGCAATGACCTCTTATTTTTCCATTCACTAAAGAAAACCCTGAAAATTCCTCAACTGCCCTAGCATAAGGACAAGGTTTTCTAGTAGAATTGTGTGCCAGGGTTGTTGGTGATGTGGCCACAGAATCTTTTCCTTCAGTGGGGAAGGGAGGCAGGAAATGGAGAGTGACCCAGCATGTCCTTGGTGTGAGTTACCAGGGCCTGCCCTCTGTAATGCAGATAATTGCCTGAATTCCCTTCCTCCCATTGTAGCTAATGAAGAGTTGGCTGTGGCCTGCTTACCTCTGGAAAGGACTTGGCATGGGTGTGATGTGTGTTCCTCTAGTGAAAATCAAGGGGATTTCAGAGAACACTGACATTCTGTTTTTCAGGTCTATGAAGAATGAGCATTTTTCTTCTTGTAAAGGACACTTGTGGGAGAAGCACAAGGAACTCAAGTCTCAGATTAGAGAAAAGGATATTATTTTGTGTGAAGAGCACTTTAAATAATGCAATTAGAAAAAATAAAATAATTAAGGAAAATGTTGTTGATTCCAGGGTTAATGGATGCTGCTTTAAGTCTCAAAGATAAGAAAACTCTCTTTTTAGTATTTCACAGAAAAGTTTCCCCAGATGAAAGCTTTAAAATTCTGATGTTAAAGAAATGAATGTTTGATTTTTTTGGTTCATATTACCTGTTTATAAGTAGGATTCAGAAGACATCTTTAGACCATTGGAGCATGTTGGTAAATAATTGTTACTTAAGTTAGCTAACTTTGCTTGACTCATTCCTACATCCACGACTCTATATTTTTAGCCATTAATTATGGGAGTTGACAGCCACAATTAGGCACTTTGAGCTTGTAGCTGAAAACTTCCTAATTGACATAGATGCTACTAGATTACATCAAGTAGGCTACTTGCTGGTGTGCATTTTAACCACTAAAGCCATGTTCCACACAAGACCTTCAGTGAGTGACAGTGTGTGAATGTGGAGACTTGGTACTGCCGCAGTGTAGCTAAGCAGGAGAGACATGTACAAGAATTTCTTTCTTTACCTATTTCTGGAATGAAATTAGTAATGAGAGAATTTACACCAGATTTAGTAGGTAAGAGAGAAGCAACATCTTTTATATGCATGGGGCTGGCCCCAAGACCTGTGATAGCTCAAAATATTATACCAGCTCAGAAAGGGGATCTAGCAGAGATTAGTAGCAACTGTCTGCAATGCTAAAATTCTGGCCCACCACTCTTCCAGTTCCCCCTAGTCTCAGTCAACTTTGGAAAGTCCTCGGCAGGTATATATAGAACAGCAAGGTGACTAGCACCAGTCTCTCCTACAGACTATCTGTGGCTTTGACATGGAGACTGTCACTGGGTCTCAGGGTGCACTGAGGGACTTGCTTTCATTACCTTCTTATTCCATGTCCAGCTCTCTTTCCTTACCACTGGTATAGCCAACAACCATCAGTCATTTCTGGTCTGGCATTCACAATGATGTAAAACTAAATCCAGTGTAAGGTTCCCTATTGAGCTATCAGGATGTCTATTATGCCACATGGAAAACAGTGGACTCTTTCTCATTGATCTGTCAGTGGGAAAAAAATACTCTTAGTGTGTAACTTTTCTAAGATGTTCTTCTGGAATAATAAAAGTTTCCCCACCAGTAAACTTGAAGTCCTTCTTTATGACATATGAATTTTATTGTTTCTCAACATAACAACTCTGTAAAAGCAAGCATATAGACAATCTTGAATTTTGGGGACTGCATTGTTTTGCTTTATTGCTATTTGAGTCTTAAACTTATTTTTCTCATTTGGGTACAATTCAAATAAAAACTCCAACTTTACTACAAGAGAAAGGTCAGAAACTTAAATATTTTCTCATTGGCGTTAATAGTCTGTCATACATTGTAACAGATATTTAAGAGTTAACAGAACTACATGCAAATATGGAGTCATGAAATCAAGGTGAAGTATCAGTCACACCACACTTTAGTGTTTTGTAACTCGGTAAGCTATAGAGTTAACACCAAAAGCTTGGTTATAATGAATAATTCGTAAGCACTGACTTAAGACTATTTCATATAAATTACTGAAATGAAAAAGAAGGGACCATGAGGTCAGCGGGTCTCTCTGTTTTCTCCCTGCATAAAATTTATTTGGAAATATCAATCTATGAGGAAGCTAATTAACAGCATGCCAGCTGAGATGAAAGAATTCATCAAATTATCTTCATGGCCAGCATCAATAGACTATGCAAGCCTGACTTTACCTTTTGTGACCCCCCTCCGCTCATCCCTGCCCCAGACATGCCAGTTCTTGAGTGGTTTGCCTTTTTCTCTGCACGGTCTCGGAGATAATGGCATTTTTATTCTTTGGGATCCCTAAGCCTGGCCATACTAAATCTAGTCAGATATGCGGGAGGAATAATTTACATAAAACTAGGATATAGTCCTCCCTGAAATAATCATTTACATATAACTAGGATATAGTCATACCACATCAGTCATCTTGGTTTTAGGTCCTACTATTTCACCTTTTCATAAGATGACTTCTCATATCTGCTCCATTCATTTGCAGCTGAATCAGCTGCTAGCAATATATTTCTTTCAAGTTCTTGGCAGAAACCTCATCATAATTTCTCAAGGAATTCTTTTCTTCTCATTGTTGCTGGATTTTCTACTTACCATAAGAGCATTTTAAAACACAGTTTTAAAAGGGTATTATCACCTTGACAATAACATTAAATTAAAAAAAAATATGAGCGATAACATAGGAAACTAAAACAAGGTACCTGCAAAGAGATTAAGCTAGATTTTTAGCCCTAGTGTAATAGTTCCAAATATGTTCTCAGTATACCTCACTGAAGAATTATCTAACATATTTCTAATATTTATTAGCTGGATGATTTCCTAACCTAGTTCCTTCCCAGGTTTTCTGTTCATCCTAATTTACAGTTTATCTGCTCTCTGCTAGGGCAGGCTGAAGGCATTGGGCTCCATTTCCTGGATGTTTATTTTGGCTCCTAGTTGAGTAAGTATTAATAGACAGAGGGAGGAGTTAAATCAGATATTTATTCTCCCAGCTCCTTCCTTGTAAGGTCTCCTCAATGTGGCTTTGCCCCTTCATATAACAAGTAACAAATACAGATCTCTGCAAAAAAACTCCATCATAGAAGCAATGGAAAATCAAAAAAATTCTATTAAAAGATCTATTAAAATAGATCTTTCCTTTTACTCAATGTAAACAGGGTATACAGTCTAATACATAAAGTATTTTTCTTTAAGCAAGGTTATCATTAAGATTTTATGTACTTTCTGCCATTTTAAATTATTATATTTTAAATTATTTTATTATATTTGTATTATATTTTCTAAGTTTTGGAGTTGTCAATATTCTTCCTTGGTTCTGGACTAAAGAAACCAACTAAAACATTTTGCAAGTTATAATTCTTGGCAAAGAAAAACAAAAATAAGACTGACTTACTCATAAATTCCATGTTCACTAGTCCATGTAATTCTGCTAGAGCTATGATAGCCAAGCCTGAAATGAGAAGAGGTCATATACTGGTTCATATACTGTAAAATCAAACGTCAGAAATGCCCGGGAAATGACTGAATTATAGAGGAATAAATAATGTCAAGTTATAAAGATAGTAATTATTTTTCTAATAATCAAGGGATGAAAAGCATCTATGATTCTTATTAATTCAGTGAAATAACACCATGTTATTATAAGAAAAAAAATCTTATTTGCATAACGTACTCCTTATCATTTTAGGACTAATGAAAAAATGCTGTGTACAGTGTAGACTCAAATCAATTAAAACCTGGTTATTTTATTTCTAACACCGTTCTATTAGCATATATTCGTGCTACAAAGTTGTATGTGTATATGTGTATATGTGTGTACATGCGTGCATATGTGTGCTCACGTGTACGTGCCTGTACTGTGACTTGAACTCAGGACTTGGGCCCCGTTCCTTAGCTTTTCACTCAAGGCTGATATTCCACCTATGAAATCACAGCTCTACTTCAGGCTTTTTGTTAGGTAACTGGAGATAAGTATCTCACAGAGTTTCTTTCATGGTTGGCTTAAATCGCAGCCTTCTGAGTAGTTAGGATTATGGGTGTGAGCCACTAACACCAAACCACAGGGTTTTCATTGTTACAGTTCAATACATACTTACAATACTCCTTAATCAAACTCACCCTCCTTTATCTTCTTCCCTTTTGAAAACAGTGTCAGCAGGTTTCATTATTCATTTGTCATACATGTATGAAAATGCATGGCCTGTCTTGCTTTCCTGTCATTCATTGTTTTCATTTTTTAGTGTATATTAATTTTATACTTCATAAGTTCTTTCAAGCCACATGTACTGGCTCATGCCTATAATTTCAGCTATTCAGGTGGTAGAAATCTGGAGGATCGCAGTCTGAGATCACGCAGGGCAAATAGTATGTGAAAGCACATCTGAACTGGAAAGGCATACACCTTTGAATGACGCGTGGCATGCACCTGCCATTCTAGCTATGTAGAAACCAGAAGTAGGAACATTTTAGTTCACACTGGCTCCAGGTTAAAAAAAACAGGGGACACTATTTAAAAAATAACTACAGCAGAAAAGGACTAGGGGTGTGACTCAAGTAGTAGAGTACCTCCCTCGCAAACCTGAGGTCCTGAGTTTAAACCCCTAGTGCTGCCACAAAAAATAGTCTCAAATATAGCCACATAGTTTGGCTTTCATAAAAGTCAGTCCACCAGCTATTTGGAGACAATATTCTTACACCAATATGAAAAGGGGAAAAATGAGAAGTTCAAAACAAAACAAAACTCATCACACCAAATTCTGACTCACAGGAGGGGAGAAGCTGTCATTCTTTGGTGACAGCAGTACAAAATGCCGTGACCATTCTGACCCAGAGAACTGTGCAGTTTATCACAAAACTGGCAGAACCTTAGTGCAAAATCCAGAAACTTCACTCCTTGGAATAAAATGGAGTTGAAAACTTTTATCTGCATGAGAGCAAACACATGTATATTTCTTTTTTATATAAGTTTTTTATTGTGAAAATACTGTACAGAGGGGTTACAGTTACATGAGCAAGGTAATGACTACATTTATTATCAAGCATTGTTGCCTCCTCCTTTGTTTTCCCCTACCATCCTTTCCCTTCCACTTCCACAACTTTGAGGGAAACATGGGGTTGCAGTAGAGAATACAGTCATAGAATTCAATGCACAGCCTACAAACATCAAGAAAATTGAGGGAAGGGATAGTATTGAGAGGGATGAGGAGAATGATGATGAAGAGGTATCACATGGATCAAGAGGCATTGTATTCATAAACTGCTTTGTTGAAAGGCACCCCCTTTGTGCACCTACTTAAAAGAGAAAAATACGTCTAAAAATTAAAGTGAAACAATTAAATAAAGGAAAACAACAAGATGCTGCTCAATAAATGCATGCATAAACAAAGTGGTGCATTCAGGAAATACCATATCACTCAGCCAGAAAGAGTAGTGAGATGGAAAGCAAGGAAAAGATCCAGGGAGGGAAACACTTAGATGTTTATTTATAAGTGAAAAACACACTATGATTCCAGCTAGAAGACATTCAGAAAATGAAAACCTTATGAAATAACATGAATCTCTATGTGCTAGGGATTTAGCAGGGTAAGGGTAAGGGCAATAAGAATTAATCGGAGGAACATGGTATGTTTTAGGGCACAAAAGCTTCTTTGCTGTAGAAAGTGACATATACTTCTGCTTCTGAGAATTCAAGCTTGGAAATATTCAGAGGATATTATTGTGCCACCACACTTAGGCATTTTTCATATTTTCCTGCTTAATCTTCACAACATTC